GAGCCATGATGGCGCCACTGCACTCCAGCCTGGACAACAGAGTGAGACCCTGTCTCTAAAAGACAAAAAACAAAGGCTGGGCACGGTGGCTCATGCCTGTGATCCCAGCGCCTTGGGAGGCTGGGGCGGGCGGATCACGAGGTCAGGAGATCAAGAGCATCCTGGCCAATACGGTGAAACCCTGTCTCTACTAAAAATACATGCCAGACGTGGTGGCACATGCCTGCAGTCCCAGCTTACAGGGGAGGCTGAGGCAGGAGAATGGCTTGAACCCAGGAGGAGGAGGTTGCAGTGAGCTGAGATCGCGCCACTGCACTCCAGCCTGGGCGACAGAGTGAGACTCCATCTCAAAATAATAAATACAAAACAAACAAACAAAAAATACGAATACAAAAGAAAAACCCAGCAGCCATGCAGCTTTGGGGAAGAGGATAGAAGGGGTGGAGGATGTAGGGAGTTGGGAGCGAAGGGCCGGGTAGGAGAGGGTCCCAGCAGCATCTGTTCAATGGGAGGCGGGTTGCGGGGGGGCTGTGGGGGCGCTGAAGGGGGAGTGCAGGGTGGGGAGAGCCTGGCATCAGCACCCACAGACTAGAGAGCAGCAAGCAGTGGGAGACGGGCAGGGAAGCCGGGCCTGGCTGCGCTAGGTTTGAGCAGCCCAAGGACAGCGTGGAAGAGGCTCCTGGCAGGCACAGGGGGTGAGGGGTGAATGGGAGGGGATGCTGGCCCCGTCCTGTCCCCAGCCCCATCATCCCCCGAGGTAGGGAAAGGTGCCTGAAAGCCCACAGTTGTCGTGTGAATCTTTCACGTGGACTGGGGGGTGATGGGGCAGAGACTTTACATCGGTTGTTCATTTGTCCAGACCTTTGTTGAGCGTCATGTGTCAGAAATGGGGGCAGGGACCTCGAGGATAGTAATAATACAGGAATTATGATGGCTGACATTTGCTCAGGCTTCTGGAAGGGTGTCAGGGACTTTAACACAGTGCGCTAATCCTCACACCCTCACACCCCAGCCCTACCTCCCCAATTCCCATCTCCTAGGGTTTTACAGAGGAAGAAACTGAGGTCGTCATAAGCTGGAGTCATTTGGCTAAAGTCACAGGTTTCAAAACACTCAGGATTGGATTTAAGCCTCAGATTCCAGCACCCAGGTGGGCCTTCCCCCACCCCAGGCCCAGTGAGCAGTCCCCCGGCAGTGCTGTGGAGATGTTTACCATGAGCTTGGTGTCAAACGCTGGGCAGGCCTGCCTGTGACCATGGCCCATCTGAACTTGCTAACAAGAGTCAGGTGGATGGGAATGGAACAGAGGCTCAGGGAAGGGACAGAGTTACAAAGCAAAAGGCTCTGGTTCAGTCTAGAGCTAGACTTCCTGGGTTTGAATCTCAGTTCCCTTACGAGAGAGACCTGTGACCCCAGGTGAGTTACTGAGAGTCTCCGTGCCACTGTTTCCCATGTACAAAATGGGAATTATCATAGGAACTGCCTCATGCGGCTGTTGTGAGGATTACATCAGAAAGCTCAGCACAGCATCGGAACAGAGTTTGCTTTCTGTTTTGTCATTTTGAAAGAGGGTCTCTCGCTGTCACCCAGGCTGGAGAGCAATGGTGCAGTCAAGGTTCACTGCAGCCTCGATCCCCTGGGCTCAAGCGATCCCCCCGCCTCCACCTCCTGAGTAGCTGGGACTTCAGGTATTTGTCATTACACCCAGCTAATTTGTAAAACTTTTTGTAGAGACGGGGGTCTCCCTCTGTTACCCACACCGGTCTTGAATTCCTGGGTTCAATTGATCTTCCCGCCTCAGCCTCTGAAAGTGCTGGGATGACAGGCATGAGCCACTGCACCCGGCCAGCTTGGCAGTAGTAAGCACTCACAGGTCCCAGCTCTTGTCCCCACTGAAGAATGAGCAAGTGTCCAGTGGGAATGGCAGGACAGCAGACAGGACAGCAGAAGACCAGAGGAGAGGCATGGCCTGGGTGCTGGCCCTGGACATACCTCTGGACCCTTCCAAGTCCTCACGGTGGGGGAGCAGAGGCCACGGTGGTGCAGAGCCCGAACCACCGCTGTAGGAGGCCGCACTGCCCGCCCCACCCAGACTGTTCCCTTGGCAGGGCACGGGGGAGGCAGGGCATCCCGGAGCTGCTGGGAAGTGACTCAGGAACACGGTGTCTCCCGGAGCTCCAGGGCCCGGCAAGTCCACCTGGAGGCCGGGCCCCTGCAGCTGAGGAGGGCACAGCACGAGGCATTTTAATGTCTTTTAAATCCGTAGCTGGGATGAGACACCCATTCACACGACCTTTGTCCGTTCCTGCCTGGAGCCGCTGCAGTGAGTTAATAAATACTGGAGGAGGTGGGCCGAGCCTGCGGGGGAACAGCTGTGCCCCGAGGAGGGAGCTCTGGCCCAGGCGGCCTAGGCCCTCATGGTCTCCTCTGCTAACGGCATCCCAGACCAGTGCTGAGTTAGCTGGTCACTATACTTACCTGTAACGACAGGGATGGCCTGACATTCCTGAGGCCATGCCTTGTTTTCAGCCACAGCCTGCGGGATCGTCCCCAACCTTGGGGTCAAACCACCTGTCACATTGTAAGCAAAATGCTCTACAGTGGTACCCCCAGTGGGGTCACCAGCCCTGTAGGGGTGGCATTGCCTGCGCGCTCTGTGGAGATGCACGTTTTCAGGCTGCCCCAGCCCCACTGGGTCAGCAGCGCAGGCCGGCCATGATCGGCTTCACAAGGCCCCAGGGGTTCTGAGGTGCACTCTGAGGAGAGTCCTGGTAACTCCAGGGAGATGGAAGGGTGCGACGCCTGACGAGGGTGGGGGAGCACTGCCGGACCACAAGCAGAGCGGGGCCTGGCCCCAACTCCATCAGTCACTGTTTAGCCGGGGCTCCTCCTGTGCCTGTTTCCTCTTTTGGAAACCGAACACGACAGTGTGTCCTTCGATGGCATTTCAGGACTGCTGTGAAAATCAGCAAGATGCTACAGACCAGAATCTTGCAAAGTGTGAAGTTCGTCAGTCAGGAATGCTAAGAGCCTCAGTACCCCACTCTTCACAGGTGGCCTGTGACCCTCTGAAAAATGGCAAGGACTTCCTGGCAGCCTTTGGTAAGGCAGGGCAATGGCACCAGGGTTGGAGAACCACATACAGAAAGCTGAACAGGCTGCTGTGCCTGAACCTGGTCCCACCCCCCGGGGTGTCTCTTTCGCTAATGAATAATGGGCTCTGCACACGCAGGTGTGCCTGTGGGGAGGGAAGGGGGGTGACATCACCCTCTTGTGCATTTCCGGGTCCACAGGAGGCAGGGCAGGTGACCATCGGAAGCATTTACTTCAGGCCAGCTGCTTCACTTACATCATCTCCATGAACTCTCATGGCACCTCTGCTAGGCAGTTATTTTTTATTTTTTTCTATAGTTTTGAACACAGCCAGGCAGTTCTTAACCCAATTCATAAATGAAAAGACTGAGGCAGGAAATGACCTGCCCAAGGCGGGCAGGGGTGGAGCTGGGATTCCAATCCACGTATCTGCGATCCGGAGCACGCTGTGGCGTCTCGGGCAGGGGTGCAAGGTGGTGGGCCATAGGAGAAAGGAGCACAGAGTCCCTGGATAGCGGCACTCGGGATGTATCATGCAACACGATGGAAAACAACTTTTTAGTAAAAAGTAAAGCTTCAAAATGTGGTCTATCCATACAATAGAATATTATTCAGCCTTAGGAAGGAAATTAAAAATGTGAAAAAATGCAGGTGAACATGTGTTTAAAGAAAAATTAAAAAAATAAATTCTGATACATACAACATGGATGAACGTTGACATGTTAAGCAAAATAAGCCAGTCACAGAAAGCCAAATACTGTGTGATCCACTTACGCGAGGTGCCCAGAATAGTGAAATTCAGAGAGACAGAAAGTAGGATGCTGGTTGCCAAGGAGCTGGCGGGAGGGAGGAATGGAGAAGTTAGGCTTCATGGGGACAGGGTTTTTTCACTAGCTGAGAGCCCTATAGAGGGAGTCCAGAACACCATGATGATGGTTGCACAATGACCTGAATATATTTACCACCGCTGAACAGCGCACTTACAAATGGTGAAGATGGTAAATCTTGTGTTATGTGTATCTTGCCACAATTTTAAGAATTGAAGGAAAAAAGGGCTTCAAAGAAGTGGCTGTGGAGACCGTGATGTGCATTGGCTCCCAGAGGCTCCGCTCCTGCCCTGCCCAGCCTGCTCCAGGCCCCAGTGAGCGGCAGAGAAGAACTGCAGGCACGCAGGGGAGCCCGGCTGCTCTCAGTGGAGCCTGATTTGCTCTCAGTGGCTCTCCAGCTCATCTCAGGATTCGAGGCTGAGGCTTCCTCCTGCTTCCACCTTTTCCGGGAGCTACTGTTCTCACTGCTCAGTGGAGGAAATGGAGCCAATGAGGGAGGCCCCTGCTCACGCGGCCTCTGGGAGCCTGGCTGGGATTCCAGCCCATGCGTCTCATCTCCCACCTTGTCACTGCACACACGGCACAGCAACCCGCTCCCGGGCGACTCCATCAGGTGTGACATTTCCCCAGGTTGACCTTTTTAAATAAAAAAATATATTTATATTTTTTTCAGATGGAGTATCACTCTGTCACCCAGGCTGGAGTGCAGTGACGCGATCTCGGCTTATTGTAGCCTCTGCCTCCCAGGCTCAAGTGGTTCTCCCACCTCAGCCTCCTGGGTAGCTGGGATTACAGGCACACCACCACACCCAGCTAATTTTTGTATTTTTAGTAGAGACGGGGTTTTGCCATGTTGCCCAGGCTGGTCTTGAACTCCTGAGCTCAAGTGATCCGCCTGCCTCGGCCTCCCAGAATGCTGGGATCACACAGGTTGACCTCTTGATGTCAAGAGGGGAAGAAGCTCTCCTGATGTATGAGTCCTCCCAGATCCTTTATAGAAATGGCTGCGTTCTGGTGGCAGGGGAGGGGACCAGCTATCTGCAGCGCACGGCGGTGATAAAGACATCATCAAGCAGAACATTGAATTAAGTCTCATTTATTCTAGGGCAAACTCAAAAGGGTTTTTTTTTTGTTTGTTTTCTTTTTTAGCAAATCCTAGCACATTATTAACAAAAAAAATCTGTACATTTGCCATGATACACTTGAAAGTGAAACAAATAAGATATAAATACAGATATGGATGTAACATGAAAAAGCCCAAAAACAAAAAAATACCAAAAAAAAAAAAAACAACCCAAAAAACCCACCCAACCTGGGGATGTGGGGACCATGCGTGTGAACACAGTGCCAACAAAACTATTTTGGTGGCTGATATTTTTCAGAGCATTTCTTTATTTCCAAACATTATTGTTAGCAAAGTCCTGGTGGGATTCTACAAAGTCCTTATTTGCTGTCCTTTAAAGTGGAACATTATGCTTGATAAATAAAGGGTGGCAGGGAAAGAAAAAGGCTGATGAGACAAAGTCAGTTGCATTACCTGCACAGGGTGGTAAGCTAGTGAGGCGCGTAGAAAAGGCAGGCCCGCGGCATCGCCGCAGGTCCGGGAAGCACACACAGTGCACTTGAAGGAAGCTGCGTGCCCCAAGGACTGGCCGCACCCTGCCCAGACCCTGGCTGCAGGGGAGGCAGCAGCTTGGAGGAAGCAGGGAGTCAGCCCTCCCGGCCCTGCAGTGGAGCAGCAGGGCTCTCGGGCCCTGGCCAGTCAGGTAGGTGGGGAGGCAGAGACAGGCCTAGGTGCTCTGCTCTTGTGTGTTCTGTTTTTCATTGGAACAGGGGCCCTGCAGGGAGGCGGCGGCAAGGCAAGGCAGCTGCAGCTGTCAGGGTCTAGGGGGCGACGGTGGGCTCGGCGCCCTCCCAGTGAGGTGGTGGCGGCATGCGAGTCTCCTCGGCGCGGCGGCAGCAGTTTTCAGATTGAGGCCAAGAGACCTGTGACGTGATTGTATCTCTCTTTGTCAGGAGACTGAAGACTGGGCAAGTGACATTCAAGGCTAGCCCTTTGTGAGTACTATGAGGACGTCCAGCGATGTTCAAGATCCTTTCTCAGTACACCGGGGACTGCAGGGCCTTCTGGAGTCAAAGAGCTCAAGGAGAAAGGTCTTTCTAACTGCATGAGGCATAAAGACACAGATAACCTAGCCCGACGCACATTCCCAAAACAGACGCGTCAGCAAAAGACTCCCTCATTCACTTGTAGAGTGTAAAAAAGAAATACCATTCATGACATTTTAATAAACCAACAGTATTTATCAACAAAAGACCTGGTCCTGCTATATTTTAAGCCAAAGCTAGTCAGGAATACCCAACCCCTTGAAATGCATCCCTCAAGTTCCTGAAACAGCAGCAGTGAGGTACCACACGTGTAGGGTGCACGCACACACACACCACACGCCAAACACACACACTACATGCCACACACACACACCACACGCCACACACACACACACCCCCCCACAGTCAGCACCCTGGCTTCACTGTTCCTACACATTATGAGGCCTTCATTTTCAGCGCATGTTTCCAAATACAACATCAGTCTTTCCCAGCTTCCTACATCCAATCTGGAGGGTCAGGGCAGAGGGGTCTGTGGAAATGATGGTGAGAACCACGTGCTCTGGCACCCAGCGTCTGCTTTCAGTCCTAGCAGTTGCAGTGGGCTCTGCACTGGAATAGCAAATACATTATTAGAATTAATCTCAAAAGAAGCGTTTTCCTTATGGAAAAATCAGTTCCATTTATAGGATCTAATACAACAGGAAGAGACAATAGAAGTCCTCATGATTGCATTAAGAATTTCCATTTGGCTTAAGAATTTTAGTCAAAATTGGCTGGGCGCGGTGGCTCAAGCCTGTAATCCCAGCACTTTGGGAGGCTGAGACGGGCGGATCACGAGGTCAGGAGATCGAGACCATCCTGGCTAACACGGTGAAACTCCGTCTCTAATAAAAAATACAAAAAAAAACTAGCCGGGCGAGGTGGTGGGTGCCTGTAGTCCCAGCTACTCGGGAGGCTGAGGCAGGAGAATGGCGTGAACCCGGGAGGCGGAGCTTGCAGTGAGCCGAGATCTGGCCATTGCACTCCAGCCTGGGTGACACAGCAAGACTCCGTCTCAAAAAAAAAAAAAAAAAAAAAAGAATTTTAGTCAAAATTTATTTAAACCGACTGCAAACCTCTAGTTGCTTTTATTGGAGTAATCAGGCTCTAAAGGTGTGTGTAAAAGGGGGTAGTGGTTCCTTGAGGAGGAAGACAGACTCTAAACGTGTGTTCTTTTTAAGTGTGTTTCTAATCCTGTTTTTCTGCAATCTGCTACACCTCATAATTATTTTCCTTAAACAGTGACTATTTCATCAACAGACATTCAAGGAACGACTTCAGTTTATAACATTAAGAAAACTGTGATATCCAGTCTCTCTAGGCTTTTCTTTGCTCTTAATTCCACATTAAATGGAGAAGTCAGAACTAAGATGGTAAAGATGGCATTTACCAGATTAACTGAGACCATGTTAGAACTGAACAGCTTCAGCAGAACTTCGGGGAGAGGAAAGAGGTTGCTGCTAAATCTGAATCACCAAGTAGCCCAGGGATGTGGGTCTTGGCAGAACCCCCATGACAACAGTGTTCCCAAGGATCTCAGCAGTAAAGATGAAAGACTTCTCTTTTATCTTCTGTGCTTCATGAACTGCCATCTCAGGCATCCCTACATGATGCCATACATTTATCTTATTTTTGTGTCCAGATTTAAATTTGAAGAATTCCTTTGCATGGAAGCTCTGGGGTGAGGACCTTGTCTGTGGAGTTGATTAGGGAGGGCTGGAAGGAGACTGCTGGGGTGCACTCCCAATTCTATGCTGAAAGCCAGGGCAGTCGGCCTCCAGTCCGGATATGACAAGAAAAATTCCCAGCGTTTGTTAAAAGGCCATCTTCAGACCGTTCTTGCCAAGACTTGCTTCCCATTTTTAGTAGGTCTCAGAACACAAAGATGTGTCACCTTTCATGGTGTCAGCTGTGAAAGGGGCCCCACATAGACCATACTCACAAGAAAATAGGCTAAGGAGGAGGAACACAAAGTAACACCCCACCCCACCCCCAAATCCGTTATTAACTGAAAAAAAAAAAATGCTACTTTCTACCAAGTAGTGGCTACAGCGCTCTGATTTTTAAAAACTGCACCCCACACACATGGTTTCGCCATCGCAGCAGGCTGTACAAGACATGTTTCAGCATGGCTCTTTTCTGTTCTTACTCCTTTCATTTTGTATGAAGACTGCAATACAGGCCTTGCTTCCTTTACATTCAATACCAATAAGATTCTACAGAAAAGCTGGAAGGGACCAAAATACTGATTGTAATAAATATTTGTGGGCCTCCTTGTACTGACTGGGCAGCCGATGAAGGGGGTGGGGAGAGGTCTCTGAGAGGCACCACCGATTGCTTCTAGGTCTACACAAGAGACAGGTGCTGCCATTAGCTGTGCGTGGAGACATCGGAGGAGGAGCTGCTGTTGCTGTTAGTGGTCTGGGCCCTCTTGATATATAAGTTTAGTAGCTTCATCTGAAAAGAGAAGATGAAACTGAATTAGCAGGAAGAAAAGCAATCAGAAAGTAGAAAACAGGAAAAAGAATCCCAGGTGACAGTAAGAAAACAGCAAGTCCCTTCGTTCCCTTGGTTGAGGAATTCATTATAAAAACATGTTCTGAGTGCCTGCTGCTCATCCAATGCATCTGCCAGGTGCTAGGGACACAGAGGTGGAGAGGGAAAAGCAGTGGGCAATTACAAGAACACCACCAGGTGTCACAACTAGGTGGGCCGCAGCAGCTCATGGAGGAAGGGATACGGGGGCAGGGCCATTCATCTCAAGGGCGACTGCAGCCCAAAGGCTCCATCAGAGCCAGGGGAAAAGCAGGGTGAGAACCCCGCTCCACAGGGGTGAAGTGGCTGGGCCAAGGTCAGAGGGCAAATCCTCTAACCTTCACACCTTTAGCTTCTTGAGTAGCTGGGAGTACAGGCGTGTGACACCATGCCTGGCAGTACTTTAAATGTAAATGGATTAAACTCTTCAATCAAAAGATAGAAATGGGTGGAATGGATAAACATTTGATCCAATTATATGCTGTCTATAAGAAATTCACTTCAGATCCACAGACATAAATGGATTGAAAATGAAAGGATATAAAAAGATATTCCATGGAACAGTAGTCAAAGAGAGCAAGGCTGGCTATACTAACATCAGACAAAACAGACTTGGCATCAAAAAAGCTTCTGGAGGTAAGACTTCGATACCCCACCCTCAATAATGGATAAAAGAACCAGACAGATGATAAGCAAGCAAATAGAGGACTTAACCCTAAACCAACTTGATCTAACAGATGTATATGAAACTCAACAACGGAACACACGTCCTTCTCAAAGGATACGTCAGGTTTCAAATCTATTGAAACTTAATGTGTGATTTAACATATGGTTTATCCTATTCTCCAGGATAGACCACATGTTAAATCACACATTAAGTTTCAATAGATTTAAAAAGATACCAAAGTATCTTCTCCAACCATAATGGGATGAAGTAAGAAATCAATAATAGAAGGAAAACTAAAACATTCATAAATTTGTAAAAACTGAGTAACATATTCTTAAACAACCAATAAGTAAAGAAGAGGTCATAAGGTAAACTAGAAAACATATTTAAAACAGAATTTTTTTTTTTTTTGAGACAGGGTCTCACTTGGAAGCCCCGGCTGGAGTGCAGTGGCACAACCTCAGCTTACTGCAGCCTCGACCTTCCAGGATCAGTGATCCTCCCACCTTAGCTTCCTGACTAGCTGGGGCTACAGGTGCACGCCACCATGCCCAGCTAATTTTTGTATTTTGTATGATGGGGTTTTGCCATGTTGACCGGGCTGGTCTTGAACTCCTGGGCTCAAGTGATCCTCCTGCCTCAGCCTCCCAAAGTGCTGGGATTACTAGCATGAGCCACCGCACCTGGCCTTAGAAAACATCTTGAGACAAATGAAAATGAAAAGACAATTTTGGGGGATGCAGCAAAGCAGCGCTGAAGAGGGAAATTTAGAGTTATAAATGCTTACATTAAAAAAGACCTCTCTAATCAACAACCTAAACTTTACCTTAAGGAACTAGGAAAAAGAAGTACATCTAAAGCTAGCAGAGCAAACAATAAAGATTTAGAGCAGAGATAAACAAAACAGAGAATACAAAAATAGAGAAAACTGGCTGGGCACGGTCACGCCTATGATCTCAGCACTGTAGGGGGCTGAGGTGGGAGAATCGTTTGGAACCAGTTCAAGACCAGACGTGCAACACAGCAAGACCCTATCTCTACAACAAATTAAACCATTAGCTTGGATTATGTGTGCCTGTAGTCCCAGCTACTTGGGGAGGGGGCTGAGATGGGAGGATGGCTTGAGTCCAGGAGGTCAGGGGTGCCAGTGAGTCATGATTGTGCCACTGCACTAAAGCCTGGGTGACCAAAAAAAATTATGTTTATTTATTTATTTATTTTTGCACAGACGTGGTCTTGCTGTTGCCCAGGCTGGTTTGGAGCTTCTGGCCTCAAGTGACCCTGCCAAAGTGCTGGAATTACAGGCGTGAGCCACCCGCTCCTGGCCCAATCAAATAATTTCCATCAAGTGTGCCAAGACCATTCAATGGGGAGAGGATCATTTTTAACAGATGAGAAATCGCCATTGGGTATGTCTTTTCAACAAACGAGATACCCATCCTCATCTCATAGAGGATGACTATTAGAAATAATTAGGAATAAATTAGAAAAATGAAAAATAAAAACAAAGTAACAAGTGTTGGTGAGGAAGTGGGGAAATTCGAACACTTGTGCACTGCTGGTCAGAATGTAAAATGGTGCAGTCTCTGTGGAAAACAGCAGGGAGGTTCCTCGAAACCTTAAGGACTTGAACAGATGCACCAGTGTTCACAGCAGCATTATTCACAAGAGCCAGAAAGTGGAAGCAACCCAGGGTCCATCAACAGACGAGCAGATAAACAAACCGCGCTATCTACACACAATGGACATTCAGTCTGGAAAAGGAAGGAAATCTGACAAATGCTGCAACATGGATAAGCCCTGAGGACACTATGCTAAGTGAAATAAGCCAGCCATAAAGGACACATATGATGTAATTCCACGTATATGAGATACCTGGGGTAGTCAAATTCACGGAGACGGAAAGTAGAATGGTGGGTGCCAGGGGTTGGGAAAGAAGGAAATAGGAAATTATTGTTTAATGAGTGCAAAGGTTCGGTTTTGCAAAATGAAAAAAGTTTCGAAGATGGATGGTAGTGATGGTTATACAACAATATGAACCACACACTTAAAAATAGTTACAATGGGCTGGGTGCGGTGGCTCACACCTGTAATCCCAGCATTTTGGGAGGTGGAGGTGGGGGGCGGGGGTGTTGCTTGAGGTCAAGAGTTCAAGACCAGCCTGACCAACATGGTGAAACCTTGCCTCTAATAAAAACACAAAAATTAGCTGGGCATGGTGGCAGGTGCCTGTAATCCCAGCTACTTGGGAGGCTGAGGCAGGACAATCATTTGAACCTGGGAGGCGGAGGTTGCAGTGAGCTGAGATCACATCACTGCACTCCAGCCTGGGTGACAGAGTGAGACTCCATCTCAAAAAAAGGAAGTTACAATGGTAAATTTTATTATACCACAATAAAAAGATTGGGGGCGGGGGGGGAAGAAAAGAATGCTTGTTCGAGATCATAAAACTCGTAAGTGGGGAACAGGGAACAGAAGGCAAGCTGACCCCAAAGCTAGTGCTGCTGCCCTAGCAACACGGCATCTCTCCAAATGTACTACACAGTCTCCTTCCCGTCATCAGACCTCTTCCTACAGACCCTGGTATCATTTATTTTTTCTTTTTCTTTTAAAAAACATTTGAGACAGAGTTTTGCTCTGTTGCCCAGGCTGGAGTGTAGTGGTGCGTTCTCAGCTCACTGCAAGCTCCACCTCCCGGGTTCAAGCAATTCTCCTGCCTCAGCCTCTTGAATAGCTAGGATTACAGGCATGCGCCACCACACCCAGCTTATTTTGTATTTTTAGTAGAGATGGGGTTTTACCATGTTTGTCAGGCTGGTCTTGAACTCCTGACCTCAGATGATCTGCCTGCCTCGGCCTCCCAAAGTGCCGGGATTACAGGCGTGAGCCACTGCACCCGGCCTTCATTTATTAACCTCATTTAAGCACAAAGAGAGGGTGTTCCCACAGGCCTGTAACACTGGGACACAGGGAGCCATGACTTGATTCTCTTTGTTTCTAGTGAAGGAAACTGAGACAGACTTGGCACCAGGTTCTGCCAGCTACCATCCAGCTGAGGAAGGGAGGGAGTTTGTATTAGGAGATGCGTACCTGAGTCTATGAAGTTCATACGAATATACCAGAGCTATTACATTAAAAAAAATTTAGGCCAGACATGGTGGTTCACATCTATAATCCCAGCACTTTGGGAAGCCAAGGCGGGAGGATCTCCTGAGGTCAGGAGTTCGAGACTAGCCTGGTCAAGCGGGCAAAACCCCGCCTCAACTAAAAATACAAAAACTTAACCAGGCGTGGTGGCACACGCCTGTAATCCCAGCTACTTGGGAGGCTGAGGCAGGAGAATCACTTGAACCTGGGAGACAGAGGTTGCAGTGAGCCGAGACTGTGCCACTGCACTTCAGCCTGGGTGACAGAGCGAGGCTCCATGTATTAAAAAAATAATAATAATAAAAAACTTAATGGCTGGATGAACTGGGCTACTAAAGCAGAAAGATGTGAAGGCCAGTCTCTCCAAAGCCCTGAGGAACTAGGGTTGTAACTGGGGGAGGGAAGGTGCTGGCTCCTGGTCAGGAACGTGGGTTCTGGACCCAAAGCTTCACCACGAGTGGCAGCAGTGGGTCCACTGCCAAATGGGGAGGAGAAAGCGCCTGGATTTTCCGTCCCTCATCCAAAGGGTCAAATGAGTTGATGGGGCAACTCTCTTCCTCAGGAAAGTAAAAAGTGCCAGACAAAACCAAGGTGTGACTCATGTTATTTTTGGATGAATTTTCCATTTTCTAAATCTAATTTCCTTTGTGAACTGTACCATCGAAGGTCCTCCCGGGCAGCAGGAATCACCTACAAATCCCTGATGGAGGTAGGAGAGCTGGGGGGACTTTTGCTCAGGACTGTTCAGATAATCAGGAAGGGGATCTGATGAGGAGCCTGTGCAGCAGTAGGGCGAGGAGAAGGAACTGGAGAACAGAATCAGGTCACTCCCAAGCTATGCACTGCACACCTGCCTCATACACCTCTTCCAGCCTATCTGCTGATTCCTGATTACAAAAAGAGGAAAGTGTCTCCTCTGAACCACCTGTTCTCAACCAGGGGTGATTCTGCCCTTCAGAGGGTATTTGGGCAGGTGTGAGACAGCAGGGATGGTTACAATGGCAGGGGGTGCTATTGGCACATGTCGGTATAGACAGTGGTGGTCAGAGATGCTGCTTAAACTTCCTACCACACACAGGACGGCCCACCTCAACAAGGTGGCCCAGAGTGTCAACAGAGCCAAGGTGGAGAAACCCTGCTCTGAACACCCCAGCCAGAGCTTCGCTTCCCCAGAACTCCGGAGAAGCAAGGCTCCAGCTGTAATGCTCACCAGCAACAGCTCAATCTGAAATGAAATGGGCCCCACTTGCCAATTCCTCCTCTCGTAAGAGCAGGCGCTTCTGGTTTCATGCTTTCCACTGGCTTCGTCTGATAGAGTGGTTTGTATAAAAAGGTGGGGATTTTAAACCCCACAGAGATGTGCTTTCTCCACAGGCAGGTCCTGAGGCCCCAGGCACAGCTGGCCTCCTCTCCGGGAGCCAAGGCCTCACCTCTTCGCCATGCCTCTCCTGCTGCAGCATGAGGCCGGGTTTTTAATCTGCTCTCACCAGCCTAGCACGTCAGATTTGAGTGATGTCGTTGTTCTTTTAACTAAAACCAATAAGCAGTCCAGCCACTCTCATTTTCAGTGACACCCATTTTGGTCCATTTTCTTCCCCTAATTCCAGACACCCTTAAAGGAACATAGGAGGCAGCAGTGTGAGGAAGAAGTCTGCCTCCTGGAGTCAGGTCTGCGCCTGGGGCAGGTTAAGGGGATGACCATGCCCACAGGGATGTTGCTGTAAACATGAGTCAACACATGCAGAGTGCGTGGGGCTGCCCCGCAGGCTCAGGGTGAGAGCCAGCTGTTGCCACTACTGATGCCCATGAGGGACTCAGCTCTGATTCAGCAACTGCTAAGCAAGCAGGTACATTTCTTTAGTGTTTCCATGAACAACTGGATGGTTTCTGATTAAAGCTGTTTTTCTTTTGGAAATAAAGCAGCAGCTCAAAATCAGCATTTCATAAACAGGAGTTGAGGCAGACTATGTTGTATAATGTTAGTGTTACCTTCAACTGATTTCACTGTATAGTTCATTTTTATATTTAGAAAAATGCTATTGGAGAAATAAGGCCCCGCTAAAACACAATGAACAAAACCTGTCTGGAATCCAGAGCTGCAGTCAAATGGGTTTAGGACGAGCTGGCAGAGCCCAGGTGTGCTTCTCAGCCAGGTAACACTATACATACCTTGCTCCCTGTGAGCTGTGCAAGGTGAGGTTTCAGGTCTTCTCCGATTACGGAATAAATTGCCACCAAGCAAAACACGCTGGCCTTGCGCACGCTACTTTCGGTGTTGTCATAACCCTAGAGAGCCAGAGGAACACGAAAAGGAAACCAGATCAAAGATTCAGTCCCTAGCCAACATCCCATCAGCATTTCCACAAATGCCCTCCGAGTTCAACCCTGGACTTGTCAGTAACAACCCATGATAGACCTCAGCCCCGCAATGGAATCCAGACAGCTTTCACCCCAAAGATGTCACAACTTAGCATCAAGAGAAACTTGGTTTCTGGGGCGCGGAAGCAGGAGGGTGGCGAGTCCCAGACTGGTCTCTGCGTCTGCACAGGCACCACCGTGTAACAAGCTGCCACCCAAGAAACATTGCAGACAAGAGAGAATGAGAAAAAGCAACAAAAATTGCTTTGTTCCCATTTCTCCCAAAGGTCAAGCAAATTTCCCTGTGAAAACGCCTTTAAAGAAATGAGAACAACATTACTCGCTCTTGTGAGCAAACCCTTCTACCCTCCAGGAATTGCTGGGGACCGTCTGGTCCCACAGCCTGATGTCCGTGTCCCTTTGCAGCTGGGCCTCCATCTATCTGTCGGCCTCATCCTGGCCCACACCCAGCTGGGGCTACCTGCTGCTGTTCTCCAAACAGCCTGGGACTCTTCAGCCTCTGTGCCTTTCCCTTGGTTTGGAATAATCTAGTCCTCAACAGTTAAGTGTTTAATCCCCAAGCCAAGCACCCAGCAAACAGCAGCAATGATTAAAAGTGATGCTGACTCCTCTCTACCTTTCCCCAGTGAAACTCCCTCGCCAAGGGCCAACTTGAACCCACCTCTTCTATGAACCCTCTCTCCCCCACCCCAGCCCGGAACCACTTCTCTGCTGTCATGGAGCCCATGGTGACACCTGTCGTTGTCTGTGTGGCTGCACAGTAGGCTGAAAATCTTCTGAGGCCGTCCACACAGTGGAACACAGCTGCTTGATGCCAGTCTGTCTCACTCACTGTCTCATGCTTAGAAGAGTTTCAGTAAGTATTTGTGTGCTGCATGAGACCAAGGACCATTGTTTGATTTACACTCAATGGCCCACCTCGCCCAGGGCTGGGGCTACAGCAGGTGTGCAACATGGGTTTGTTGAAGGAATGGACAAAAAAAAATGATCAAAATATGTTTATAGTAAACAGAAAGTTCATTCTGTGAGCCGCCAGGAAAGTCTTCTCAGTGCATTCAGGAGAGGGGGTGAGCTGGAAACCCACAGAGGCGGCGGTGAAGTGTCCCTACCGCACGGCCTCACAGGTCCTGCCTGGTTGCCAGTGAAGGAGGAGCACAAAGCCCTTAAACATTAGTTCAAGTTAGGCAGCCCCACCCAGGCCGGGGGCAGGCCCCACCAACACGCGGGCCTACCTGCAGCAAGCCTGGGATGATGTCGGCGAGGAGCTGCAGCAGCGACTCCTTGGCGATCCTCTCGACGACTTTGGTCTGCATCTTGATGGCAGCAAGGTTGATGGGGTAGTCGGCCGTCTGGATGATGGGGCAGAGCACCTTGATGCACTGCTCCGGGTGGATGGAACTGGCCAGTGTGGACGCAGCCTCCTCAGCCGCTCTCACCACCTGAAACGCCCAGTTCCCCCAGAGAGTGAGCTCCACAGGCCACACGAAGCGAAAGATCAAACATCGCTTCTGATTTCAGAGGCCAAAGGACAATGGCCTCACTCAACGTGAGACGACAGCCATTGCTTCGCCTGGCTCAATTGTTAAAGTAAACACGGTGGTCTGCAGGGTGATTTTAAAGGGGAGTGTGGGCCACGGAAAGGCAGATATGGGGGATTCTGGCAAAAACCTTAGAAAAGTGGTAGTCCAAGTGCAGCCCCCCATCAGCACCAGCAGCAGTGCTGGGAGCCTGTTAGAAATGCAACTTCTCAGGCCCACCCAGACCTGCTTACTCAGAGGTGGGCCCCAACTGGGGGAGGGGGTGCAGCGAGCTGTGTTGGCAAGCACCAGGTGATTTCTAGACACACTAAAATTGGAGAACCTCTGGCCTAGAAGACTAGGAGCTGCATACAGAAATGCTTCCCAATGGCTTGTGGGACACCTACAACTGGAGCATCTGGAAAGCAGCCTGGAGGAGATCAGTGACTTCAACGCTGGCACTTCCTGGAAGAGGCCCACCTGCCAGGCAGCTGGGAAGGCACAGAGAGAAGCCCCTGAAAGGGTTTTCCTGAGGAATCTCTTCTGGAAAGTTGCTTTTCTACGACTCTGTGCTCACGATGACCCCTTTGCCTTCCATTTTTTAGGGAGGTACGTGAAATGGCCGTCTCATGGTCAAAGGAGCAGCCTCTGACTTCTGGAGGGCCACAAGAACCTCTTGTAATAAAGATGGAAGCTAAATGCAAAACCCAGTGAGGAAAAAAGAGGACAGCAGAAAGCCTGGTAGAAAGAGCCTGGGCTTTGGGCTCAGGGAGCAAGTCCCCGTCACGCCAGTCCCAAATGCTAAAACTCCATGTCCTCATCTGTAAAACAGGGATGTCACAGAGATGAATGGGAAGCAGTACTCACGATCCAGTAGTCAGTAAAGGATGCTTCCTACTATCAGTAGCACAGAGTCCACATTGTATAAATGACAGACACAGACAGGCACCAGGCTATACGCACAGGCATTTTCTTACAAAGTACAACCGAACTCAAACACTTTCCGCCTGCTGCCCGCCCTGGCTGGGCTGCTCATTGCATCCAGATTCCTCTCTGCATTATGTTCTGCTACTCAAAGTAACTCAGCTCTAACTTCATACAACAAAAAGGTGAAGACCACCCGCCCACAGCTCCAGTCATCCCAGCCCTTGTGACTGAAGCAAGGCAGGCCCATGGAAACAGCATACGCATCATCTGGAAAGCTGCTTCTAGCTATGGGCATGGAGCGGGTGAAGAAGTCTGCACAAGTCAGGGAGCGTGGCAAACGGACAGGAGGCCCACAGAGAGGCCACCTGAGCTGTGTAGCAGACAGGCCCAGGGCTGGGCTCAGAGGCCATACAAGCTGCTTTGGGTCACTTTGGGGCCCTCACTGAGGCTCCCCTGGGCTCTGGGAAGAGACTGTGGCTCCAGAAGAGCCTGGGCTTCACCTTCGGCCCAGGGCTACACCGCCGCACGAGCACGGCTCACTTCAGGGAGTGTGCGTGGGTCCACGTTGTCAGCTCTGCTCTGTGGAATGGCAGAGGGAAATTTTTCCAACTAGACAGCTGAGTTCATCCCATTCACGATGGACATGTTTGGGGCCGGCCGTGCTGCTGACAGTGGGTTTTTCATTACAAAGCCCCATATGAGCTTTGGCTACTCACACCCACTACCTGACACTTATCACTACAAAACCCCTGGAAGAAAGTGCACCAAGGGTTAACGCTGCTTCTCTCAGGGCGGTAAGATTATGGGTAACTGTTTTCCTCTTCATACTTTTTAGATAGAAAAATTGCAAAGAACATTAGGCTGGTGCAAAATTAGTTGCGGTTTTTACCATTACAATATAACCTTGGTAGCAAGGAAAATGTATTCCAGAAAATCTACTTGAATTGTGTGAGGCCAGGGAAAGCTGGCAGCCCAGGCCTGGCTCAGGGTGGAAGGTGGCAGGGCGGTACACTTGAGGAGCAGGCTGCGCCTCATTGGATTCCTGAAGGGAACCCCACCCCGGCATACGGGAGGTGCTCCGTGGTGCAGCCAGCACCATCATCATGACTGCTCCTGCTGACCTCCCACTCTCTCCATAAAGCCCGTCTGCTGAACTACAAAACTCACCGTCCCTCAGATGTGGCTGACACACATGTCCCAGCCCCTGCCTAGGCCTCCCTATCGGACCGGTGACCCTTTTCCCCCAACTTCTGTTCTTCTGTCTGTGACACTCATACGGCACCACATGCAGACGGCTTTGTATTTTTGGTGGCATTTCCGTGTGTGTTTCTTCTTACCAAACAGCTTAGAACTGAAACATTTCTGTCATACCTCAGTACCCACTAAGCTGGGCATTTACCAGGAGTTTAGTACTTACTGAGGGACTGAGAATTCATTCTCCTGGCTGGCTGAGACTAGGTCCCACTTAGAGAAGCCCTACCTCCCTCACGTCTTTCTTGTGGAGGCCTTTTGTACTTTCTCTAGGAGGACCCGCTAACTCCTTGCAGCGCGGAGGAAAGGCTAGGAGTCTCATGAAGTAAGATCACCACACGCATCACCATGTAGCCGGCACCCTAGAGTGAACACACTGCAGCCACCTCTGGGGCCTACACCGGGATTATGGATGAATCCCTGATGGAGCCCCGGGTCAGCATGGCTTAAGGGTAAGTACTGTGTACAGGTCACAACACCCAAGATTCGCCCGTGCTCACTACGTATGTGAAGGTCAGGCTCGAGGACAAGGCACTGTGAAGGTCAGGCTCGAGGACAAAGCACTGTAGAGAGGCAATTTTATTTTAAAAGTCATGTCCAACTCTCAAGCACCTGACAGGATTCTTTCCTCTCATTTGTGCTCTGTGTGGACGTTTGTTCACCCAGCACTGACCAGGTGCCTTCTGTGTGTCGGAGACTGAGCTCAGAGCTCTGGCCACGCCGCTGAGGACTGGGCCATGCTCTGGTGGTTCAGGGCAGAGTGAGGGTAGTCTATGCAGAGGGGCAGCACGAGGGTGCGGAGACCCAGGGAAGAATCAGATGGCGGGGACCTGCTACCTGATGCACTTCCTGTGGGCGGCCAGGATTAGACGGGAGGAGGAGGGAGAATGGATGTGTGCAGAAGGCTTCTTTGGTGTTCTGCGGGCCTTCCTCCAGCTCAAGGGCCCTCAGCCATGCACGGCCAGCCTACCTTGCCTCTGCCTCATCCAGGCACCTCAGTGAGCAGGCCTTCCCTTGCCAGCCAAAGTGTTAGACTCAACGCTGATGGCATTCACTCCATGCCACAAACGTATAGGAAGGAGCCTATTTGAAGGAAGCCCACCGTGATTTCTTTTTCTTGCCAATTCAAACTCCTGCCAAAGTAGCTTTTGCCACACAGGTCACCTGAAAGCAGAGTACTGTTTGGACCCTGGTGTGTACATATGACCTTTAACTTTTTTGCCCCGACAAGGGCAGCCTCCAGAGTTAGATGAGCACATTCTCAGCCTCTGAGAGAAGGACAGGAGACAAACCTTAGTTCAATCCTCTGGCAAAAAACCTCCCTGGTCTGAGCTTCCATTTTTTAATTAAAAACTCCTAAAATGAGGATTTTATTTTTATTGTTTTGAGACAGACTCTCACTCTATCATTCAGGCTGCGGTGCAATGGAGTCATCTCGGCTCACTGCAACCTCTGCCTCCAGGTTCAAGCGATTCTCATGCCTCAGCCTCCCAAGTAGCTGGGATTACAGGTGCCCACCACCACACCCGGCTAGTTTTTGTATTTTTAGTAGAGATGGGGTTTCACCATGTTGACCAGGCTGGTCTCAAACTCCTGGCCTCAAGTGATCCACCCACCTCGGCCTCCCAAAGTGCTGGGATTACAGGTGTGAGCCACAGCGCCCAGCCTAAAAGGAGGATTTTAAAGTATCTACTTTGACAGTTATCTGAATTAAGAGAGACAAGATGTGAACCAGCTTGGTATATTTCAGCTACAAAACACATGATGGCTAAGCCAGACATGGAGGCTCCCGCCTATAACCCCAGCTACTTGGAAGGCTGTGCTGGGTGGATCACTTGGACCCAGGAATTTGAGACTAGCCCGGGCAACATGGAGAAATCCCATCGCAAACAAAAACAAAACACAAGCTAGGTGTTGGTGGAGGAATGACACCAGAGTGGAGCTGAGCAGCACAGGCGCCACCAGAAGGCACAGCCGCTGAGCCGGGAGCTCCCAAGTTGCTGGGGATGGGGAGTGAGGGGGGCAGAGCTCTGGGACCCCGAGACTCCACAGAAGGCTCCCAGAGCTCCGGGACCCCGAGACTCCACAGAGAACATCACACTGAATGTTCTAAGAATGGGTAACACTGGTAAGCCAGCTCCTTCCCTGGGGTCCAGTGCCAACATCATGACGGGCCTGCCCTCTCCAATGACCTCTAAGATGCCAGAGGCTCCTCAGCAAGGCTTGGCTCCTTCCTGCCTATGTGGTGCCTCCTCTCCCTGCCCACACCCTGCCCAGCCACATCTCTATGCCCCTGGCCAAGTCACCCTGAGGACTTACTGCAACACAACTCCCAGGACGCCTCATCATGTGTACGCTTCATTTTATCACTGCAGGTAAATATTTTGCTGAAATTTTCCCTCCCACTAGACTAAAAGTTCCTTGAAGGCAAGATCCCATCTCAGCCATCTTTCTATCCCTCATGCCTGGCACAATGTCCAGTATATACCAGGTGCTCAATAGCTGAACTACTTTCCCCATAGCGTGGGACACACACACACACACACACACACACACACACACACACACACACACACACAGAGAGAGACAGGGTCTTGCTCTGTTGCCCAGGCTGGAGTGCGATAGTGTAATCATGGCTCACTGCAGCCTCGATCTCCCGGGCTTAAGAGATCCTCCTACCTTAGCCTCCAAGTAGGTGGGATTACTGGCACGCATAATATTTTAAGTTTTTTGTAGGGGTCTCAGTATATGAGATGGGGTCTCACTATGTTAACCAAACTGGTTTCAAATGATCTGCCCACCTCAGCCTCCCAAAATGCTGGGATTACAGGCATGAGCCACTACACTCAGCCCAGCGTACATATTTTTAATGCTCATGACTCACAAAGTCACATCTGGAGAATGCCGCATTGACTTGGATTTACACTTTTCCTAAGGAGCTAGCACAGAAAATTAGGAGCACGGCAGGTTATCTACAAATGATCAGCTTGGGCTGTGGAAAAATCAACTGTACAAGGCCCAGAGAGTACCATTCCAGGTGACACACTGGCAAAGCAACAGACTAGTTCTTCGGAAAAGAGACTTCAGCTCAGGCTTTCCAGTCACCAGCTGTCTGAGGAGGACTGCCGTGTTTCTTGGAAGAGCTCCGTCAGGTAATGGGTTACCTCAGACGGGGTGCTCTTCTTCCTCCCCCATTTGTGCAGATCCCGAGGGCGTCTCTGAATCTGTGTGTGTTTGGGAGAGCCAAGCACGTGGCTGTGCGCCTATGTGGCTGAGTTACACACGGCTGAGTGGATGGTGAAAAGTGGAAGGAGACAGTCCCTCTCTTTTCTAATCTGGCCCAGCAATGAAACCATGCTCAGAAACTGCTGGCTTTCTACTGTGAGAAATCACTGCACGAGTATCCTAACACACCAGCCTGAAAGCTGAGGAACTTTTAGGCCTGTTTTTAAACCTGGAAAAAGAAATAAAAGGTCAGAAAACACTGGATGATTCTGTAGTGTATCAAAGTTAGAAAGCCCTGAAGCACAGGAGTCAGTATCTGAGGTCCCCGGGGAGGTGGGAAACAGCTCAGTGGGTGGAAAGAACACGGCTCTGGAGACAGGATTCAAGAGTTGGCAGCGTTGCTTTCCAGGCTTGACAGGAGCAAGCTAAGGCCTCCTGGTGCTCTTTGGGGTTGCAACGAGGATTAGTGAGAGCAGGCAATCGACTGTGGGGTTCATGGTGAGAACTCGCAGTTTTCCTTCTCTCCTCCCCATCTCCCGCACTCTATTGCCATTCAGGTTAAAGTGAATTACCCTACAGGCAGCTGCTGGGAAAAAAGGCTGTTTCAGATCTGCTGTGCTGAAACCCAAACCCAAGGAGCCCTTCACCTTACAAAAATCCAGGAATTCTGGATGTGGCCTGCAGGAAGCATTTGGTGAAATTTATCTATTATTTTATTTTATTTTGAGACAGAGTCTTGCTCTGTTGCCCAGGCTGGAGTGCAGTGGCACCATCTTGGTGGAAGCCTCCTGGTTCAAGTGATTCTCCTGCCTCAGCCTCCAACTAGCTGGGACAACAGGTGCACACCACCACGCCTGGCTAATTTTTTTTTTGTATTTTTAGTAGAGACAGGGTTTCACCATGTTGGCCAGGCTGGTCTCAAACTCCTGACCTCAAGTGATCTGCCTGCCTTGGCCTCCCAAAGTGCTGGGATTATAGGCGTGAGCCACCACGCCCGGATGATCAAATGTATCTAACATGGATGAGGGCTTTGGTTCTAAAATGTCTGAAAATACAGTCAGAAGCTGCACATTAAGATGGGTAGTTTGAGGCCCTCTTTTTCGCTGGAGTTACAGCAAGTTTCCCAAGACAGACGCTGGTTTTGGCAAGGCAGGTAGGTGTTCTCAACTTCCCTCTATACGCCAAACCCCTGGCTTTGGCGAGCTGCCTGAATCAGGGTGAACTTTAGGTTTTGCCCCTGTGTTCTATGTAACATAAGAAGCAAAGATTATAAATGTAAGCAAACAGAGAGCAAAAGTCAACATGGGCAGCAGAAACAAAGGAAGACAATACCACTTAGTACACACGGTGGCCAGAAGTGGCAGGAGTTAGAAAGGGGTGAGGGACTATTCAAAGAGGACAGGATCAAAAAGCCTTCTGGGTTATAATCTGCCTTGAAGTCATCAAAAACTGTTCCAATTCTGCTACAGTCTCATTAGAAACACAGGACTCCTTCCCCTTTCAGAGTCAGTGAAGTAATAGTGTCTAGCTAAGAAAAACATAATTTTCACATCTAGCTTTTTAAAAATGGGATTATTACTCAGAATACTGGTGAGTGTTTGCTTAAAGGTTTCTTTCTTTTAGCACATAAAGTTTTCAAACTTTGGATTGCATGGTTTAGGTTCACAAGGTTGTGATCTGGCTCTGTCACAGACACACCAGAATAACTGGTTGAGTCAAAAAAAAAAAAAAAAAAAAGCAAAGGTCCAGGAACAACAGTGGCTGGAATCAAAGAACTCTTCATGGTAGATGTCCTGAGCGTAGCTCCTCAATCGTGTGGAAGCTAAGGAAGAGTTTAGCGCCACCTTCTGGGAAAGGCCAGAAAGACCGTAAAAAATTGGATTGACTGAGTTTAAGTATCCACCAGTAGACTGGGGGAAAAAAAAACGACCAATGTCCCAGATTGGCATTGACATGGTCCTGAGATTTACAACAGAGTGCCAGCATGGCCCTGAACCTGGGACAAGAGTCCTCACTTAGCTAGGCTCAGTACCAGTGGGAGGGGAAATAAAAGTTCCAGGCTCTAAGTCTGGAGACCTGAGTTTTGGCCCTGGTTCTGGCATCAACTAGCCAAGTGAGCTTGGGGTAAATTTCTTCATTCTCTATGCCTTGGTTTTCCTCATCAGTAAAATGAAAGGGAGAACCTAAATCAATTATTTTAAAGGTATTTCAGATTATGACATCTTATCATCCAACTCTACCTGATGAGTCTCTTCCCCTGAAAAATGTGCATGCACAAAATTCCAAGGAACTTTGAAGAGCCTGAGGAGTAGTGTCTATATGAAATGACCTCTAACAAGACAGTCATCACATCCTTGCCTGGAAAAATAGATTCAGGGCAACACAATGGACATCTTCAAATGTGGTCGGGCTCTTACGTGGGAGATTTATTCTGTTCTCCTCTAAGGGGTAGAATTAGGGCCAACGGGGCAAATGATGAGAAGTGTAAAGAGTGGCAGAGAGTCCAGGAGGTGGGGTGTCCTGCTGTCCTGGAGATGCTGCAGAGGCTGGGCTGGCCTCTCAGGAGGTGCTCAGCATTAGATGGGAAGCTGGGCAGCACGGGTAAGGCTCCTCTTTGGCATTCTAATTCTGGTATCCATCTCTCAACACCCACGGCATTTCCTAGCCTAACGCGGACAATGTACTGGCTCCCCCAGCTCAAACATGGACGGATTCCAAACAAAGCAGTAGCCAAAAGATACAAGTCGTATTTTTGCTGGTGTTTTAGAATTTACTCAATTGCATTTAATAGCTTCTTAGGTGTATTTAGAGAAATGCAGTTGTAACTGCTTTATGTAGAATTTTAAAAACTTGACAATTCTATTCAAAATCAGTCTACTTTCTTCAATGGAAGAGTATAAGAAAGATGCTATCTTCAATTTTCAACAATGTCAACCACCTTACTTCACTTGACTTTAATGCCAGCCTCTCAGGGCAGGGTATAAAGCACCTGCCCCCCACCTCCCACCCAGCATACAAGTGCTTTAGATATCCAGAGTGTCTGTGACTTGTCCACAATTGCAGCCCGAGCTAGCAAAAGCAGCATGGGAACCCAGGCCTTCAAACCCCAAACCCAAAGGTATTAGCATTAAGCAATGGCTCTTCCTGAAGCTACAAGAGCTAAAGGGCAGGTGTCACCTCTGGCTCCTTAGTCAGTTCATCGGCGAGGCGGAACTACTCCCTACCCATGAGTAACGGCAGGAGCAGCCGCCACCACAGCCGCCACTCAGAACTAGCCACCGTGCCTGGCACTTCACAAGCCTGTGAGGTGGGCTATGTTTCTTCACTCGCCAGAGAGAATATGAGGGCTCACAAAATGGTAAGTCTCCTGCCGTCTTGGCTCAGCGGGGTTCAACCCAGGAGTGTCTTCCAACCCATGCCCCCTCCCTTGACCACGTGGCCTTGGCTCCTAGAGTTCTCTCCCTATCTGCTCTTTCTCAGCCCATCTCAGGTTCTAACTCCCTAAGGAACTCTTCCTTGACTATTCTGGCCCACTCCTAAACTCCTGGTGCACTTCACTTGGAAGCACACATGACTCTTTGCTTTAATCTCAACTAAACCGCAAGGCCCTTGAAGACTACAGTACACCACTACCCATCAATTATAAAACATTTATTGGAGTTTGTGCTATTAGTGTGACTGCTGGCTCAGTAACTTGGAACCTCTTGATGAAGCTATACAGGTTTTGGGGTTTTGTCTTTTTATTAAAAAGCAAAAACCTACAAAGAAAATGGGGCTTCTGGTCACATCCCAAGGTTGGGCCCAGGGAAAACTGAAAATTTAGAATTTGAAGATTTAGGTTTGTTACTCAATAGCAACTTGTATTATCTTGAGGCTGGATGAAACACAGATAATCATCTAGTCCACTTGGTATGATAAAAGATAAGGAAAAACCAAAGTACAGAGGGGTAAAGGCATTTCTCCAGAGTTCATGCAGTGTATTATTTCCCAGTGTCCACGGATACAAATGACTGCTGCCCTGAAAGGCATCTAAGGGCCATTCTTGAGTGCAGGGGATCTGGCTGAGATGAGGTCAGCTAGTGATTCTAACTGGTATTTGATCACAGACCTCTGGCACACCGGTGCCTTTCTCTGGCTATGGCGTTTGTCTAAAGGACTGCATGAGACACCATGCCGGCTGGGTGAATCAGAAACCAGACAAGTTCCCAGGAAGTTCTCTTTTCTTTTATAAATAACTTTGGTCTGATTTTGCCATTTTAATTCTTTAAAGTCATAAAATAAAAAGTTAACCAGAAATGATTTAAAAATAAAACCCCTGAAGACATAATACTGGTGGTTTTATATTTATCTAAGAATCAAACTTCCCAAAACAAGTCAAACCACTTGAAGCTGGATTCTGGTGCCTTAAACACCACGACCTTTGTGTGTGTAGCAAGAAATGTTTGGTGACCCAGCACGGTGACATGAATGATGCTAATATTTTCCTCTTTTAACAGACAAGTGTAACTGGATATGCACTAACGTGGCAAAGTTCAGAATAAGCTAAGTCTAGTGATCAGAAAACCTCAATTACAGAATATCTTCAAAAAACAGAGTTGGGCTTCTTTCGAGTTGGGCTTCTTTCAAGTTTAAATAAAACATTTACTGCGAACTTCAACATTATCGGTACTACAGGCACATCACAATGACTGGCAGCAACAAATATTCTTGCATTAAATGTGCATACAATGATTTATAATTAGTATGTTTCCTCAGAAATGGGCACTTCTGAAATGAATAAGGATGTCTGAGAACAGTTCTATGTAGCAACATTTGTAGAGCATATGACAATTTTAAAAGCGTATTTCTATATCATAATATCTTTCCTTCTCACAACAGAACTGCTTATTCAGGGTTATGCTGAGATGAAGAAACCGGGAACAGCTGGACAACAGGAGACGCGAGACTAAAAACCAGGTTTTCTGCCTCAAGATTTGTATCTCACACTGACCCCAGAATCTCTTTGTAGTATCAATTCTCTTATTTAATCCTCTCTTTTTAATCACCAAAGGAGAGGTTCTGGACCAGCTCTAAGAAACAGATTACAAATTCTAACATAAGAAGAGTTCAAATAAATGGAGTTCTCTTGGAAACAGAAAACGGGTTCAAAATTTTAAAAGATCGCTCTCAAGGCCTTAGCCCTTTAAGGTGTTTGCTAAGTGCCAACTCTACTGCAGACCACACTGGCTTCATGAATGAGGCACTGAAACTCAATAGCAAAATCTGTTTACTAAAAAGATAAAAAAGAAGTTAGATAATGAAAGAGACTTATTCAAATAGGGACTATGAAAACATTATGTCTAAGCTCAGAAACACCAACTTTTAAAATAAACACTCTAAATCGGTGTCCAAATCCTTCATCTATCTTGCTTACTACTACAGAACATGTATGTTAGCTTTGGATGAATGGTGTCTGAGACAGATTTGGTACTTGGCACATTTTCAGTGTGTAAGAAACACATTCTGCACATATAGCTCCTTTCAAAAGAAACTGAGAAAGCAGACGCTTGCTTACATGAGAAAACAAGCCATCTTATCATCAGTCCTACCTCATCCATCTTCCCAAATAGTTTTTGTGACAAATTTCAGTTTACAGAAATTGTATTTCAAGCAGCTGTCCTTCCTCACTGCAGTCACACAGTCAGAGCCGCAGTGCACGCGCTGGTGTGGTAACATCACGCTGGTAACATCACGCTGGCAAGAGCAGGGCAGCTGGTGCCAGTGTCTCTACAAGCAGCCCCATGTTAACCTGCCGAGTCTTTCTGTTCTTCATCTCCTGCTGAAGCCCAGTTTTTGTCTGGGAATATAAAACCAACTAGCTTCTTATTGAGAAGGAAGTTCCAAGAGAGCTCACTCTGGGATAAACATACTTTGGAAGTATTAATAAGACAGGAAAATAGACTATGTCTTTGTATGACAAATAAAGTAAGTCTAGAAACATTTCAGATCCTTTTCAATAAATGTTTGGAGTCGTAAGAATTGAATACAATGATGAGAAAATGGAAGGACTAGAGAACAATTATGTGCCATATTAATATGCCAACAAGATGCCTACAACACAAACTTTATGCGCATCTCAGCCTTCTGCCCTAAAAAAACAGCAAGAAGGCACGGAAAAAGATTGGTTAAAATAAGAGGAAGCTAAGAACTTCAAGGGAAAAGAAAAAAAAGGAACGAAAAAGGAAAACCCAACCCCAAACCTAAATATACAGGTTCTTGAGTTATTATAGTGGCTCCTGGCAAAGAGACAGAGTAAAGTTTTATAAGGAAACTCCAAGGGCAATGAGTCAAGGTGAGTCAAACTATGCAAAGCAGGAAGGCCTGCCAATGCAGGCACCGTTCCCAACACAGCTCCTCCACCGGCTCTACCACAAGTCAGTAACGGCAGCATGGAGGCCCCTGAACCTGAGTGCTGCTAAGTTTATGTTAAGCAGGACATATATTCTGCTCTTTTCCCTCGGGCAATTTAAAGGGCCTCATACCTGAGAATTTTCTCTCCTAAATTTCTAATTTTGCAGAAAAAACAAAAGATCTTCCAAGAAAACAGCAAATAACGAATCAATTACTTAATGTTGTTAACTTATACTTCTTAGGACTCACTTTAGATAGATATCTTCCAACTGGAGAGTCAGAAAGTACGTGCCAAGACACCATGGACGGCCTGGCATTTCATTTAAATGCCCAAGTCTAAGTATGTACTGCCCCATGGAAACAACTGATATCATCTCTATGTAAAAGAACATCAGGCTGGGTGTGGTAGCTCATGCCTGTAGTCCCAGCTACTCGCGGGGCTTAGGCAGGAGGACTGCTTCAGCCTGGGAGGTGGAGGTTACAGTGAGCACAGCTTGTGCCACTGCACTCCAGCCTGGGTGACAGAGCAAGACCCTGTCTCAAAAACAAAGCAAAACAAAAAGAACATTTTAATTTCATTTTTTGATCATGTATTCTCATAAAGGAGAAGCAATTATGGTTTTAAAAAGTTAGCAAATGCCAGCTGCCCCTTAAAGGAGACGCAAAACCTAGCTATATCTCAGTTCTGCCAGTAACTGCTATGCATACAGTTCCTCTAGGACAAGCTTGTCCAACCCGTGGCCCAGGACGGCTCTGAATGCAGCCCAACACAAATTCAAAAACTTTCTTAAAACATTATGAAAATATTTTGTGATTTTTTTTTTTAAAGGCTCATCGTCTATCATTAGTGCGTTTTATGTGTGGCCTAAGACAATTCTTCCAATGCGGCCCAGGGAAACCAAAAGATTGGACCCCCCTAATCTAGGACCTTCCTCCTCACCTGGGAATCACTATATTGATCGTACTAGCTCACCTGGTCTTCACGTTTTTTAAATGAGTTATTATAAATGAAAAGTGCTTTGTTCAAATGTGAGTGATTATCGCCATCATGCAACCAAGCCAGATTTTGGAAACCCAGTCATTAGTCTGAAAACACATCCATCCCCTGTGTACTGTGTGCTGTTTTCTAGGACTAGCAGGTGGAGAGAGGCCCAGTCTGAGGACAAGACCTTCGCCCTTGCTGAGCTACAATTGTGGTGGAGATTTGAAGAGGTCACATCAGTCACTGCTTAAGCAGCCACACAAATGCCAAACAGAACTACGATCTAGGGTCTCTCTATGTAGATGGAAGAATTGTGTTAATTACAATTCCCTTAATCCATGAGCGTGCTCACATGACAGTCACACATGAGCCAGGAGATCAAACCGGGCAAGTAGTTATGTCTCACTTTGGGGTCAAACCCATTATCTGGCAGGCTGTTTTCTGAAGTTCCAATATATGATTTTGTTTCCCACAGTTCATTTTACTGAAGGGTGTCACTGAATCATTTGTATCAGGACAGCTCCAGCCACCTCCCCATTCTCTGTAGGCTTCTAGCTACTTGAAAGCCTGGTGAGGCACAGGGGTTGGACAATCCAGTAAGTAACAGGCTGAGTTTCTGCTGAGTGTGCACCCTCCATGGCACGTGTGCAGGATACAGACACATGTTCTGCCGCTCTCTACCAGGCAGCTGACGTCCCAATGCCAGGAACTGCAGAGATGGCTTGCTAGCGTTTTAAATATTCAACAGCGAGTGGAAGGGGCACGGCAGGGCTGCCTCCACTCAGCCTCATCTTGCAGAGAGCGGCACACTGAATGCCGGCAGGGAGGAAGGTCAGTACAGCAGCGTGCTACCCGCTGTTGGCAGGAGCTGGGCTGGAACCACCCCTGGCCGTCTCATTTAATTCTCATGAAAAACTCTGTGGAAATATCCATTCCTGTTTTACACACAAGGAAATGGAGGCTCAGAAGGTGAAATGACTGGTCCACATATTTGGAGCAAGGAGGCATTGGTTCTGGGACTTGCACGTCTGCGATTCCAAAGCTGGTCTCCACCTCCCACACCAGACTACTAGAGGCTAAATGCCAGAAAGCAGCAGCAGACCCTTCCCTCCCACAAAGGCAGCCGGAAGCCCAGGCGTGGAACACATCTCAGGGACAGGGCAGGCCTGTTGGAAACAGCGAGAAGGAGCTGGGAACTGAACAAATGGCACTGGCCCTGGAACTGCGCCACTGCTCAACAAGGATGACCGCAATGGGGACTCGACATGGCCGAGACCCAAGGAAGGGGCTCTTAAGCTGTGGGCTGATTCTGATTCCTCTATCTCCACATCCCAGCACCCCCGGCCACGTGACTGACTCACCTCCTTATGGGAGTCTTTGTGGGCTTCCAGAGTCTTCATAATCGTCAGCTCGGCGTAGTTTTTAAATCTTGCTGGTTGATTTCTCAGAATTTCCCTCAAAACTCTCAATGCCAGTGCTCGAATTGAATGCTAGAGTACAAGGGGAAAGGAAGACATCACCAAACACCACACCGCACTTTCACACACAGCAGTCAGCAGGTTCGGCAAGGCCAAGCACCCAGTTCTGGGTTCCCCGGAACCTTGCAGAACCCTCTACACAGATCACATGGTTTACCTGAAATCAGCTTTACTTGACACTGGCTCTCTAGACATCAGCTCCATGAAGGCAGGCACTGTGCCTTAGGGTGACATTCCCAGAACCCAGTGCCTGACAGGCACTGAAACAAGCTTCTCGAACAAGCCGTGCACTCGAGACCAAATGAGGATGATACACCTAAGTTCATTACCAGTTTTCTGGGGATTTTCAGATTTCCTGAGGCTTCAGCCTACAAATTAGGCTTCTGTAAAATGTATGAAAGAATGTGTACAAAGCACCTGGATGTTTCATCAACACAGCCTGTAAGACTGAACTCCACCTAAGGACAGTGGAAGGCCTGTCATTATTCCTGACCTTCCATGTGATGAGATCACTGGGTGTGTAGAGGCCTCAAGTTGGTTAAGGCCAGAGTCATGCATCTGGAGGAAAGCCATTCCAAACAGACTCCTAATCTCAATAAAAGAGAATGGAGTTTACACCAAACAGAGCCAGAAAGTACATCCTGATTCTTTGTCACTCATCTGTAGAATTCACACACTAATACACCATTTTACCTGTCTTCTACGTGACATCACTTTGTCTCCCAACAGAGCCAACAAGGCATAACTGCCTTACGAGCCAATACTTTGTCTTTTTTAAAAAGTATTTTTAAGAAGTTTTTTTTTAAAAAAAGGTGAAACAGATTACTTATTACCATTCTTCTATCTTTACTTATCCCTAAACCAAACCATTAATCCGAAGCATCAGAAAGCTATCTGAGTCTCCACAGCATGGCACGCAGCAGCCTCCCTGTCACTCGGTGGCCATGCAAGTCCCCTCTAGCTGGCCGTGGGCATGGCCTGTCACCTCCTGGCAATCCTCCCATCCCCCTCCTCCAGCCCCTCATCACAGCACTCTCTTCTCATTTCTGCTGGCCTACACAAAGCCAATGTGGATGGATTAAGTTTTTCTTGCAGAGGTTTAATTCTGGTAATTCCCAGCATCTATTCCTGTTTCCATATAAGGGACCAGCTCCACAGGTGGGAGAAGGCAGGACTTTGACCAGATTACTCCCCCTTTTAAGAGTTCTCTATGTGCAATGTGCAGATCACAGACCAGGCATGTCACAAATGCCTAGTTTGTCACATTCAAATGTCCCAGCATAATGAAGCTTTTTTATTTTAATATTAATAATACAAAAATCAGAATCATGCTTCTGGAGCCTGCCACTTGACTGATTAAAATTATTGGAACTCTTAACATATGTAGGGGGGAACCAAGATGGAATTTCATGGAATGTAGCATTTAATTAGGTCTTTTAAAATGGACCTTTTTATTTCTCAATTACATATGAAACAAAAATCAAACTCACAAGTGAAAAAGTGTATCCTAAAAGACCACATTCTATGCTAATGAAGTTTTAAGAAATTCTGTGTTAAAGCAACTAGATGCAGGAACGAGGTTCCCTCAACTACTATAAACCCAGTTGCAGACCATGCACGTAAGCCAAGAAGCAGCTTGTTGCTGATAAAAACATGACCTTACTAAACGTGCTCAGAAAATATGTGAAAAATGAACAAATAAATGTTTTGATGTAAACAGTAAGCACAACCCAGAAAGTAAAGCTGAAGCCAAGCCCAGCGAAAAAAGGACATCGTGACCCCATTACACGGAAAGGGGCAAGGTAAGGCCAAACCAGCATCTCACGTCTTTGTCTCCGAGGGTCTCCAGCAGCAGGAGCAGGATGGTCTTGAAGTGCTCCTCCCAGACACCCAGGCTGTCTTCCCGCGTGATCTTGAGCAGCTCCAGCAGGGCTCCCTTCCGTTCCTCCACTCGCTCGTTATGGTTGGACAGCTCTTTCAGAAGGTCAGCCACCAGGTCAGAATGGTCGATGGGCACTGGTGAAACACACCACACATACGTCACCTCGTGAGGAAATGCCCGGCACAAGGGCTTCCTCAGTGGTGCCCAGTGATCCTTCCCTTCCTGCCTCATCTCCCAGAGGCGACACCTCCTTCATGGTTCCCCTCCCACCCTCCACTCCGCTTCACTGTCCGGCCTCAGCCTACACACCCTCCACCAACCTTCTCACCAAGTTCACTGTGAAAGCAGAGGCGCGAGACCAGCTGTCCAGTACCAACAGTCAACGTCTTCACCCTTCCTTGCTATCTTTTCCCTTCTACTTCAGATAGAGAGGAGAAATGCCTGCATCCACCAAAGTCCCTTTTCAACCCTCTTATTTTCCGAAACTCTCTCCCACTGCCATGGTCCTGAGTCAGCCCCACCACTGGACAGCCTTTTACCAGGGTCAAATCCACTCCCATACACACATATTCCTCAAGGCCTCCTCACCAACACATCTGATTATCATCCATCCCCTTCTCAAATGTCTATAGCTTAGGAACCAGCATGGGGAACACACACCAATCAAGGTGTTTGGACTACTGGTGGACTATCTATGTGGAGACTAAAAACTGGCCCAAGATGACTCAACATAGTTACCTGCAGGGCTGTGAACACGGTTTCTATGGCAGAAAGGCACATCCTTTCTCCTCCATGTTCTTTTAAGAAACCTCAACTCTGAATATTCAACTTTAAATAGAGAGGATGAAAAAACAAACACATCAGACAAGTTATTAGGAACTACTTAAACGTGTATTTGCATACTTCTTTAGCTTCTAAGATGGGGTAGCAAACACACAAGAAAGCCTGAAATGCTAAAGAACTCTGTCACTTCCTCCTGCCTTCCTACCTTTTTCTCCTTTTCTTTAAGCCTTTTAGTAAACAGTTGGTGAATAACCAACATTGTAATTTCTACCTTAATCGAGATCTATAAAGGATAAGGTAAACAATTCTATAAGCAATGAAAACAAATAGTCCACTTCTCCCAAGAAGTGCCAGTCCTTACAAACACTATACCCTATTCGCTCACTGCCCAGTAAACAGAGTGTGGGCAGAGTCTGAGACGCTACCCACCAGCCCATAAGCAATTAATAGCCAAGTGATTCGGCTTTTCATCCCTACAGCCACTTCTGCTTTCAAACAGAGAACTTCCCTTCTATCTTAGCATTCCCCTACTATCTGATCTCTGCAAGAGGATCAGCTTTCTTTTCTTTGGGCCCCCACTGGATCTGGCATCTGCCTCCAGCACAGGCCTTCTCTGGCACTATCAGTCTACTTCCCTGACAGACCGTGAGCTCTCTGAGGCCAGGGACTGTGTCTCCTGTGCCTCGGTCCCCGGCAACCCATACACTTCATGACACACAGTAGGCCCTCAGTGAATTTTAACTATTTAGAATTCTAATGTAGGTTCTAATTACTCATTCAAGCTTGAGAAATAAACAGGCCTCAAAACCATAATTTTTTAAAAGCACTATCAGATTGAAATAAACCAAATCACGTAACATGAGAGATGAAAAAACAAATAATTAAGTTTTGGATAAAAATACCGTCGTACAAATACATACTCATCACTCACTAGTTTATTCAATAATGGATGCTGGTCTTAACACAGGAGCCAGAAAGAAACCAGACTAGCTCTGCCTCTCCTCCCTACTTCCTATGTTATGTGCTTACATTACATTTTGGGCAAATCTTTCTGACCCCACGCTTAGCTTAGCACCACACACGGTAATGCAAGTGGTCAGTGTATGTCAAACCCCTGCCTCCCAAATGCAGCACGGAGGTCAACACAGCTCCAGGAAAACCTGGTTACAAAGCAGGTGTGAGAGGAGAGGGAAGCCTCGGAGCGGTGCTTCAGGATCTCACTCCACAGCTCGGGGAGCTGGGAAGCGCAGGTCCAAGGCCTTCACAAAGGCTGAGCCCGTGCTCGCCATCCTGTTTGTTCCTACACCCCTGGCTTGCCTGGGCCCTGGGTTCTGCAGCAGAGCCTCCCTGATGGTAGAGTTTGGCCTTCCCTCATGCTCAGCTGTGGCAGTGGCTACTTCATATCATGTGTGACTGTTTATTTCCTCACCGCCCTGCCACTTGTGCTTCTGTTCACTGCCATGTTCCCCGTGCCTAAGCACACAGTAGGGATTCAGTAAGTAGTGCCTGAACAAATGACTAAGCAGAAAGAACAGACCCAGCGTCTCCATTTACATCGACCAGTGGGCCTGGTACTGGCCAGACAGGAGGGAGCACAAGGGAAGCACTTCTGGGTGGGGACAGTTAAGCAAAGAGACACCAACCATCTCGAAGCTGCTCCATGTCGTCATCGAACACAGCCTCTTTCAGGGCAGTCTTGTCATAGGTGTTGATGGCATCTGAGTAGGGGTATGGGTTGTAGTCTCGTGCCCGCGGTCCTGGGAAGGCGCGCGGAGGCTGGGTGTTGAGTAGCGAGGTCTTGTTATCCAGAGCTGTCCGGCCTCCTTCTACCTCACTGGTGGCAGGGGAGGCAGCACCCCCATCGCGGGACACCTGGAGCACAGTACACTGTCAGTTCCCTTCTGGGACTTATAATGGACATTTCCTTTGAATGCTCAGAAATATTAAGAGGGCCAGAGATTTTCACTTGAAATATGTATGGCCAGTGACAAAAGGACAGCTATTAGTATTGCAGTGTAAAAATACCAAATCCATAAACTACCATAAAAGGAACAATATGCCTGCATTTGCATCTAGTCTTTACACTTCAAATCTCCTTTACTTTGTAATTTGGTGATTCACTTTACCAAGACGTTTCCTGAGGGATGAAAGGCTCAGAAGCCTTTCCTTGAGAAGGAAAGGCTGTCCACTCACATCCCTGCTCTCAAGGACCAGATCAGCAATGGGGGATTTGCACTGCGGCCCTGCCCACATCCACAGACAGAAGCTCTTCCAACTGCCATCATTAAGTCTAATGGGTGTCATCCATCCCCAAATTAATTCCTTGTACTCTATGTATTCCTGCCTAGTGCTGGGCCTCAATGTGTCACAATCTCCTATGACAGAGAACTCAGCACCTCCTAGGCATATCATCCTTCTTTTAGATATTTCTGACTCAGAGTTGTTATGCTGGGTCAAAGAACAGGTTTTTAGTATCTTCCGAATTTTGTTTTTCTTTGCTAATACATTCTGAAAGTTGTCTTCAACAAATTCAACCGCTGGCCCTCTGACTGGCCCCTTGCCATGGTACTGACAAGAGCAAATCACTTTTACTCTTAGGGTCCTCTCATATGGGGCACACCACTGGTCTAGCCCCTTTGCAGGTGGCAGTGTAGCCCAGCAGGTGTGGGCTGGTGCTGGCAACGGGGCCAGACTGTTTTCCTCATCCCAGGCATCTGACTATCCAACAACGGTGGAAACATTCCAGGCAGCCAGAACACGTCGGTGACACCTATGGCAAAATTTTTACTTGTGCTGATGACAGGATACATTTCTCTCAACTTGTGCTAATGCATTTACACTTTTTTCTGGTTGTAAAAGAAAAGTAGATGTAACACATCATTTTAATCATTCGTAAGTATATAATTCAGTGTCATTAAATACATTTATGATGTGTAACCATCACCACTATGTATACCCAAAACTTTCTCATCATCCCCAACAAAAACCCTGCATCCTCATCCCTCTCCCTTCCCCACAATCCCTGATAACCTTTATTTTACTTTGTCTCTCGGAGGTTGCCTATGCTAGGTACCTCAGGTAAGTGGAATTGCTGAGCACATCCCACTGTGTGTATATACCACATTCTGTTTATCTGTTCATCTGCTGATGGGCACTTGGGTTGCTTCCGCCTTTTGGCTTTTGTGAATAATGCTGCTACGACACAATGGTGCACAAACATCTGTTCAGGTCCCTGCTTTCAATTCTTTTGGACTTGAATCTAGTGGAGGTGCTAGGATGCATTTGGTTTTTAACACCCACAAACAAAATTTTATATTAATTAAGATGTAAAAAGAATTCATAATATATGCATAGACAGAAACAAATTAAGACTAAAAAGGTATAAATCAAATCTTAACAGAGGTTTTCTCTGGGTGGAAGAAAATTCATAGATGGTTTTAATTGCTTCTTTTTATAAGTCTTCTAAAAATACTACTATTATAATGAAAAATTATTTATAAAAGAAAAAGGTAAGCCATTGAACAGGAGGTTTAAAAAAAACAACAAAAAAAGAGAAGGGTTTTAAAAACTTCAGACATTTTAAAAATAAAGCTCAACTCCCAATTCTAATCACTGTTAACAACAAAACCTTACTACCTCAGTGTGTGTCTCCACGCAGGCTTTGCACAGCAGGAATCCTGTGTGCACGCTGCCTTCTGTTTTTTTTTTTTTTCCTTACAGTGCAATCATTTCCCACGTGGATGAAGTTTTTGTAACCACCATGTTTAATCACACCACTACCTCTACTTGGGTTTTAAAAAGATTTACTCAGATGTTCCCCTTTAATATTTTTGCTACTGTAGATAATGCTGAAATAAGCTACCTTATGGAAATGACATATATATTTTTTTCTTCTGTTGAGTTCTTTCTTTAGTGTAGACTAACCATACTGGGTAAAGAATATGCAAATCGCTTTTGCTAAATATAATTTTGCTGAGTTCCAAAACATTGTATCAATTTCCCATGGCACCAACATTACACTAGATCCTTATACCCTTTCTAGTATTAAATGTTATAATTTCTATTAAAGCAGAGCAGAAGGGAACCTTGATACAAGTCTGCTGTATTTCTGTAAGTGACCATAAGGATGGGCTTTCTCCCTATGTTGAATGTCCTCATTTTTGCTGTGTGCACCACCCTCCTACTGCATCTGACATTCATCCTATGGCTTGTCTCCCTAGATTTGGTTTCCTTGTTAGGCTTAAGAGGAGCTGTACTGGCTCCCGAATCTTTCACATTTAACAGTTTTATATTCACCTCAATGTTTTAGCTAAAAATATGGTAAGTGGTGGCTAAGTCAATTTTGAAGCTCCTTCATTCTTCGATTTTCTTTCTTTTTTTTTTTTTTGAGACAGAGTTTCGCTCTTGTTGCTCAGGCTGGAGTGCAAATGGTGCAATCTTGGCTCACTGCAACCTCCGCCTTCTAGGTTCAAGCAATGCCCTGCCTCAGCCTCCCAAGGAGCTGGGATTACAGGCATGTGCCACCACGACTGGCTAATTTTTTGTATTTAGTAGAGATGGGGTTTCACCACGTTGGTCAGGATGGTCTTGAACTCCTGACCTCAGGTGATCCACCCGCCTCGGCCTCTCAAAGTGCTGGGATTGCAGGCGTGAGCCACCATAACTGGAAAAAGTAACCCCTCACACATCCACCTTTTCTACTGTTCTTGGTAGGAGTTCTGTTTCCCTAGTCAGATTGCTCCATTCCTCACACTCCTCACAAGTCCCCCGCTTCAAAGCAGGCCTCCTTCCACTGCCCTGGGAAACCAGCAGTGGGAAGACACTCTACTTCCTGCTTTAAGCCCCTAAAGCTGCCCTCCTCCCTAGCTAAGACCAGTCATTCCACCTGGGTCCTAACCTCAGGTCCCCACATCCCAAAGGATCCGCATCCAATCATCTGCTCCCCTCCACTGTGTAGGCAAGGTGCTTCTCTCCACCGGCCCTGCTGGGAGAGATCTTTCCCATCTGAAATGCCCTGTGATCCTCATTTCTCTCCAGTTTGTTCCTCAACGTCTTCATCCACTGTGATCTGGTTTCTATTCTCAACCCTGCACTCAACTATGCTCACAAGAGCCAATGTACTCCTGGAAGAAACTAAATTTGGATATTGCAGACTGTAACTACGTGTAAAGTTTATTTAAGAAGAAAAAACATGGAAGTCCAGTGAGTCCATTCTCAAAGGAAAGGTCTTAACTTTACATCAAAACGTTGGCAAGTAAATGTGTATTTTATATCTTTTAGGTTAAAATAGAACATTTAACATGGATAATAAACAAATAATCCAATGGAGCCCTTTCATTTCATATGTGACCCGTTATCTCTTTGCAGCATGGCCCCTTTGGCTAGAATGTCCTTCCTGAAATAGTCTCCCTTATCTTCTATGCCACTACCCTCTCCTGGTCTCCCTCCTGTCAGCTCTAGCTTCTGTCCTTCCCTTAGTGCTGATGCTCCTTAGGATTCTGTCCTTATCCTTTACCTGGTGATTTCACTTACTCACTTTTCTTTAGTTATGTTCAAGCAACTAATCAATATCTCTCAAATATCGAACTTCAGCCTGAATCACTGGCTGCAACAGACTGGTATATCCAAAGTCCTGATGGATATATTTGCTTAGATATTCCACAATTTCTGCAATTTGCATGTATTCAAAAGAGCATTCATTGTATTTCAAAGACAGCATCTCCTTCTAGAGTAATATTTCACTGAATTGCACTAGCATTTGCTCAATAGCCCCAGAAGACTTCTGATTCTTGTTTCTGCTCATGCCCTATTCAACCCCACTTCCTCCTGAATTATTCTCCATTCCAAAGTTAACAGTAGCCTGTCTAAAATATAAGTATGACTATGCCACTTCGCTGCTTAAAGATCCTTCAATGACTCTAATATCACCAGGGTAAAGTCAGAGCATTGGTTGGGAATACCCCAGTGAGCACATCCTTCCTGAGCTGGCCTCTGCAGCTCTGCTCTGAATCTCCCCAACCACTCCTCATGCCCAGTCTTCTCCACTTCATCCACTTCAAACAGGAAATCACACCATGCCCACGGCCATGTCTTAGTCTTCGAACAGGCCCTCCTCTGACTACAACCCTCCTACTCAACCTGACAAACTCCTCTGGACCTCCAGGCTTCAGTTCAGAGGTGACGACATCCTCTCTTTTGCACATCTGATATGGTTTGGCTCTGTGTTCCCACCCAAATCTTATGTCAAATTGCAATTTCCAATATTCGATGAGGAACCTGGTGGGAGGTAATTGGATCATGGGGGCGGAATTCCCCCTTGCTGTTCTCATGATAGTGCGTGAATTCTCATAAGACCTCGCTGTTTAGAAGTGTGTAGCACTTCCTCCTTTGCTCTCTCTCTCCTGCCACCATGTGAAGACCTACCTGCTTCTCCTTTGCCTTTCTGCCATGACTGTAAGTTTCCTGAGGCCTCCCCAGCCATGCCTCCAGTATAGTCTGTAGAACTGTGAGTTAATTAAACCTCTTTTCTTTATAAATTACCCAGTGTTAGGTAGTTCTTTATAGCAGTGTAAGAACTAATATAGAAAATTGGTACCAGAAGTGGGGTATTACAATAAAGATGCCTGAAAATGTGGAAGCAACTTTGGAGCTGGGTAATGGGCAGAGGTTGAAACAATTTGGAGGGATCAGAAGAAGACAGGAAAATGAAAGAAAAGTTTGAAACGTCCTAGAGACTTGTTGAATGGTTGTGACCAAAATGCTAATAGTGATATGGATAGTGAAGTCCAGGCTGAGGTGGTCACAGATGAAGATAACGAACTGGAGTAAAGGCCACTCTTGATATGCTTTAGCAAAGAGACTGGCAGCACTGTGCCCCTGCTCTAGAGATCTGTGGAACTTTGAAGTTGAGAGAGATGATTTAGGGTATCTGGTGGAAGAAATTTCTAAGCAGCAAAGTGTTCAAGATGTGGCCTGGCTGCTTCTAAAAGCCTCTGCTCATTTGCACAAACAAAAAAATGACCTGAAACTAGAACCTATATTTAAAAAGGAAGCAGAGGGTAAAAAGTTTGGAAAATTTGCAGCCCAACCAGGCAGCAGAAAAGAAAAACTCATTTTTGGGAAAGAATTCAAGGCTGCAGAAATTTGCATAAGTAATTAAAAGCCAAATGTGAATAGCCAAGACAATGGAGTAAACGTCTCCAGGACATTTCAGAGACCTTCATGGCAGTCCCTCCCATCACAGACCTGGAGACCTAAGAAGGAAAAATGGTTTTGTGGGCCAGGCCCAGGGCCCTGCTGCTTTGTGCAGCCTTGGTATATGGTGCTCTGCATCCCAACTGCTCCAGCCCCAGCTATGGCTGAAAGGGGCCAAAGTACAGGTTGGGCTGTTGTTTCAGAGGGTGTAAACCCCAAGCCTTGGTGGCTTCCATGTGGTGTTGGGCCTGTGGGTATGCAGAAGGTAAGAAATGAGGTTTGGGAGCCTCCACCTCGATTTTAGAAAATGTATGGAAATGCCTGGATGTCCAGGCAAATGTCTGCTGCAGGAGCAGAACCCTCATGGAGAACCTCTACTAGGGGAGTGCAGAGGAGAAATGTGGGGTTGGAGCCCCCACACAGAGTCCCCACTGGGACACTGCCTAGTGGAGCAGTGAGAAGAGGGCCACAGTTCTCCAGATCCCAGAATGGTAGATCCACCAACAGCTCTCAACATCAGCCCATGAAAGCAGCTGTAGGGGCTGTACCTTGCAGAGCCATAAGGGTGGAGCTGCCCAAGGCTTTGGGAGCTTACCCCTTGCATCAGTGTGTCCTGGATGTGAGACATGTAGTCAAAGGAGATTATTCTGGAGCTTTAAGATTTAATGACTGCCCTCCTGGGTTTCAGACTTGCATGGGGCCTGTAGTCCCTTTGTTTTGGCCAATTTCTCCCTTTTGGAATGGGAGCATTTACCTAATGCCTGTAGCTCCATTGTATCTTGGAAGTCACTAATTTGTTTTTTATTTTACAGGTTCATGTTGGAAGGGACTTGCTTTGTCTCAGATTAGACTTTGGACTTGGACTTTTGAGTTAATGGGGGAATGAGTTAAGACTTTGGAGGACTGTTGGGAAGGCATGACTGTGTTTTGAAATGTGAGGTCGTGAGATTTGGGAGGGGCAAGGGGTAGAATGATATGGTTTAGCTCTGTGTCCCCACCCATATCTCATGTCAAACTGTAATTTCCAGTGTTGGGGGAGGGACCTGGTGGGAGGTGACTGGATCATGGGGGTGGACTTCCCCCTTGCTGTTCTTATGATAGTGAGTTCTCACCAGATCTGGTTGTTTAAAACTGTACAGCACTTCTCTCTTCACTGTCTCTCTCCTGTCACCATGTGAAGACATGCTTGCTTCGCCTTATACCATGACTGTAAGTTTCCGGGGGCCTTCCCAGCCACAACTCCTGTATAACCTGTGGAACTGTGAGTCAATTAAACCTCTTTTCTTTATAAATTACCTAGTTTCTGGTAGTTTTCTTTTTTTTTGAGACAGAGTCCACTCTGTTGCCAGGCTGGAGTGCAGTGACGTGATCTCGGCTCACTGCAACCTCCGCCTCCCGGGTTCAAGTGATTCTCCTGCCTCAGCCTCCTGAGTAGCTGGGACTACAGGTGTGCGCCACCAAGCCCAGCTAATTTTTGTATTTTTAGTAGAGACGGGGTTTCACCATGTTGGCCAGGATGGCCTCAATCTCCTGACCTTGTGATCTGCCTGCCTCAGCCTCCCAAAGTGCTGGGATTACAGGTGTGAGCCACCGCACCCGGCTTCTGGTAGTTCTTTATAGCAGTGTGAGAACCGACTAATACAACATCCTCCCTAGGTACCACAACTAGCCACGGGTCTCCTGGATGCTGAGCAGTGGCCATACTCACTGCACCAGGATCTTGTGCTTATCTGTCTGCCTCTCCCATGAGACTGGAGCTCTCAGAAAGCCATGGTGGTGTCTGGTTCAGGCTCACTATTTTTATTACATCATGAAACATAACTATGCCCAGAATAAACAAAAGCAAACTGAGAAAAAAGGCACTTAACATTCCTTGAAAAGATAGCTGAGGGCTCCTCTTTTGAAATTGAAATTTTGTAAAATTAATTACCTTGGGCCTCTTACTACTATTTTATGGTTATTATCAAAAAGACAAAATATAACGAAGGTGAGGATGTGGAGAAAATGAAGTTCTTATATACCATCGGTGAGAATGTATATTAGTATAGCCAATATAGAAAACAGAACAGTGGTTTTTCAAAAACCTAAAAATGGAACTACCGTACAACCAACAATTCCACTACTGGGAATTTATCCGAAGAAAAGGAAATCAGTATATCAAAGAGAAGCCTACACCCTCATGTTTGTTACAGCACTATTCACAACAGCCAAGATACAGAATCAACCTAAGTGTCCCTCAACAAATGAATGCATAAAGAAAATATGACATATATACACAATGGAATACTATTCAGCCATAAAAAGAAATGAAAGCCTATCATTCACAGCAACATGCATGAACTGGAGGACATTATGTTAAGTGAAAAAAGTCAGGTACATTAAGACCAAAATCATATATTCTCACTCATTTATGGGAACTAATAAGAGTTGAGCTCATAGAAGTAGAGAGTAGAACTGTGGTTACTAGAGGCTGGGAAAGGTGGGGGTGGGGGAGGAAAAGAGGCTGGTTAATAGCTACAAAACTACAGCTAGGTAAGAGGAATAAGTTCTAATCCTCTATAGCAGGAGTCCCTAACCCCCATGCCATAGACTGGTATTGGTCTGTGGCCTGTTAGGAACTGGGCAGCACAGCAGGTGAGCAGTGGGCAAATGAGTGAAGCTTCATCTTATTTACAGCCACCCCGCATCGCTCACATTACTGCCTGAGCTCTGCCTCCTGTCAGATCAGTGGCAGCATTAAATTCTCATAGGAGCGTCAACTCTGTTGTGAACTGCACATGCGAGGGATCTAGATTGTGTGCTCCTTATGAGAGTCTAATGCTTGATGATCTGTCACTGTCTCCCATCACCCCCAGATAGGGCCATCTAGTTGCAGGAAAACAAGCTCAGGGCTCCCACTGATTCTACATCAGAATGAGTTGTATAATTATTTCATTATATATTACAATATAGTAATAACAGAAATAAAGTACACAATAAATGTAACGTGCTTGAATCATCCCCAAACCATCCTCCCAACATGTGGCCCAGTCTGTGGAAAAATTATCTTCCACAAAACCAGTTCCTGGTGCCAAAAAGGTTGGGGACTGCTGCTGTATAGTACTGTAGGGTAAATATAGTTAACAACAGTTTATTGTGTACCTCCAAAACACTAGGAGAGAGAATTTTCAATGTTCCCAACATAAAGGAATGATAAATGAGGTGAGGGATGTACTAATTACCTTGATTATTATACATTCTACACATGTATCAAAATATCACTTTGTAGCTCATAAATGTGTACAATTATTACATGCCAACTAAAACTAAAAGGAAAACATTATTTTAACTACAGGAAAAAAATAATGATGAAGCTCAGTAATCACGATGTTCAGTGTTCAGAAGTCTCATTATCTGTCATTTAACTGATACAGAGTTCTCTTTTAGCCTAGGCATACTTACGATATCACATTCCTTTTTGCCATCTCGTTTAATGGGCTCATTCAGATCTTCTTGGCTTCGAAAACTAAACTTTTCAATGGCTTCTGTAACTCCACGTAGAGAACTATAGATTTCTTCAGAGTTCAGGTTCTCTGTATCATAGTCCAGCATGCTAAAGATAAAAAATAATTTATTTCTTAAACTGAGGCACATACATGGAAATGAGAGGTGGGCATAAGTTACTTCCCATAATTTAAAGAATAAGACATATTTATAGTTTTGTTTATCGGGTGATTTGGAATGAAAAGGAGGCATCTTTTGTTAGAGTACCACCACCGGACAATTACACATCTTCCTTGTTAAAACTGCCAAACACATTACATCAGCACTCAATAAAAACCAGTGGGAAACAACAGTAACCACGAGAATGTAGCAACTCAAAGAGTGACACTGGTGACTGAAGGCACGAGATAATGAAAGTGGAAAAATAACTTTCTTATTTTGAAGATGGAAAAAAGGAGTTTGGTTGTTACTGGTCCCAAATGTACAAACTTAAGAGGAATGGGCAGTTGGAAATAAAGCTAGTACTACAAGCAAATTTCAAAGGAGCAAAGTAAATAACCTCACGAGACAAGGTTATACTCCCAGGTATCCAATCCAGAAAACAAACAAAACCCTATTAAAAAAACAAAAACAAAAACAAAAAAACAAAACAATCCTAGACTCAAAGTCAGATCCACCCTACAAACGGGCCCAGAAAGTCTAACTCACACATCATCTCACCCAGGGGCCTGACTCTTCTACATGCTTCTATTTGGAGTTTTATAACCAAAGCAGATTTTATAAAAAGTCACATTCCTGGATAGACATCTAAGAATCCTCATAAAAGCAAGAAATATTTGTTGTTCATGGACAAGTGTTATTGACTGCTGTCTTTACAGACATTGGGCATAGCAAAACATGAAATGAAGCAAAAAAGCCAAACAATCCTTTTTGGTGCACTGTAGTTTGTCAACAAGTGCCCTGTAGATGTCTGGAAAGTGCACTGAAACAGGGAGAATCCTGAGAACAAAAACCATCCTGAGAATAGAAAAGTTTTAAAAGCATGGGATGGATATACCAGCATAAAGCAAGCAAAACATGAAGCAACAGTCAACCAAGGGCAAGTTAAAAAAAAAAATCTTAGTTTCAATGTCACTCGTTTCAAGAAAAGATCAGATGAATTAATCTAATTTAATTTTTAAAATAGTCCTGAGCTATACTGAGGATTGCTAGGGACATGCAAAGAATCCTTGGCTGTATATAAGTAAGCACGCAACATTGTTTAAGGACTAAAGAAAAGCAATCTTCCTGTTCTTCAAGAGAGTAGTAACTGAAGAAACTAAGTATCCTTCCTACACGACCAATCCTATACATTCCCCCAAAGTGAGTTTCCTGTAATGTAAAAATGATGAATATTTACTAAGTACTCTTCCTTAAGTACTCTGCCCTAAAAAAAAAAAAAAAAAAAAAAAAAAGTTTGGGCAGATGAGCAAGGTAAGATTTGGAGAGCTCTCACTTGGAGTGGCCAGATCTCTACTGGCTTGATGTTGCAATGATCCAAGTGTTTTCTAGGGCTGGTGCTGGTAAGTTCTAGAGCCCAAGAGCTGACCACAATCTCAAAGATGGGAGCTATTTGTCTAGAATTGCAAATATGGCCCAGATAAAACCCACTTTTCCTGATGAATGAAAGAAAATACATAACCCAATTGTATTCGGAGTGTTCACAAAAAAAAACCAACCAAACAACAACAACAAAAAAATTTCAACTCGAAGATTGACTTGAGCATCAAACAAAAAGAAATGTGAACCTTGAACAGGTATTCTGTTGAAATTCCACGTCTCAACTGATAGGAGGTAGAATAAAAAATCTGAACAGAATTTAAGATCTCAACCTCTTCTATGTTCACAAGGCTATCTGTCAAAGAGGCAACACTCCTTAGACGTGAGGAAGGCATGACCGAGGGGCCAGAGGCTCCCCTCCTCCTTCTGAGGACACCACAATACTAGCTCATGTACAGACAAGGCATTTATACATCTGGCCAGTACACTATGTTTTATATATAAAGACTGAGTATTATGACTCAAACAAAAAATATATATACAAGATGTAAAAAAAAAAAAATGCCTTAAAATACTTTTAATCACAACAACCAAAAATAATAGCATAGCCCATGCAAAAGAAAAAAATCCAAAAAACTGAAAGAACGATGGGATGGACAAGAGGAAGTCTGGCGGAACGTTCAAGTTTTTTAAGGGATGTCACAATATTATTTTCCATATGTCGCTTCAGATAATGTCAGCTTTCAGATAATTCATCTCATTATTCTTAACCTGAACTTTCCTAAAAATATTTCATTTCAGATCACATCACTTCACTATTACAATAGCCTCTTTTTAGAATAAGAAAATAAAGGATTCTGCCAGGTAATTTCCGCCTTCTCACTTTGAATTAATAAACCAACTCAAACTCCCAATTTAGGAGCACCATTTGCAGAACCAAGAACAATTGAAGGTGTCTTCTTTTAGACGCACTAGCCTGAGGTTTGAAGTATCTCCTTGGTATGAAGCTAAAACAGTGAGCTGCAGGTGAGAGGCATAACTGCTTAGCTCTAGGAGGAAATGGACCATGCTACTTTCTTTGCTACTTTTATACTTTGGCTTGATTTGTAGTTTTCCAAATCAGTATCAGTTAAGTTCTCACTTAAAGGAAAAAGGAATTTCCCATGAAAGCCATTATCAAGGAGGGTAGATATTATGTCCTCACAAGCGGTATATGAGGGAGCCGCAGGACGGCCTCAGAAGTGGACTGAGAAGAGAACTGGGGAAACCTCAGTCTGCCATCTGCCCCACAGCCTGTCTTGTTTCAGCCCTGAGACAACCCCAGGACATAATTCTTGGGTTAGAGGTCAAGCCCTGATCACCTGTAAATACTCTGGTTAGACTCCAGAAGGGCTCTCTTAGGGTTTTTTAGATTAGGGAGAATTCCTTAATCAGTCAATAGTCACTGACCTAAGGTTAGGCTTACATCAGGCCCTGGCAACCAACATGGAAGCTGAATGCGGCCCTGGGCTTGCCCGCTGAAGGATTCATGTCATGGGGAGGGAGGAGGGCATGGGGTCAGGTCTCCAAGAGAGAGAAACTGGAGAGAGAAGTCTGCCTTCTTTGTCATTTTGTAGGAAAAGGGTACAATGTATAGATTAAGCATAGTCATTCTTTGTTATGGAATCAACAGGATTTTGGCACAGAGCAAAGAAACAGGCATATAGATTCCCTCTTAGTTTTATGTAACTGCTAGGTTTTCTAAATGTAAAAGTCTCTAGTCAACTATCCCTGCCTCCAATGGGCAACAGAAGTTGTAAGCATTTAGTAATCATTCTCTCTTAATGAGTTAGGTCAACACGTATTATTGTGTACATATGTGAAAGATGATCCTAGGAATGGGATGTGCTCTGGAGGGAGAATCCTGATGTGTGGCTGGCAGTGAAGCTGAGTGCCCATGAGGGCATACGGGTCAACATACTGGGAGATAGTCAACAAACTGATCTTACACTTGGAGGCACAGCTAACCTTAAAAAAATGAAAAAGGAGTGACCTGCTTTGTTAACATTAAAGACAGTAGCCGTCTCCTTGTCTGCTTGCCCTAACCTTGTGTATCTAGAAACATTCATTGCAGGGTTCTCTGTACACTTTAGAAATGACTTTTAGAGGTGTAAGAGCTTCAAAAGGAAGGTGTTGTTAAAATATTTCATTTACTGTTTTTGGCTTCACCATGTAGATTATTTGTATTCCACAAAAGTCAGAATACAAATCTGTGCAAAAGCTATCTATGAAGCATTTCAAAAGTAACAGACCGTTTTTTTTGTTTGTTTTTTTGTTTTTTTTTTAACCCTTTTCCTATCACACCCTCTATCATAGAGGGTAGAAACTCATCTCACAAAGCACAATGACAGCTGGACTGCCCGGTGCTCTAACAGGTTTCTAGGGAAGAGATTCTCTGATCTTCGGACCTTATAAAAAGCATCCCCAAGAGACCCTGAAATAGACATCTGCAGTACTATGTGGACCCTTCTTTGCACCACAGATTTACCATCTGTCAGCATCTGAGGGAAGCCCGCCCCGTCTTCCAGACTCATAAATAATTGTTGCATAACCAGCGTCCATGATGCTGCACTCGGCATCAACTGTGGGGGTGCATGAGGTGACTGACAGTTCTCCTTCTTAGAGGCAGGGCATCCTTAGTGAGCTAAAACAGTTATCCTGCCTTGTGGGGATTCCTTTCTGGATGTGTGTGCTCAGACTACCCTCATATGACAGTATATTAGGAAAGAAATCAGTTATATATAGTCAACAGCATGGCTGAGAGTGGGAGGTGTGGTTTGGGAAAGAGTAGGTCTCCTGGCTTCTCAGGGGAATGCCTTCTGCACTTTAGACACATGCTAAGGAAACTGCTCCCACTATTGCCCACGCTGACCTCACAGCATTTCCTGAGCTCTTTCTGGGGGCTGAGCACTGCACTGTACAGAAAGGCCCACAATAGTGGGCGGTGATGAATCTGATCAGGTTATAAAGGGTCATCTGTCCCTGTGACACAGCAGGAACCGTACTTGTGAGATTTGGCAAAGATCACACACCTGCTCACACTTCTCACCAAGGCTCTACTCCTGCTATGTGACACCAAGAAAGGGACCACACTGGAGGCAGCTTAGAGGCTTTCCCAAAGACCTGAGACGACCTTGGAAACGCAATAATATTGTGACACCTCAGACAAGTTTGACAGGTAGCTTGTTACCTGGGAGAGTAAGAGCGCCTGAGAGCCTTGTGGGAGGGAGCGGTGGGGATGGAGTTAGGCTGAGAAAAGGGAGGTGGGTGCTTCGCTAACCCGTCGGCACTCCAACCCCATAACCGACTGCAGTGATCAGAAGAGGAAAATCAGAGAGAAATACAAAAAGCAAAGGGGAGGGGAGGAGGAAAGCACTACACACTAAGTGTCTTAGTCTCTTCTTTCCTTGACAAAGTTCTATTAAAGTTAATCAAAGCAAAATTAGCACTTCATCATACAGAGAAAAGAACAAATTTTGTTTTACAATTTGGTCCTTGATGAGACTGGTTTATTCTTTCCCCTCCCAACCATGGAATGTGTTTACTACTTAAAATCACATGAGATTCCAAGAGTGTCTATGTGAGAGACTGTGTGTATGTGGGAGTATGAGGGGGTGTGTGTATCTGCATGCACTGGGAAGGACATAACACAATACACAAGAAAATATAGATGTTCACTTTCAGTGAACTCATCAGTTATTTTAGAAAGAACCAAACAAAAATCATGGGGCCTCAATTCAAATGGGACCAGAGGGACTCCAGAAGGAGGACTCAGAGACCGTGCTACTCTGACCAGAACTCTCCAATGTGGAGCAGTGCATTCCCCGGGGCTGTGATCCAGCTGGATGGTGTTCAGAGACAGCACAAGCTGTTTCCTTCTGAAACAAGAGTAGCACCACTAGAGGGCTAGTGTGTTAAGTCTCAGCTGGCCAGCTCAGAGTACTAGGTCATAAAAACCAAACCTCTCTGCTCATATCACCTAATATGAGAACTGAAATTCTTCTGGGAACACAAGTATTCATCTTCCCTTCGCAAATGTCACTGGGTGCCTGGGCTTGCAGAGGCCCTGAAGGAGAGTTCTAACAACTGCTGCAATTCAAAAGGATTGCGGGAAAGCCTGGGAAAGTGGGGAGCTGGGCTGGCTGGTGATGTGGGGGAAGGCCAGGGTGGAGTCCATGGCATCAGCGCCAGGGCACCTACAGAACAGCCCTGCTTGCCACTGGCATTCACTGGCATCATCACAGCGGGAGCCTCTGCATGCTAGTCTTCCCTGAGCACAGGTATAGCTCTGCTTTATAAGGAAAATAAGTCATGGAGATGTGAAGTCACTGCCGTACAGAGGCCTAAAGACACACTGGCCTCTATGTGAGGCACACACTGGGTCAGACACACACAGTGGGTTGGAGGTGAGGGCACAGGAGGGATGCAGGTGACATCTCCGGCTGGGCATCTGCTTGGGGAAGGAGGGGCAGACACACCCACCTCCGAGTGTGGGGCGGGGTCTCCCTGTTAAGCACACTTTGATTCGATCCATACTCTGGATCCTCTCACAAGAGGGCCACTAAAAATGACTTCCTATTGCTAGGGCCACACACGCTATTTACAGAGTCATCCCGCTCTATGACATGTTTGCCAAGAACAGATGGCAGACCAGCAAGGACCACCATATACTTTTTTCTCTTAAAGGAAATGGACTTCAGATGATTTCTGAAGCCCTGTGCAACTCAGTGTTTCATTTACCATAAAATCACATTAGGTAAAATATAAATATGTACTTCACATATTTATATAGGCAGTTTACTCTTTCACACAGAAATGATGTCTAACAGAATGTTTTACAAAAGTTTAACCTATTATCTACAGCATCTCTACTACTACTGGGTTGATAAAAAAAAAAATGACTTCCTCACTGGTGAGAGATATATACATATATATTTTTTATATATGTATATATATAAATAAATAAATATGACAGGGTCTCATTCTGTTGTCCAGGCTAGAGTGCAGCTCACTGAAGCCTCCATGTCCTGGGCTCAAGCAATCCTCCCACCTCAGCCTCCCAGGTGTGTGGCATCATGTCCAGCTGATTTTTTACTCTTTGTAGAGACAGGATCTCACTATGTTGCCCAGGCTACTTACAAACTCCTGGGCTGAAGCAGTTCTCCCACACTGGCCTCCCAAAGTGCTGGGATTACAGGCATCAGTCACCATGTCCAGCCGCTAGTGATATTTTTAAACAATTATCAGATTTATCATTTTAGAATAGTTTCTTACTATCATCATGATCCAAGTATAGAAATTTTGAACTAAAAAAAAAAAGTTCATTTTGACAGTTAAAATTAGACTTAAAACAGGCCAGGTGTGGTGGCTCATGCCTTTAATTCCAGCACGTTGGGAAGCAGAGGTGGGTGGATAACCTGGGGTCAGGAGTTCGAGACTCCGTCTACTAAAAATACAAAAATTAGCCTGCCGTGGTGGTGTATGCCTGTAGTTCCAGCTACTCAAGAGGCTGAGACATGAGAATCGCTTGAATTCAGAAGGCAGAGGTTGCAGTGAGCAGAGATCATGCCACTGCACTCCAGCCTGGGTGACAGAGTGAGACTCAGTCTCCAAATAAATAAATAAATAAATTTGACTGAAAACAAATAATTGGTAATAGCTTTTCCCCTACAGCATAAAAGGCTAACACTGTTTGGTCAAGATAACTCAAAGGAATGGCAGGTTGCAGAAAATCAACAATTTAAGAGCAATGCTCAGAAAAAATAGCTGAGATTATATACAACAGATCTGTCTACCTTTCTATAGTCTCCTTAAATGAGGTAACCTACTCAATTCTATTTAGTGCAATAATCCATTTCTTTTATCATTTTCCTTTAGAAAATATGTAGCCTATTTGAATATTTCTAGTGACATGATAACATGAGGCAGTTTTTCCCACTGCCGGACAGTTTTAGTTGCAAGAAAAACTATTTCTTCCGTGAGCTCAAGTTGGCTGAGGCCATCTGGCTATCTATGCACTGAATGATGGCAAGTTTAAAAAAATGTATTTTTCCAAGAAAGAAACTACATAAATAACTCCCTAAAGAAGAATCTGATAACAAGAAAATATTTAGACCACACATGAACTACCGAATATTGAAAATAAATCTCGTTTCTTCCACTGATCTGTAACTATAAATAAAAATTAAGATGAGGCCAATTAAGAAGGGATAATGACCTTGAAAAACAAAATTTTTAATGACTTGAGGACCCATGGAGATTGACTTAGCCAGTTTCAGCTCTGATGAATGATACTAACAGCATTAACAAGTTTTTACTTAGATTAGTAGCACAAATAATAATAAAATGCTTAATATGAGTTATACCTTTTGATTTACTATCTAAAGAATGTGCCACCCTAAGAATGCAATAACTAAAAGACGTATGAACTGTATATTATGGAAGAAAAGACTTCCCAATTAATGTTGTGTAACTATCTCTTCTAGACAGAGGCAACAATTTACAGAAAATTCAAGTTTTGCATATAAGTTTCTCCACTAGGAAAGACAATTTTATGATTTTACTGTCACCACTGTACCACCATATTCTTTAGACATACATGGTAGTATTAAGGAAAAAAACAAATGGCTAAACCTCAGTCACACCTGGGGAAAGTCAAACATATTTTCATTAGTCTCTGGCCTCAATTTTTTAATTGTAACAGCCTGTTGAAGCCATGACAATACAGACCAAATCTGGAGACATAATATCACATTGCCATCCACCTAAACGTAGTGCAGAGAGACATCTGGGGGAGTAAACATAAGGGCAATCTAAACAGCAAGATAAGACAGCTACAGAAAATACTTGGTTTCACCAAGAGGAAAATACACATTTCTTATGTTCCAAAGTATTTAAAGGATATGAGGAACTGGAAATCTAGAGTGATAAGGAAGAAGTGTGGGAGACTCTTCATCATTTAAAAAACTAAATGTAAAAGCAATTATGTTTTGATATCTTCCTAGTAACAAGGTCCCATTAAAGGGAAAACAGCATACTTGTCGTACTGTCATTTCATTTTCAGATCTCGGTGCCAGCAGCCTTCAGGACAAAAGCTTACTGGTTTGTATTGTTAGTGATCCCAAAGAGTTAATCCTGTAGACAGAGCATGTGTGCCCTTTGCTGGTCCAGACACTGGCTCTTTCATCAAAATTCTGGCCTGTAGGGCAACTACTTTGAGTGGGGCCACGGGTCACTCCCAGCCCATGTGAGGGGGTCACTAAAGCCACCACACAGACTTCTAAAGGCTCTGGTCAGATGGTGAAGTATTACTAAAGATCCCGACAAAGCAGGTTCTCTTTTTAAGTCACTGCCTCAGCTTCTATAGGGCCAATATTTGCATGGTCCCAATAAGAGTATGAAATGTGGACCCAATTTTAGTTCTCAGATGCTAAATCACAGTCCTTCAGAGCAGCATTCTGCTTCAAACATGACAGCAACTATGTTTAGAATGACTACTTGGGTTAAAAAACTACCCCAGACTTGGTGTAACTGACTATAACAAGTTGGCTTGGATGACTAAATACCTTCAGGTTCTACCACTTGCAGAACAGGTAATAAGCTTCTACATGGATTCTATGCAAAACAGTACTAAATGTAAACTTTCAGTTGTAGGTACTATTAGGTACCAGTGAGTGTTTAGAGCTACTAGAACCAGAGAACATTCAGCACACACCACTCATCTTACCATAGAAGTTAACCCCTTTGCGGAAGATTATACAGTTACAATTTGAGTGAGGACTAGAACCCATGGTTCTTGATACTCAATATTCTTTTTGTTATTTAGCTTAGTCTAAAAAATCTAGAAATAGGCTGCACAGCAATTAAGGTGCTTTAGTTTCTTTAATTCTGTGGAAAGTAAAGAAGTGACCTTACCTTGGAGACAGACCCCCATGGGAACAGTTGGTGGGTGAGGTTAGGGGGCTGGTCCTGCTGCTGGTGTGTCGGGAGGGCGTTCGGCCAATCGTATTGCTTGGAGAGCCCTGGGGTGAAGCAGAATAGGCATCATTATTCCAGTGCTGTACATAGAATATTATTCTATTCTCTCCTTGGTCTTTTAATCCACATGTAAATAAATGGGTAGAATCTGCCCAGGATGGTTCCCCTGCCCCTCAGAATCATAAGGCCAATTTTAAACCAAAAATGAATAATCATTATACAGGCACTCCTGGAGTCGAATGACTGATGTTGGGTGTGCCAGAGTGACAGACAAAATTGAGCATCTGCATCTTTCCAGTGTTGAAAAATAAGACCAACTCAGTGAATGAATGACTAATTGGATAGCCTAGTGAAAATGTAGCTGACTGAACAACCTAAGAAAAAAGGCCATACTTAAATATCAGATTCATTCATTCACGGGGCTCAGGATGGCCCCGTCCTCAGGATGCTCGGCATTTCCTGAAAGAGGACAAGGAAACGGGGTACTCTATGAGAGTAGGTTCTAGGTAACGGCTCCGCAGAGGTCATGGACATCACAGAGACACCAACCGTGACCAAAGCACTCACCACACTGGTGTTACTGGAATTCTTGAGGTGGTTGTGCAGGAGTTTGGTGGCACCATCCTGGAATGTTTTTGGCAAGGCACCAAGTAACATGGTAAATTCAGGAGTATTCAATTCAAACAGAGAGATTAGCACAATTTGTGCTGCCTAGAAAAAGGAACCATGATTAATCTATGTAACGTACAATAGGTCCTTCATCAAAATGTTGATAAAAGTTGTTTTTAAAAAATATTTTATACGTAAAATCACTAATAAGAGGGCATTCTAGGCATCAAAAACAAAGAAGCATCTGAAGAAAATAATATCAATCATTAGTCTGACTTCAATCTGGAAAATAAACTCTGGCTTCAATTTAATGTCCTGGCCTTGGAATTCCACAGCACACTAATAATAAATTCCTAGTACTTTTCTTTTGTTATCTGGTACTAGGAAGGAAGCTGGTAAATAGCTAAATGAAACAATTAAAAAGTTTAAAAAGTTTAAGATTGATCCCACTTGAATAATTCAGAACTGAACAGGGATCTCAGTGTACCTTGGAGAGCACATATTTTTAAACAAGCTACATTAGGTTATCTTGAGAAGCCACATTTCTCTTAACTAAGAAACACGAGAAAACGAGTATAAATACCTCAGAAAAACTTCTACTTTTACACCTATAAACCAAGGAGAGAGACTTCTGAGAAGCAAACCAGACTTTGAAGGAGTCTACATTAAAAACATGCTCTTCTGCCTTTTGGAAAATGTTCTACTTTTGCTTAATAATTGAGTCAACACACTGCAAGCCTGCTTGTAATGACTGTGGTAGCAAGGTAGGCAAAGCAGTAAGAGTAGTCAACGAGACTCGGGCTTCTAGTAAGTGATGTGCTTTCTATGGATTTAGTAGCAGGCAATCTGAGCTTAAAGCACAATGCCTGAGGAATTAATTATAATAATAATAGTTTTCATTTACAAAAGCCAAGCCAAAAAAAATTTAGTAAATACTAATTGGCATTTCTTATTAATTTCTAAGAGTCAAGGGAAAGAAAAAGACACAAAAAACTGTCTGTGAATATAATCACTTCTTTTTCGTTTTTAACCATAAAGATTTTACAAACATAAAGTCTTTCCAAAGACCGTAATTTTTAAGATTGCAGTAATTATTCAGAATTTTTTTCCATGACATAGAATATTACACAAAAAATGTGCTTGCAGAGAGAATCTTTTGGAAATAAAATCACAAAATAGTTCAAGGATTTTACAATGCTACAATTAATTATACGTCCAGTTAGGACAAAATTACTATTTTGTGCATGGAGAAGGAAAATAAATCCAAAAACCCAAAGGTATTTAACCAAAAATAAGAACTATGAATTTAAAAATATAATCAAAAATTACTTTAACATTTTGAAATCATTCATCAAAGCATTGGGCAAAAGTACATTACTTTTCCCCCCTTTAATTTCAAATACAGTCATCAATACCTTTTCCACCCAAATTAAATCATAAGTGGCCAAAATATTTTTATGACATGGGCAAAAAACATTATTATTGATTTTACTAAAATATGCTTTTCTACATTTCATTTTGGAAACATTTTAAACAAATTATCTGAAGGAATCTACTTCACCAACAATTCAATGTACTGTTAATTTGATATGTACATTTGTATAAGAGAACAAGTTTTTCCAAAACTCATGCGAAATAACCTGCATATTTTTAAAACACATTGTATTAGGTGTTAGGAAAAAACCAATGCATGCAGAAAAATAATGCACTACAAGAAGAAAGCAAGCAGCAGCCTGGAATTGCAGCAGGAAAAACACATCAATGTCATCAATTTAATTAAAAAATATTGGCACTTAAATTTTGTTGACTGAAAATGGCATCTGAAGGTTATAAAACATATAATTACCTTCTTGAATAGTATGCTTTTTATGTCAAATGTGCCACTGCCTTTATTTAAGAGACAATATTTCTTCCCAGAATGTTATCTAATGTCTCAAGCTAACTTGAGGCTTTTCATGATGCAAATTATAAACTTAGTAGCTTAAAGTATTTCCAAAGTAAAATCTTTTAAAAATAAGATCCAAGTTCTAGAAACTGGTAGAAAGTATCATTTAAATATACATTTTTTTCCTACGAAAAGAGGCGGGGGTCTCATTGCCCAGGCTGGAGTGCAGTGGCTATCTACAGGTCCAATCACAGTGCACTGCAGCTCGAACTCCTGTGCTCCAAGCAATCCTACTGCCTCAGTCTCTGGAGTAGCTGGGATTATAGGCATATAGTGCCCGGCCCAAGTATCCAATTTTTAAAAGATTTTATATCAGAGTTTTGCAAGGAATTAGACTGCTATTATTTTCAAATATTTTATCTCTGACCCTCTGAATTAGTGAGAAGTTAAAATGGAATCCAAGCAAGGAAGAAAACTGGGTTATATTTATCATTACCATCAATATGATCTCATTAAACAAGTAATTCCAGATATGGAACTGGGCTGGAGAGATGCATTTAAAAAGCCTGGGGCATAGCTCATGTTCACTAGTGACTCAAAAAGCGGAGTACGCCACTGTTCTTGTCTGCATATCTGAACTGTTGTCTTCGTAAGAGGCAAGACCATTAGGCAGCCAGATGAAAAACTCAAGAGTACTGCTGACTTTTTCTAATGGGCAACCCTAGGGCAATTTATTTGAAGGATCACACGGCAACTTAAAATGAAATGATTCTCACACACACCCTCATAGAGGAATTTGAGAGGTGGGATTTGTAAAACGTTCTTCATATCTCACTGCTATCATATGAAGAGAACTCCCAGGGACATCAACTGTCTTGAACGTTGCACACCTTATAGCAGAAAGGAATTCTTCCTAGCAGATCAAATCAAAATAAAGCTTTGCCAAACACTTCAGTGTTGTTATTAATTTGGGAAAACAAAATTTGAGAGGAAAAGCAGAGTTTTCCAATTTATTAAACAACTCACTGCTCCCTTCAGACTCTCAATAAAAATTGCTTCATGAAGTCACCAAAGAGAAACTATTTCAAAACCTTCAGTCATTTCTCATTTAGCATCTCTCCTTTTTTTTTTTTCCCAAGAGATGGGGGTCTTGCTATATTGCCCAGGCTGGAGTACAGTGGCTATTCACAGGCATGATCACTGTGCACTGCAGACCCGAACTCCTGCAATCCTCCTGCCTCAGCCTCCCAAGTAGCTACAGGCATGTGGTACTGCTCCAGCCTACTATCTCTCCTTTTTACTATTCTATTAAAATATGGTAGCAGTCGACACAAACATGGGTATATCACTGAGAAGGTAGTTAATCATAAAACACACCATAACACAAAGGTTGACACAGGCACACATACACACGCTGATATAGTATTATATTAATTTTAGATTTATCAAAAGCTTCCCAGTGCCTTCATAAGGGCAACTGGTATTAATAATCTAAAATGCAAACAGTGAAGTGTGCTGTTTGAAATTAGTACACAGTTTTCAATCTACCTGTTTACAACTTTCTTCCAAGTTTCCTTCTCCAGGCCCAGAGCAGGTTGAAGCTGACCTAGTGGGGAAATCCTCACCTACTCGACTACGCTGAAGCGAGGACTGGCAAACAGGAAAGGTGGGAGGATTGAATCAGAGAGAAGCAGAAAGTGCCTAAACATGGCAATCTGTTAGCTACAAAAGCATTTGGCTTCTTAGATAAAATCAGCGAGACACACATGATTGAAAGTTAGGAAGAATCAGAATAACAACAGTAGCTGCCAGTTTTAACCCTCAGTAGCATCACTAGGTCTTTTACTTAATAAACTTAAAAGTAGTATTCTTGCTTCAGGTGATGAAATGGAAGATGTCCAAATAAGACTTGAAAGAGTCCAGCATGGTGGCTCACACCTGTAATCCCAGCACTTTGGGAGGCCAAGGTGGGCAGATCAACTGAGGTCAGGAGTTTGAGACCAGCCTGGCCAACAAATGAAACTCCCATCTCCACTAAAAATACAAAAATTAGCTGGGTGTGGTGGCATGTGCCTGTAATCCCAGCTACCCAGGAGGCTGAGGCAGCAGAATCGCTGGAACCTGGGAGGCGGAGGTTGCAGTGAGCTGAGATCGTGCCACTGCACTCCAGCCTGGGTGACAGAGCAAGACTGTCTCAACAACAACAACAAGAAAGACTTAAAAGAGACTCACAGTCACAGTTAAGCTGAGATTCAGTTATTTGATAGTAAAACCCTTAGCTTTCAGACTAGAGGCATGCTGCCTTTATAATCATATATTTTTTTAAAAGTCAATTAGAAATCTCACCTTTTCAATGCAATTTATGCATTAATACTTCTCCCTGCTCTAGCCAACAGCATCTTTATACTTCTAGGTTTCTCTGCCATGCCTTCATTGCCCACACTTCTCAAAACAATGTTTTGGGGGCTAAATCTGTTGCTTCATTTGACAAAGAGAATCACATGTGATAAGCTAACATACAGGCATTCTAAATTCCAACATGTAAACATACAATTAAAATTCTACTGCCATTACCACATTCCCTCTGACTGATCACATGGCTTCCTAATCTTAGAAAAAATTCTGGTACTCAGTTTATTCCATAAATAACAGCAGCAGCAAAACCAAAACAATCACCAAAAAATAATAGCAGAGCTGCAACTGCAAATAAAATGTCTAGGTTTTAATATATTTTATTAATATATTAATAAAAATTTAATCCGCTTAGTAATGCCTGAGGCAAGTGTTACTTATGTATTTTAGAGATGAGTCTCTTTTTGTGGGTGCAAGCAATCCTCCCACCTCAGCCTCCCAAGAAGCTGAAATTATAAGCACGCGCCACCATGCCCAGTTTGAGGCAAGTATTATTATTCCCATTTTATAGACAATAAACAAGAACTCAGGCATTAAATTACTTGCTCTGACCCCAGTGAGTGGCAGACGCAGAAGTCAAATGGAGGTCAAACTCCAGAACCCACCTTCTTTCTATCAGTAATATAGACTATTATCTTATGTCAATACAGTGCATTAAGAAAGGCCTAGTGTACGTCTGCATAGTTTCATCACACAACTAAATTAGGGCTCCCACACTGAGAAAATGGAAAAGTTTACTTTTGGAATACAGTAGGCCAGTTACAGACTGGGTTGGGCTTTTTCGTCTTGTCCAAACCAGTCTCAGTGTGGTAAGCACACCTCACTGGTGATTCGTTCGTGTTTTGATTTTAAAAACACCTTAATAATTTAAGCACCCCTCCCTCCACAATGTGAAACACCCCAATATACTAAGAAGGAAAACAAAATATTAAAAATGCTAAAATCAATGAATCTGAGTTATATCAGCTTGTATTAGTTTAAAATGCTTCAAAAGTGCTTTCACAAACATGGTTGTATGGACTTAGAGAATGTCTGAAAAGTCCCCAGGTACTCTGTTTACATAAAATATTCTCCAGAGATGAGTCTGAGAATTTACTGTATAAATTTCAGACTGAAGGGCTCTTCTGTATTTAGAACACCCACCCTAAAAAAATTAAAGCAGGACATTAACAGAAGAACTTGGTTTAAGATCACAAAATGCTTTTAAATCACCAAGATTTCCATAATCCCTAATATAACCTTTAAAAAACTCTGGAAATGAAGGATGAGGCAGAACAAAGTTTATTTATACAGACATGTATTTTACGTTTAGTGTGTTAAATGATCTAGATAAGAATGGTATTAGTTTTATTTTTATACAGCTTTAAAATAATTTTAAATCTTATCAATTTTAGATCTTAGAGCAGTGATATATGCTATATCACAATTCTTCTAAGTATTTTAATTTATTTAGGCACTACTTTCATTTTGACAGTACTTCAAGAACATCTCATATTCCTGGGTAAGGCAGCTGCATCACTGACAAAAGCAACTATATTTATAAATGTTCAATGGATGGTACATCAAAACAGGGAATTTAAATAAAAGTGAATCTACCTCCAAAAAGGATTAATCTGCAGCGCCCTAATGTAGAGTTTGAGGACATCTATTTTAATACCGTCCTATGATACAACTATTTGAATCAAAAGTAATGCTTTACTAGTTAGTGCGGAATGTTACTGAAAGCCAAATAGTTTAGAGCCACGGATATCTTAGATGATTTAAAAAAAAAAATCTAGGTGACAGAACACAGAAATGCGTCTGCTAAGTAACTTGAACCACATCATAATTTGCATAGATAGCTAAAAAAGCTCCCTCCTAAAATAAGAGCCAAGGAATTATGGAGTAACTACGGTAGCCTTCTGCCAACCCCCTAAAAGAGACACCAAAGTCCTGGTAGTCAAGACACTAAGACGGCCCCCAAGATTCCCCATAACGTACTACACCCTATATAATCCCTCCCACCCTTAGAGTGAGCAGGACTTGTGAATATAATGGATATCACTCCCATGACTGTGTTACATGGCAGAAGGGATTTTCGAAAAATGTAATTAAGGCCCTTAATCAGTTGACTTTGAGTTAATCCAAAGGAAGATTATCCTGGGTGGGCCTGACCTAATCAGGCAAGCCCTTAAAAGGCATCAGGGAGGCCGGGCGCGGTGGCTCAAGCCTGTAATCCCAGCACTTTGGGATGCCAAGACGGGAGGATCACGAGGTCAGGAGATTGAGACCATCCTGGCTAACACGGTGAAACCCCGTCTATACTAAAAAAACACAAAAAAAACTAGCCAGGCGAGGTGGCGGGCACCTGTAGTCCCAGCTACTCGGGAGGCTGAGGCAGGAGAATGGTGTAAACCTGGGAGGCGGAGCTTGCAGTAAGCTGAGATCGGGCCATTGCACTCCAGCCTGGGCAACAGAGCAAGACTCTGTCTCAAAAAAAAAAAAAAAAAAAAAAAAAAAAAAGGCATCAGGGAGATTCAAAATGAGAGAGATTCTATGGCTGGCTTTGTTTTAATTTCTGCTTCATTTTGGAATTAGAGTTTTGCCAAACAGTGAATTCTTGGCTAATCGCTTTTTTTCTTTCAGCACCTTCAACGTCATCCATTGTCTTCTGTCCTCCGTGGTTTCTGAAATGAGCTGTTAATCTTATTGAGGATCTTGTGCATGGGATGAGTTTCTCCCCTCTTGCTGCTTTCAGCAAGCTTTGGCTTTCAGCAATTAGATATTATGTGTCTAGGTGTGAATCCTTTTATTAAAAGATCTTGGCTGGGCGCGGTGGCTCATGCCTGTAATCCCAGCACTTTGGGAGGCCAAGGCGGGCGGATCACGAGGTCAGGAGTTCAAGACCAGCCTGAACAACATGGTGAAACCCCGTCTCTACTAAAAATACAAAAATTAGCTAGGTGTGGTAGTGTGCACCTATAATCCCAGCTACTCAAGAAGCTGAGGCAGGAGAATCACTTGAACCCGGGAGGCGGAGATTGCAGTGAGTCGAGACCGCACCACTGCACTCCAGCCTGGGTGACAGAGCGAGACTCCATCTCAAAACAAACAAATAAACAAACAAACAAAAAATCCAATTTTTTTAAGTTTGTTGGGCTACTTAGATGTATAATGTTTTTTGTCGAATTTGGGGAGTTTCTTAGTTATTATTTCTTCACGTATTCTCCCGATAGCTTTGAATAAGCAAACTTCCTGGTAGCCTCTACTATCTGAGAATGGCTCCCCGGTTGACAGTCAGCAAGAAAGCAGGCGGCTGAGTTCTACACCGGCGAGAGACTGAAATTTGCCAAGAACCAATGAGCTGGAAGAAGATCTCAGCCTCAGATGAGACTGCAGATCCAGATGACATCTTGTTTCAGCCTCTGAGACACCGACCAGAGGACCCAGAGAACACATGCCAGATTCCTGATTTATTACTGTGAGATAATCTGTATTGTTTCAAGGGAAGTATGTGGTAATTTGTTATACAATAGAAAACGAATAAAGAAGTCAAAAGAAGGGAACTTCCAAAACTATAGTTTTAAAAATGATGGCTTCAAAATATCATTTGAAATGAAATCATTCCATATGGGTAGTTATCATTCATTAATTCATTCAAAATATATTAATGCCTACTATGTTACTCCAGGCATATGCCAGGCACTGAGCATGCAGGGTGAGCAAAACAGTCTCCTTACTGCTCAACTTCCCAAACCCTCTGCTTCAGACATATCAGTCTATTTCACTGTTCCCAGACAAATCTCATTTCTTAAACAGGACTATTGTCCTTCCCCTAAACTCATCACTTATGCAAACTGAATCCATATTCCACATCTGAGGATGAATCTTATCTTCTCTAGGAAGCTTTCTATGATTAATACAGAGTGCACTGAGTGACAACATACAGAAAACCAGGCCAGTATTCCATCAGTTTGAAGGAAGTTGCCCAGGGTAACAGGGCCCTAACCACTAAAGTGGGTTTAGAGGAAGCACAAAAACTCTAGGTCCAAGGTAGGGTGGTGGGGAAGATGCCAAGGAACACAGAGGCCAAGCCTAGTCCTGAAGATACTGAGGAGCAACACTGCCTAGCAAGAGAATTTGCAAGAAACAGATCAAGACTACATCAGTAGTCTGTATGTCTTGAGGTTCATTCCAGGGCCATGGCCCAAAATACTAGGCCTTGTCTGTGTATTAAAAATCAGCCAAGAGTGAAAGGAACCCCCATCAAAAAAACAACAGAGTGTCTAGGTTCTGCCCTATACCAATGAAATCAAATTCCTTGGGAACAGAGCTCAGAAATCCACGTTGATTTTAATTGCAGCCAGGACTGGGAACTATTAAATCTGAATCTTCTCAAATTCCTCTGAAGATCAGGATTATTGTCCTAGAACCTAGGTATAAGTTAGGTGTGAAGGTGAGGATTTAAGTACACCTCACAATGGGAAAGGAGAAGTAGGGGGGCAGGCATGGAAAGTAGCACGTCAGTGGAGATAAAGCTTTGCGAAGTAACACTGTATAATCCAAAATAACTGAAACAAGTGTTGAAGCTCATTCAAACAGTAAATGAACGAAGTGATTTCTGGCAAGATATCTAATGTTCTATTTATATTTGGCTTGAGCTAGTATTAAAATAAGCTGAGGTTTTTGGAGCCTCAGGCTAATAATTCAAAATTATCTGAAATGTTCTGAATAGAATAGTAAGGACAGTAAGTCCTTGTTCAAATATTATAATGTGCATGTCCACAGGGAGTGGGCATTATCATCAAAGATCATTTGTTCCAAACAGGCCCTAATTGAGGTAATATGCAAATCTAAAATATGTTTCAGCCCGTAGCAGGCAATACTTAAGTAACATTCCATCGCAGAAGCACATACTCACATATCACACACATACTTATGTGCTACATATTGAAAGATGTTTGCTCTTTTTTAAGAATCTATTGCATCTTATCAAACTTTTCAACTACATTTTAACGATCAGGAACCTTGTAGCCAGCCAGCCCTAGGTCTGCAATTTTGTCTTCAAAGTATGTATTACAAACTGATATAAGGAAAACAAACATCTGTGTAAAAGACACTAATTTACTAGTGATTTCATATTAGAAAATATATAAAATAGATGCCTGGGGAAACCATAAGCCCATCGTGCAAGATCTCAGATTTTCATTTTTATGTTCAAAACTGGGCAGAGCCGGAGAGAGAAAAGAGCAACAGCAGAGCCTTAGGGACAAAAGGTTTGTGTGTGGGCGGCGTGGTTTTCAAGTTTCTAAATACATTTGTCTAACACAAGCCCAGGAACAATCTGTAATTATACATCAGTTCTCTCGGACATACCTTTCTCACGTCTGAACTCTTTGGTTCTGTTGTCCAGGTTATGATTCTAGAAACAGCAAGCCTTGTCTCACTAGAGTTTACAAAATCTGTTGGATCCATCTGTCTGGCCAGAGACTCAATGTATTTCAGGATTGCAACTTTGACCTGAAAGAGCCAATAACTATAAACATTAAGTACACTTGATGAATCTTTGAACACAATTCTTATCAGGTGGCTAGAGAAAAGTAAACCCTGTTGAGAGTGATCGCCTTTTTTTCTCCTGTATTGATAGTTTCCACATGGAGCGACATCCAACAGGGGAAAAAGCATGAAATGACTGATTGGTAAGTCTGGGGACAGGAAGAAGCACGAGACTCAGTTTTCTTCATTTTTAGGTGCCTGTAGAGAAGCGTGCTCTCCCCCTCACCTATGCTGTAAGACACTTCCGGGGCAGGAGCCCTTGTGAGAGGCCTGTGGGATTTCCAGCTCTGCCACTGACTGCAGGCTACGTTCAGCTCTAGTCTTGTCACACATTCTAGGCCATGGTCTGTAAGGCAGCATTTTCAGTAATCAAGCTGATGCTCTGCCCTAACTTCACCATCAACTTCTCAACTAGTTTTGACTTCAAGAGAAAAAGGTAATTATTTATTAGGCTCATCCTAAAACCTCCAAAAAGTTAATGATCAAAGAACAGACGATGAACGTGACCTAATTCAAATTAACACACATCCTCCCTCAAACTTGGTCTTGTTATTACAGGTATGATTTTCCACAACATGTAACAATTAACTTGCATAGCTTAGAATGTTAATATTAAACTTTCCAACAAGATACCTATTTCCACACATAAGAATGTCTTAATTTTCTAGTTTAAATATTAATTGTGAAAAAGACTAGTACTGCCCAAATGTTAGTGAGGATGTAGAAAAACTAGAGCTCTCATAAACTACTGGTGAATACAATATGGTACCACCATTTTAGTGGTTTCTAAAAAAGCTAAACATATACCTATCCAATGAACCAGCAAATACACTACTAGGTACCAAACCAAGAGAAACAGGAACATGTCCACAAAGAATCAAGCAAGAATGCTCACAGCAGATTTATTCACAATAGCTAAACATGGGTCATGTACAAACAAAAGTAAATTTAAGCAAATTTGAGTTCCAGGGTTGAATTGTAATGACAAATAATTACTGACCTTGAGGTTTGGAGTTTGAGTTTGATCCACAATAAATCTCATCAAAATGTTAAATTGTTGATCAAATGGAAAGGAGTCCCTAGGTTGGTGGGAAAAAAGTGATTTTTAAAGAAATTTATTACAAAACAATATAAAACTATTTAACAAAAGCATATCATTGTAAGTTAATGTATGTAAAACCCTGTTCACATTTTTAACAGTGCTTTTCGTTTTATGTAAAGTAATATATGTAATACAGAAAATATGGAAAAAGGAAAATCTTTTTGCAGTCCCCAAACACAAACTGAACTTACTTTGAGTGGCTATTTAAAAAATTAAGACTAAGCAATAAACTAAGGAAGAAATTTCTACCCGCCATTTTAGGGAGTTGCTCATTTTCCCTCCAGCTACCTTTCTGGATATTGCTTAAACATAAAAATCGCTTCTGATACCCAAATCTCATTTTTACATCCTGACTGGGCTGCTTACAGCTGACCCTGCTTAAACTAACCGTACCATCCTCTTTGGTCCTGGTCACTGCTTAGGGTCCCTGCACACCACAAAAGTGTGTCGCCTGTGAGACGGCGACAGAACATTTCCCATCCAGCCACAAATCACACACAGAAGCCTGGGGCCCCAGGAGCCCCTTCTCTTGCTCCATTCTTGCCTTTGCTGATCTTATTTCTCGTGGCATCATGCATCTCTAATCCAATCAAGTAGCCCTCAGGGACTCTTGCCCAGAGAGTCAGTGCTCTTTCTGTTAAAATGCTGTAATTACTAGTATTAGTTAAAAATTGCACAATGGGGCCCATGTGGAAAATGGTGATGTAACGTCCATATTAACGGGAAAGATAATTGCAAGGCAAATATCTACACTGCTTTCTTTGGACCCCCTTAGAGATTTTTCCCAATCTACATAAATGTAGTAAAATAAAGAAGTAGGTTTGACTCTTTAAAACGAAGCAAATAGAATTGATTTGAAAAGTAAATAAAATCATACAACAAAAATAAAAAGCACATGGCATATATTAGGTACCAGTGTTATTCTACATATAATTACTAATAAAAAGTGAACTTGATCCAATAGTACCCTTTCCTCCCACCATCTAGTTGGACCCTGGAATCTCTGAAGATCACTTCGGGAAGGAAAGTATACTTTAGTATACCTGATTTAAGTGACTGTCAACAAACCACCCACAAAATGTCTCTCCCTTTTTCTGGCAGCATGGGGTGGATGGAGAAGACATTTCAGTAATGGGCGTGTATAATCGGGAAATACGCCATTGTTAGGCACAGGCAAAGGAAAGGAAACCGAGGCAGATTAGCACTCAAGTCTATAAACTGAGAAGCAATTCTCAGCCGTCACTAAAACCTCCTATTAATAGTCACTGACTATTCTAGATCAGCTTAAACAACTGTGTATCTCAACTGCTGAGAAAAAGAAGGGAATATTAAAAATGCTTTAGGCACTCACACCAAATCTACTGAGATGAGGACTCTTAAAGGGGCATCCAGGAAAACTAACAGGAAGTCACAACTGTATTCCTTAATCACCAAAGTTTAGGAATACAATCTTAATAGTCCTACCATTCCTAAAAATATGAAATGGATCTGGTCATTGGTAAATTCACCTAAATTAAGTGACCTATAGGCCAAGTCTGGCTCACATATGTTTTATTTGGCCTTCACAGTATCTTAAAAAATTCTCAAATATGTTGCCCAAATCCACATTTCTCACATTTCTTTAAAAGTCTGGTACTACTGAGCCCATGTCCCAGTGTGGTCACAACTGGCCCCAGCCTTTCAAGAGCCCTCCTATCTACTCCACTCGATTATACCAGCTTATCAGCCTAGCCCCTCAGTCAATCTTGGCTAAACCTTTATAATTCATTGGTATAATGGTGTACTGTAATGCCCCCTAACTCCACTAAGTTTAGCCATGCAAAGGAATGACAAAGTTTGAAGGCTTTATTGCAAATGTAGTACGTTACTTTCATTCTTATTTATTTATTTTATTATTATTCTTTTTTTAAGGCCTCACCAACAGATGCAAGTACATTACTTTGAGTTCATTAAAAACCAGAAGGGAAATCTCTCTGGATAATAGAATTCTATAGCAATGCAATTACACAGACTGACAGGGTCAAGGGCCAAAAGAAAACAGCTGGCATCATGGTGTAGAGGAACAGATGCATTCTTTGAAGTCAGAGTCATGTAACAGCTGCACACATAGGGAAGCTGGCAGGACAGGATATGCTACTGTGCTAGTCAAGGGAGCCAGAAAGGGAAGAGAAGGCTCTAGTGCTATCCATACCACCCCCCTGCCCTGACAGGAGGTGAGGACACACACCCACAAGACAGTCTGCAACAATAAGAACAGACAACAGTGCAATCATCAGAAATCCTGGATTTTCATTCCCAAACAGCCACTAACACAAAGTCAAGGTAAAGTGTCTGTTTCTCACTGATAAAATGAGCATCATCTTTAAGGTCCTTTCATCTTGAAATTCTATGATAACTATAATTATTCCAGGTTGTAGTAACTTATAAAAGTTATCGCCCTGATAATTTTCTGAGTCACTTGGAAGTTATTCCTTTGTTCTTTAAAAAAGTTCACCAATTTGACATTCCCCCCCATCCATATTCCACCAAATCACAACCAAGACATTACTGCAAAGTGTCTTCCAAGATCTTTTAATTCTCATGCTTGCATACTGAGGACCCACAACTGCACAGACGATAGAGAAGCAGTTTCTGAACAGCAGCAGCACGTAGCCTTTTCTAACTTTTCTGGGTTTCAGCAGTTTTTCTTTTCTCATAACAGCCAGAAGGGTCACAACTACTGCAAATGTGCTATTAATCTCTGAGCCAATGTACTGTCAATTTAGAGAATTTTCCTGGACCAATGGAAACTCTACATCATACACTGATAGAACAATTTCTAGTATGACTTGTAAGTTGAAGTAATAAAAACACTAAGGTCTTCAGAAAAATGTAAACAAATATTCTAAATGTTTTCTTTAAATGTTTTTTAATGAGAAGAGAATCAATTTCCAAAGTTTTACATTTGTTTGTTATGTATGTCTTAAATACAAAAGTAATATCAACACAAGGAAGATATGGTATTTCATTTCATGGATTGGTGAGACATGTCAACAAGTATGTCAACAACAGAAAGTGAGAACTGAGTAAAAGATATTCAAGTGAGTGACAAACGCCATGGGAAACAAAAGAGAATGGCAAAAAGTCACCTACAAGTATCCTGTAATGTCAAAACTAACTCTTAAACACTTACCTTGTGACATCTAGAGCCTTTTGAACTTTTGCTTGCACAGATCCAAGTAAATCTGCTCCCATTTTCTTAAGTAATTGTGTGAGAAGAACAAAAAGCCAGTCTTGTAAATCATCCTTATGAATTATTATAAAATCCACAAGAGTCTCCAAAAACATACTGAAAACCTAGACACAAATGAAAACCAAGTACTTCACATATTGAATTCACAATTTCCTCCAAAGTCTACAAAACATTAAAAATGCCCATACGTGCTTTGCCCAGACTCTTGTAACTTAGGTTAACACTGTCAACAACTGTTCCTAGTACAGAAGGAAAATGTAGTGCAGAAAACAGATAAAGGAAAAAGGAATGGAACTTACTCTCTGTTGTGAATTCCACCGCAAACGAGGCCATGCAACAAAACAAATTCCATGTTAGTTGGCAGTGAATTAATACCATTTTCATGCGTTTAAGAAAACCTGAAAAGGCTACAAACCAATGAAATATTCTCTCCTCCCTCAATATACGTCTTTAAAAAGCAGTACAGAGAGAAATGAACTTTTCTGAGTTTAATCATGAAGGCTTTTCTTTCTTAAACAACAACAAATCCTTGTGTCCTAATTCTATAGTATTCTTATTCACTATCTAGCAGTCAACACATACTATTATAAAATGAGCCAATAAAAACACTTACTCACTAGTGTGTAGCTATTGCTTTTCACGTCAGATATTTTAATGTACACCAATTTCAGGATATCATAAAGTAACAGATGGTTACAGTTTAGAATAAAAGATATTAACATAATTCTCATGCTGTTGTGTAATGATTTTTGCTAAGGCAAAATAGAGTGCATAGTGGAATATCTCTGAACCAATTTCAGAGAGAAAAGTAGCACCGAGTATCCCTACCTTGCTAACGAAACTTGTTCTACTTGGACAGCCCATGAACCCTATCCCGCCTCATTTCTAGTAGAGCAACTATTCACCACCAGGGGTCTCCTGTGAGACAGCTCAGGAAAAAGGTCATTTAGCTGTGGGATTCCTGGCTTAGCTTACAGGCAGCTAACAAATATTAACTAAACTGAGACCTCCAAACTCACTGTACAAGAGACTTCTGATGGAAACAAATTTCCTTCTTTATCCTCACATTCTGCTTCTGAATCAGCAATCTAGGGGTGACAGGTAACAGAAATTTATCAATGTTCTAAACCATCTAATAGTGCTTATGTTTTAAATCTTAAGAATCTAATTATGCTTATGCATTAAATCTTACTGCTTTTAACACTACCTTAGAGAAAAATCTTGATACATTTTATCTTTGGATATCTATGTGGCCTTTAAAGGTTTAAGCTCAGCCTTTCCTGAATTTTTACTGAGACAGAATCTCACTCTGTTGTTCAGGCTGGAGTGCAGTGGTGCGATCTCAGCTCACTGTAACCTCCGCCTCCCAGGTTCAAGTGATTGCCCCCCAAATAACTGGGATTACAGGCACACGCCACCATACCCAGCTAATTTTTATATTTTTAGTAGAGACAGGGTTTCGCCATGTTGGCCAGGCTGGTCTCGAACTCTTGACCTCAAGTGATCCACCCGCCTCGGCCTCCCAAAGTGCTGGGATTACAGGTGTAAGCCACCGTGCCCAGTGGATTTCTATTAATATTGTTAATGTTGACTTTGCTGTGAGGGTCATAGCAGAAAGTTTAAGACATGCTTCAAGAATGACACTGAGTGAGGAGAGCTGTGGGGAGAGGGGAGGAGAACCCTTGCATTCACTCCCCTTTACGCTCATGAGCACCTCAAAAGGCTGGGGCCGTATCTTCTTTTCTATATCCCCGCCCCAGAGCAGTTACTCAGTAAATGTTAAATGACTGGGTGAATGAATGGGTGGATGGATGTTTGATATTTCAAGGACAATTCCTACGAGGAAGCAAGGATAGGAAAAGAAAGATGATGATGACTAACTGGCTGGGCTCTCTGGCTGCCACGGGTTTCTTTCTTCCAGGAAGACTCGGAGGAGGCCATCTTTACTAGGAAAACTAGTTGATCCTGCATGTCAGCATTAAAGATTTGCTTCTGCGCATTTAAGGTTCTATCCATTTCCACACCTTACTTTTGTTCTTTATCTACCCCTTTCCCTAAATCTTCATCCTGCCCTCTACTTTCTTCCTCTAAAAGCATTTAATAGTCTCTAAGGGCCTCCTCCCAAACAATGGTATTTAAAATCTAGACCCCAAGTAAATTTCTGTAAAGAGTCCTTCTCTCACCCCTTTTCCACCACCCCTGGAAAGTGTTCTGTCCCATACGCATGGGCGTTTCCCCCTCAGCTGGGACTCTCTCCTCAGAAAAAGCATTCCTCAGGCTTAGTGTTCCCTATGGCCCTCAGGAGGTGTGGGCACCAGCTAAGTGATCACCAATTCAGCAAGTTCTTGGGAACAGCAAAATCCTATTTTAAGAAATAATCTGGTTTTTCAATAAATCCATTAAATACTTTCATTTTTTCTATCTTGTCCTATACAGACATATTCTACATGGGATACAAAAATAATTATACACTTATTTTCTTCACTATATACTATAACATTAAAAAATGCATGATATTATAATACGATCTTATACCCTAGCACCTACCTCACTGTTTGGCTAACAGGAGACATACAGAAATATTTGCTGAATGTAAGAAAGACCATCTGACTCCCTCCCTGATAACTCTTACTTGAAGCACACTTAATTAACTTGAAATTTTATGCACATTTAAGTTTCCAAGAATTCTGTTTTAAAAAGATGTAACATACACTAGTGCTGAAACTGGTGTTACTCTGCGGTCGGAACTGCACTATCGGGAATTCGCTCTCATTCTTGGATAGTATATCACACAGAGCACACAGACATGCAGGGGGAAAGACAAGGGCAGGCATGACTTCCACACCTACCTTGCTATGAGGGTCAGCAAACATCCGGGTGAAGATCTCACACAACCTTTTCAGTTCAACTCGACTAGAAGAAATAAAACAGAATTCAATGAATTGACTACTTGTATTATTTTTGAGACAGGGTCTCATTCTATCACCCAGGCTGGAGCGCAGTGGTGCAATCATAGCTCACTACAGCCTTGATCTCCCAAGCTCAAGCGTTCCTCCCACTTCAGCCTCCTGAGTAGCTGGGAGGTGCACACGACCACACCTGGGTAATCTGTTTGATCAGTCAACTACATGAGCTTTACATAATTTATATCTACATAACAAGGTTTTTTTTCACAAACTCTTATTTAATTTGTAGCTAAATCAAATAGGAATACAAAACCAGAGATCGGTTCTCATTTTAAGATGAGGAAACTAAGACTGAGTGATTTACTCAAGGGGACACATCTGGAAGTGATAAAGCCATGCACCAAAATCTTTTTCATTTTATCCCAGCTGTGTCTTCCACATGCCACGATTGAAAAGCAATGGAATAAAGTTTAAAAAGCATGTCTATCCTGCATTGTAATGAGAGGTACAAAACGAAAAAGGCAAAAAACAAAACAGCATGTGTTTCAGGGTCAGACAGACCTGGATTTTAATCTCAGTTCTGCTGTAAATAAGGTACTCTGGGCCGGGCACAGTGGCTCACACCTGTAATCCCAGCACTTTGGGAGGCCAAGGCAGGTAGATCACCTTAGGTCAGGAATTCAAGACCAGCCTGGCACCATAGTGAAACTCCGTCTCTACTAAAAATGCAAAAATCAGCTGGGCATGGTGGCGAGTGCCTATAATCCCAGCTACTCAGGAGGCTGAGGCAGAAGAATCGCTTGAACCCAGGAGGCACAGGTTGCAGTGAGCCGAGATCACGCCATTGCACTTCAGCCTGGGCAACAAGAGCGAAACTCAGTCTCAAAAATAAATACATAAAATAAATAAGTACTCTGCTATCTTTAAGCCTGGTTTTTCCTTATTGGTCAAACAGGGTGCCATGTCATGTGGCTGCTGAGAGGATGAAAAAAGATAACACATTGTACCTTCTACTGCACCTAGGACAAAGCAAACATTCATTTCACATTGGTGCCCTTTGTCTTTTCTGATCCTTGACAACCACGAAGTCCCATGGTTAAAGTTTGATAGAAGGGTCCTCTCTTCCACAAATCATCCCTGATTAATGCCTTCTTATGTGGATGAGACAGTTGGTTCAAGGACCCTTCAATATTGTTAACGATGTAACCTAGATTAGACCAACGCCAATCAACAGATTCCTAGAAATTATTCAATAGGTACTTGGTGAACACTAAGAATCTACAAAGTGGGACCACCAGGATTAAACAGATTCTTGAGGAACAATCGTGACAAACCATCTTCTGTTTCTGACAGGTGACCAGAGCGTCACAGGATGCCTGTGTTTCAGAAGGCACATGACAAAACTTCCTATATCGCCTTCATGAACAGACGAATAATGGGGGGCAGGTATGAGTACAGGAGGCTGGAGTCAGATGGCCTGAAGAGCCACAGTGAGAGCTGGGCGACTTATCAGCCAGTGCTCACTTAGCCTTACAGAACCCAAGAGGGATGCCCATCTATGACCATTAACTTATCTTACAAAAACTATCCAAAGGATAAAGTAGACTGCATTTCATGTATTCTAAGTCGCCCATTTCTTAGTTCCCATTCACATCTCCTTTCTCTAATTTTCACATCTCTGTAATTGAGTCATCTTATAATCAATGACATTTTTGTGCTGTCACGGTTTAATACGCATGACATTTATTAAAGGGCTAAAAATAAGGGTGTGTGTACGGTGCCTTAGATTTGACAAAATATGGTATAACCACATACTTTTTCGGTATGTATAATACACGCTTACTTTAGAAAATTCATGAAACAGAAACAAAGAAAAAAGCAAAAACAATCCATTTAAAAGACAATGCTGTTACTAGAGTGCTCCATTTTGTTACCTCCTTACTATGTACATTTATAAGCTACATATATGCACACGTGCATCAAAATTTTCCAGACTAAGACTGATAACATCCTATCTAGGACCCTAAAGTATAATGAACCATACTAACCTGCAGAGTTGTTTTATTTATTTATTTTAAACCTGAATTGCATACTGTACACAGACATTTCTCAAATAACATCTACTGGACAAATATGAAACAGAAGGGAACCAAACATGAGGTTTTTGTTTTGTTTTGTTTTGTTTTTGAGACAAGGTTTTGCTCTGCCACCCAGGCTGGAGCACACTGGTGTAACCATAATGCACTGCAATCTCCAGCTCTGGGCTCATGTGATCCTCCTGCCTCAGCCTCCGAAGTATCTGGGATTACAGATGCATGTCACCACATCTGGCTAACGTTTTAACTTTTTTGTAGAGATGGGGGTCTCCCTTTGTTGCCCAGGCTGGTCTCAAACTCCTGGACTCAAGTGCTTCTCCTGCCCTGGCCTCTCAAAGTGCTGGGATTACAGGTATGAGCCACTGTGTCCACCCTAAATCTTTTATCAGCCTAATAAGTTACAGAATATTTGCCAGATGGGCTGGGCGCAGTGGCTCACGCCAGTATTCCCAGCACTTTGGGAGGTAAAGGCAGGCAGATTACGAGGTCAGGAGTTTGAGACCAGCCTGGCCAATATGGTGAAACCCTGTCTCTACTACAAATACAAAAATTAGTCAGGCGTGGTGGCGCGGCTACTCAGGAGGCTGAGGGAGAAGAATCGCTTGAACCCGGGAGACGGAGGTTGCAGTGAGCCAAGATCGTGCCACTGCACTCCAGCCTAGGCAACAGAGCGAGATTCCATCTCAAAAAAAAAAAAAGTGAAAGAAAAAAAGGATTATTTGCCCGATATTTCAAAGCCTCTGGATGGCAGGGACTGTCTCTTAGTCATCTTGGTACCTTTAGTGCCTGTTCCTGCAAGCGGACCTCTTGAAAACTCCATTAATTATAGGAAAACCCTTTAAGCCCCTGAAGAGTTCAACAGGGGATTCAAACTTAGCTCATATTCTTGCTGTGGTCCTCACCTCAGTGTTCTTTGGCTCTTCAGTAAGTTCTGCAGGCCAAGAAGCCCTTCTTTCCTTTCTGACCAGTTTGAACTAGCACAGTGGTTGAGAACTTCTGCTACATCTTCAGTCTGCCGCAGATAATGGGGAATGCCACCATTCCTGGAGCCATATGAGCGCTCAGAGCAAACACTTGAGGCATCACTGTTGGCATCATCGTCAGAATACATCCCATACGGCTCATATCTCCTCCTCACAGGCTTCTTCTGACAGGACCAATGAGGGATGGGAGTGATTGAGGAAGAAATAGAAAGGTGAAATGACCGTGAGTCATACCAAACAAAATCTACAACAAAGAGTTAAGTGTAGAAAGACATATGCACACACACACTTTTCCTGTGCTTACAGATTATGGAAATACAAACAGAAAAGCAGTTTTCCATTAGGTAAAATAACTAATAAGCAAAGCACTCTGTAGTAGAGAGGAAAGAGTGTGGCCTCTAGTACAGTGTGTGGACTTTACAGGAAGACAGATCACAATCCTGGTGCCAACACTGACTGGGCTGCATGACTTCTGAAAGCCTCCTAGGCCTTTTGCTTCGGTTTCCCCGTCTTTAAGACAACAATAATTATACCTATCATACAGGCTTGTTGTGAGGATTAAATGAAATTATATGTTAAATATTTTAGCTGGGCACCTGGCACAATGCAAATACGTGCAGCCAACAGCCCCTCCGCAGTCAAAAGCAATATATCTTGAGCATGGTCTATGGATAAACTTGTGTGAATATTTATGTTTCCTGAAAAAGTCAGAATTTGAAATGTCAGTGGCAGAAGCAGCCCATGTAAAAGGATTCCTAAGTCATCTCCCTCTGTTGCCCAGGCTGGTTTCTAACTCCTGGCCACTTTTATTAAAGACTTAGGGTTTTGAAACACAAATAGGCTTCTCTGAAAGTAGACTATAATACCCACTTTATTCATTTCTCTGACCCTGAACACAAAACTGCTATACCCATAAATATGATATAGCAGCAACTATATAAAATTGATAGAAGCAAAACAAATAGCTATTGGCTTAAACCAAACAAATACACTTCTCTAATAATATGGCATATTATTATTAATCCAACTTGCTCAGGACTGTTCTGCCTTAAGCCTATTGTCATAATTATTAATAGCATCTCCCTTTTAATCTCAAAAGCATTTTTGTTTGGATAATAAATTATATGGTCACACAAAAACCAGATTCCTAAAATAAGAAAAATGTTGATAAATCCATTCATGAAATCATGACGACGTAAGAATAGGCACAAATTGAGTTAATAAAATGAAACACTACTAGGCGAAGGAGCAGAGCTTGACATTTGAAATAAATACTAAAACAGATGTACATGAAAGGTGACTGACTCCACCATGAATAAAGACAACAATGATGGTGAATCACTGTTATGATTCAGCAAAATCATTTTTCAGATCAGAATTTCTATACTATATCTTTTGGTTTTCACTAGCTTCTGAAAGAAATATACTTGCAACAGAAGAAATAAAGTTGTAAAACAAAAGTTAAAGCACTGGTACCTTGCTCCTGGAGTCTCCTAACAGCTGTAGGCAGGAAAATATTGAAGGATGGGGAAAAAGCATAGAGAATTATGTCAGAAGCATATGTAGGGACTGTTCTTGCAACAAAAGTGTACAGCAAAACATATCTTAGCAAACCAAAAACACAGGTTAGCGAGCGTTTCATATCAAGCGAATAATAATAAAGAATGCTTTCAAAATGGCATTTCCTAACCCTCCTCCATGTCTCAGAAGACCTTCTGGTAACTTGCTGTAATTCTTTGCTAAAACTTTTCCCATACCAGTGAGGCAAATCTCTAAGGTCACCATTAATTCTATCTCTTCCTCTGAGACATTCTGTCTGGCACCGTGGTATCTATTCAGTGAGGCAAAGATTCTGTACCATTTCTGTGTTTTCTCTTCAGAAGCAGGTCACTTGGAGAGACTAAACAGTTTGGACAAAAAGTAACAAGGGCAGTATGAATCTAATGGGAGCCAGAGCTCAGAGAAAAGCTCAAGTCAAGTCAAGCCAAAGCTCAAACTCTCAAGTCCTATTCTGCCTCCTAGAACTTTACACACAGTCCCTTATGCAGTTCTTTAAAGAACTAAGAAATTCCCCTGACTTAAGTGGAAATCTCAACTAAGGGCTTCACATCCATCATTTCCCACCCCTTTGACCTCCACTTCCCAGGGTCTCTGAACGAATAAGATACAGACTCTAAATGCTGCAACTTGGAAGGACAAACAGTTTCAGAGAATTCTGTCCCAGCTCTTGACTCTTAAAGCCACAGTTAGAGCAATTACCCTGAACTCTAGCACCTGCCAGAAAAAAGTCTTCCTATACATAAGGCTGAGGAATACACATGGCCAGGCAGCTTGCCTACAGGAAAAGCATTATGAGAGTAGCAAACTGCTTGCTCACAGATACCTGTCAAAGAACCTGACTGAGCAGGAATAAATGCGGGCGAGACAAGAAGGAATGAAAACTGGAATCACCATAGCCATAAACTGTAAAATGTTGATCTGACAAAACATGGCTGGATTAAAAACTTAAGAATCTGAAAGCAGGATATTAAATACTTTTTTTCCTTTACACGAGAATAAATCTTAAAACAGCAAGAGCAAGGCCAGTGATCAGACAGTTCTAAAGAACATCCATTTCAAATGCTGAGCACATAAACCGGAATATGCAAGAGACTGTGTGACTAGCTGAAACACATCTTTAAAAAGCAATTTGACCACAAGCTGATTCTACCAAGGAACTTTTTGGTATAACCAAAAAAATTAAAGGATCCATGATCATTTATGGTTTTCAGATATTACACTATAATGATGCAAAAACATACTCCACCATTGCTTCACATCCTCAAAGATTTAGGAAAAACAACATAAAATCAAACGGACAAGATAATAGAATAAACGCAAGATTTTCAAACCTCAAACTCTATTACCTATTATTATAATAAAATGTCTAGGTTATGCCATCAAAGTCTGTAAAGCAATAGAAGCAACAGAATGGAAAAAAGGAAGTGCCAGGGGGGAAAAAACAAAAACCATGGTTAAAAAGAAAAAAAGAAGCCCAGTGACATCTGAGAAGTCCAGTGTCATCAAAAGCTCCTTGATACTGAAGAGCACCGATAAGAAATACTTGACACTAATATTTTCTGTAAAGTCCATTTTCACTTATATGTGTGCAGAGATAAAAGTTTAAGGAGCAAACAATAACAATATAAATTTACCCAACAGTTACACAATTTTAAAGAGTGTCAAAGATGATTTAATAATCTGATTTGGGGGCAATTTCCTGTTAAGACAGAGAGAAATGCAGATGAGTATTTCAAACAGACTCTGTTTACATACATACTGTGCCTCTTACCAAAGCATCAGCAACAGCAGCTTCAAGATCTGTACTTGTGCTCAGAACTCTCATGGCATTCACAGAACCAGGTATTCTTCCTGGCTGGCCAAGCCCAAATCGATCTATTTAAAAAACAAAAGCAAAAGATGTGTCACTTTAATTGAAATTATCTCAATTCCTTGCAAGGACTACTGCCTCTTCCCACCAAGTAGACAGAAGCACTGAAAAATCTCTAGCCAATTTTAACTACACTTGACTTTACCAGTGGTAGAGGTTAAGCTGTTCACATTTAATGCTATTGTGCCACAAAGCACTGTCACTCAAAATTGTTCAAACATGATATTTTATTATTGAAAAGTTTCTGAGATATGAGAGGGAAGGGGGAACTTATGGGAGCTGGACTATGAGTTGAATCTTTTAATCTATTTAGCTTTCCCTATAGAGGCAAGTGGCCTTGATGTTTGGTCAAACTAATTAGAAAGCTTCATGGTTTCATAAGAGTTCTAATGCAATGTGTGGTAAAAAATTAAAATTTGAAACAAATTGATTTCTGTGCAAATTTTTATTAGTGTCACTACTGTTTATTGCTAAACTCATTTTAGATATTTGTTCGTCATGATACCTGTGTCAACAAAAATTTACTTAAAAATCAATTTATTAAAATTAATAATCACCAAAAATCTTGCACTTTCACTGATGAACATTAAAAATTTAGATAATATAAGTTTTACTTGGGTTCCTCAAATAATTTAGAATGGTAATCTTTATACAGATAAAATAACAGAAAGAATCCAATGAATTTAAAACAAATTTAGTAGTTCAAACAATAATTTTAAGTTTATTTGTGAACATGGAAATGAAAACTCACTTTTTAAAGTCCCATTAAATTAGCTGACCAGCCTTCCTTAGGAAGTGCTGGAGATTAAAACTATACTAGGAGAAAGGCAGTGTAAGTCGTATCTTCATTAAGTGTGTTATACATTATCTACCAGTAAAAAATTTCTTATTTAAAAAGTCTAACATATAAAAACCTTTGGAAGAAAAATGTTACGATAAAATATTTTCTATTTTCTCTGTGTTAACAAATAAGACATTGGACAAGGAAAATCTCTATGTTAGCCACATTCTAGAAGCATCTAGAATAAAAGGGAAGCTAATTTTACATGAATTGATCTTTCCTATAAAACAACATATTTAAAATTTTAGATATGTAACAAGACAGTGCCTACAAAACTGGTGAACTTAAAAAGCGAATTGTTATTTGGCTTTTTAAAAATGTCAATTTCAAAACATTATACCTTCCACCACCATAGAAAGGGAGAAAAATTTAAACACTGCTTATCAATAGTTATACAGTCATGAATTTTTTAAAAGAAACAAAAACTGTATGTTATACTATCCCCTTTTTTAATGCATTTGCTGGTCATTCCAACTGTCATCTTAGTCATTATGTTTAAAAGGTAATGTGCCATATAAACTAAAACAGGCCATTAAAAATTACATATATCTATATTTATCAGTTGAAATATGAAACAAGTGTAAATGTGAGATTTACTGTGCACATATAGTTTTATAGACGATCTTTGTTCAAGTTTTTTTTCATTAAAAAAGGGTAGATAGTAGATTTATGAGTAACAGAATGAAAGTAATTCAATTATAAGCCATTAAAAAATTACCCAGCATAAACTTAAATAAAACGAAGTCTAACAAAATTAAAAAAAAAAAAAAAAAAAAATCTCATGCCAGCAATTCTTGCTCCAGGGAGAATACAGATTTTTTCAGACACAAAATTAAAACTATAAGAACAATGCAATTATTCTGTGCTTCCAAGATGCATACAGCTTTGCCATACATAGTGACTACAGATCATTTGATATATATCATAGACAATTTGAATTTCAAATCTTAAGGGGAAATGTTTATCCAGATCTAAGCAAAACTATAAGCTTTGTGTTTTCACCAGAGCAAAATCTGTTCCATAGTCTCAAGGCTCTGATACTATTAAAAGTTCAATTTTTCCAAGAGATGAACACATATGACTGTGCTCTCAGTCTGGCCCCTAATCTTCAGGGAAATGTACATAATCAGAATATACAGGAGGCAGGGCATGGTGGCTTTGCCTGTAATCCCAGCACTTTGGGAGGCCAAGGTGGGTAAATCGCTTGAGCCCAAGAGTTTTGAGACCAGCCTGGGCAACACGGTGAAATCCCGTCTCTACAAAAACAACAGAAACTAGCTGGGTGTGGTGGCACGCACCTGTAGTCCCAGCTACTTGGGGAGCGAGGTGGGAGGACCGCTTGGGCCCAGGTAGCAGAGGTAGCAGAGGTTGCAGTGACCCGAGATCACACTACTACACTCCAAGCCTGGGCAACAAGTGAGACCCTGTTGCAAAACCCAAAACCCAAAACCCAAAAACAAACAAACAAAGTATAGGGGGCTTCATTTAGAGGAAAAAAGAGAAAATACCAGACTCAGTGAATTGGTAACAATTGTCACCATCAACGGTCTGCAAATTCATAGATTCTACCTTACTCAATTGAGAAAACTGTAGTCATTAGGGACTGCTAGCATGAAATCTAACAAACTGATACATTACTGTATGCTTACTTTTTGCCACTGTGGCTAACCAGTGGATGCTGAGTATTGCTAAACAGAACTGAGGGAGCAGGTTTGGGGTTTGCAGGCTGCAAAGGATACCTCTGGCCTGACTTGATTACCTGAATCCTGATCTTGTTTTTCCATAAAACTTTGAGAACAATACACTTATTTTCATACATATGAAATTATGTATGCTATAATTTGCAACACTGTTAACTAAATGGTACCTTAAAAAATGTGAACTTGACATTAATAACTAGCATTAATATTTGGCAGTTTATTCGGAGTAAAGACTTTGGAAGGGAATCTGTTGGGTGATATCCATGCCCCCTTGCCCCACAGGAACCCTAAATAATACCTAATTTTGGTTATTTTCCTGGGGACAGAGTGGCAGGAAGGGAATTACTTCCCAGTTTTATGTTTTGTTTTAACGTAAATATGAATACTGGAGAAACGATGTTGTCAAACAGGCTATAAAGCATCTACAGCCTATTAACAGAACTATAAACATTCAATAACTTAAAAAAATTAAAGCACATTGGGGAAAAAAATATGAGGTGCATACATGCCAAGTGCTAGCCGACACAGATGAAAACAAATGTTAACATGGGTGTGAAACTAGAACATATGAAGAAGCCAAGTCATGCAGTTAGCACTTGTTCACCTGACTGCCCAACAGATTCAGCAGTGGAGAGAGCACTAGTGGACCTGGAATGACGTCGAGAGGCTGCAGGTAAAAGGAATGGCAACACCCACAGGATTAACACAGAAGTACCAGAGACAGAAAACGCCACAGTCCAAAGGAAATGCAGGGACTGCTACCAACAAGGCCATGTTTTCTCATGAGAAGAAATGGTGCTGGATATGAATGGATAGCAAGTGCCAGTCCCCAAACTCCACAGTGGCCCGCTGGCTCTCGCACAGCTATTAAACACACAGGCACAACAAAGGCACTCTTAAAGGTGCTCCAAACTATGCATCAACCAACTCGGACTCCAGGGTTATTTTCACGCCATGAAGCCTCTATCAGCCAGTATGGAAATATGCAACATGAAGAACAGCAGGAGTCACAGAGCACCGTCTACATCCCAGAGTGGAACGGCAGTAAGACGGACTGTTAACTCAGCTCACGAGATGTTTTATCAGTACGTGATGCATATGCAACCATGCACCAAAAACAAGCATAGAAGTTCATAATGTTACTTCAACGGAAATAAAATGAAATCACAGGAAGGGGATTCAACAGTTGGAATTCCATTTTCCCCAGTCAAAATGTTTGTTGTTCTGTTGCATGAATATCCTAATTATTATTATTACTATTATTTTCAGACAAGGTCTCACTCTGTTGCCCAGGCTGACGCGCAATGGCGCAATCATGGCTCAGGATCAAGCAGATCCGCCTGCCTCAGCCTCCTAAGTAGCAGGGACTACAGGGATGTGCCAGCACACCCGGCTTTTTATTTATTTTATTTTATTTTATTTTTTTTGTAGAGACGAGGTCTCCCTATGTTGCCCGGCTGGTCTCGAACTCCTGGGCTCAAGCAATCTGCCCACCTCAGCCTTCCAAAGTGCTGGGATTACAGGCGTGAGCCACCACGCCCGACCATATCCTAATTATTAGTACTTGTGTAATTGTTGGAATTTGGTTGTATTAAGTTTAATGATTTTTCCCTGGAGAAGCAGTTACAGTACACTGGTTATGAGTACCAGCTCAGTAATGCAGCTGTAAACCCTGGTTGGATCACAACTAGCCATAGGACTGACCTTGGGCAAAGTACTAAATCTATCTGTGTCTCAGTATCTTATCTGTAAAATGGTGCTAATAACGGTTAATGTTACCTACCTCTTGGGAGATACTGAGAGGATTAAAAGAGGCTATAAAGCACTTAAACAATGGTTAGTAGCGTTGGTAGTGCCGGTGGTGGCAGTAACAGATAAGAGCAACCTCCAATTTACGATCTGACATTATTATAGTACCATTTTATTAACAAGTATTCCTAAAGAGCATATTACTTCATCAACCTGAGGAAATACATGCTAAATTCTGTCCTCATGTGGACAGAAAATAACTTTTAGAAATAATTATGAAATAAAGACTTGGTTCAAAACATTAACTTATTGACTATAGTTCCATGCAACATATGGCTTTTCCTTAACCTCAGGAAAAAACAAAAGATAATGTTCTTCCATTCATTACTCTGAAAAATTCACAGTGATTATACCACAGAAAATTTATAGGTTTAACAAAATAATACTGAGCAGTGCCACATTTTATCCATACTACTATTCTGTACATGTTAACGCTCTCACATTCAGTCATAAAATATCAATACCTCGAATTCTTTAATATAATTTTTAAGGTCCATGTTACTTTGTAAAATGTGCATCCCTATGGCACATGTGGTATTAAATAGCAAAGATTACCTGGCAATTTTTACTAGTTTGCAAAAAAAGGAAAATATCCCTTTCTCAAGATTCACAAAAATTAAAACTAAATTGGCAAAGAATATTATAAAATTATCACTTTCCCTAAAAAAGGAAGTTGGTAAAATATCTTGTGTTAGGACTGAAGCAAACTATACATTTTTGTACAAGCACATCACTATCTTGATAGTTCAGACTGAAATAGTTTTTAAGCAGTACCTGATATGCAGGTTCCTTACCAAGTGGTCCTTTGGTTCAGTTTCTACAGAATATTCTAAAAAAAATCTGTCATGCCATGAGTCCTCTGTCACATTCACAAGTTAACACCCAACACTGGAATCCTAGGCAGACCCACTTATGTGAGAGCCTAATTTACAGCACCCCAGAGCCCTTATTTCCCTTAATCAAAAATTCTCACCATAACCATATACATTCGTACCATCGAAATGGTCCAAAACAATAAAAATGCAAACTTAAAAATATATATTCACTAGAATATAAGTACTTTTACTCTTTTTTTGTTGTTGTTAAAGAGTTGGCTATGTAAGTGGATTCAAAGAAGCACTGACACACGATCTCACTAATTTCCAAAAGGGGTGGGAAGAGATTATTAAAATTAATGAGCTAAAGAAGAAACCTTCAGAGGATGTGTAGTAAGCTCCCCTGAGGACAACAACCTTCTGGGATGTATCTTTGAGTTCCCAGGTCCTAACCCCAAGCCTGGGAATAAATGATTCAGAAACATCTTCTAAGCACCCTCCCATCAAGAAGCCACAGAACGAGCATTTAATATATTTTTCAAGGAACAGATGAAAAACACTGAATTATCCAAACTACTTCCAAATGAGGCAGGCTTGAAGTCAAATCTGAATTCAAACCCTGGCTCCACCATTTAGCTGTGTGATCCTGAGAAAGTGGCTTATTCTCCCTAAGACTCTGATGATGATGATACCTGTCCCAGAGGATGAACAGGGACCACACAGCATTATGCTTGCTGACTGCTCCAAATGGTGTGCATACACATGAGCAATGCTGTTGTTCTTGCCGGACATAAGTTTTAGGGTTAGGTTTAACCTAAGGAGGGGAAACGCATGATACAAAAATTTAGCTCGAAGAACTTAACTACTGCCCTGACCACAACAGAAGACATGTGCTGATGCTAGAGTTTGTGAGGACCCACACCTTCTGCCTTGGTAGTGGCAATTACACATTTCAACATTCTGGGTTGTCACCAAGACAGCTAAGCAGATCCACTTAATCAAACAATGCAAAAAACAGACAAGATTCACTCAACCACTCAGAGTTCAATTAGGGTCTCAAGAATTCAGCACACCTCGCCTGCTCCACGTGCCAGATACCAAAGGAGGCTTCCACGGACAGTATCAAAAATACAGTACATATTTGAAAGGAAAACACTGAATTGCTTCTAAGAGACAAAATAACGAATAAAGGACTGAATTGTTCACTCATAAATAGGTTGTTCAGAAGTTCAAATAGTGAGCAAGGATGCAAAGATATACAGCCTTAATTTAAAAGGAAAAATCACCAGTTCATTCAGAAAAAAAAAAAAAAATCATCATTGCCACCTCTGATTATTGAGAATTCTGCTGTAATGCTTCAGACTGCTGTGGAATAGGTGGCATGCAATAGGTAAGCTGCCCCACTCAGGGGCTCATGCTAACAAGGTGGAACACCTCACAACAGGTATTGCCTCGCTAAATCACAGGGACCGTCTAGCAGGGCTTTGGCATGTGGTTGCCTGTTCTTTTTCAGAATCTCATTAAGGACAATGGGTCATAAAGAAATGTATCTAGATTTTTATTATCGATACTGATTAGGGAAAAAAGATCAGAAGCAGTGAATAACATTTTTAGAACGAGCTAGGTAGAGGCATATATTAAGACCTTATGCTTTTAACATCCCTCTTTCGTAGTGACATGTATAGTTTTCAAAAGACCAGTTATATAAATATATAGTTGGCCAGGCGCGGTGGCTCAAGCCTGTAATCCCAGCACTTTGGGAGGCCGAGACGGGCGGATCACGAGGTCAGGAGATCGAGACCATCCTGGGTAACACAGTGAAACCCCGTCTCTACTAAAAATACAAAAACTTAGCCGGGCGAGGTGGCAGGCGCCTGTAGTCCCAGCTACTCGGGAGGCTGAGGCAGGAGAATGGCGTGAACCCGGGAGGCGGAGCTTGCAGTGAGCTGAGATCCGGCCACTGCACTCCAGCCTGGGTGACAGAGCGAGACTCCGTCTCAAAAAATAAAAAAAAAAAAAAAAAAAAAAAAAAAAATATATATATATAGTTAAAATTAATAGACTGCTGGAGTCCAAAGATCCATATAATTTCAGGTCTAGGTCTAATTATTACAAAATGATTTCTACGTTTACGCTTATCAAGAGGAAAATGGACATCTGTACAGCACTTAACATGGCAAGCAGCCAAAAATAATTATTGAAGAATACAAAATATTCCTTTTCACAAAAGTATGTGCTGACAGATGTCTTTTGGGGATCAACAGTTTATACTAACTAAAAAGGGTTTATTATGTGTCCATTTTAGAAGGCAGGACTATTAACACTAAACAGAAAACTCATTTACTTTTCTAAACATTATTGCAATTGTACTTTTGTTCCTTCTTTGAATTAAATTACACACAGACTGATCTGTAGTAGAATTAAAGATAAATTGTAAAAAGTCAATGACTCAGAATAAACTTTGGATTAACTTTATTTTTAAGCAGCAACGAACTTCGGCTGAGTTTTGCCTTCGGTTAGAAATGACAACACAGATGGGCTTGCTGAGAGCAAGTGGTCATCAATGACAACAGTACAGAGTGAAGTGGTGTTTTTTTCCTCTAATATATAAAAATTCGAAGTTGCCAGAATTCAAGCATGCAGAGGGGGACAACGGGGTAACTAAGGAAGAGGAAAGAAAGAAGAAAGGACCACAAGGACAGTAGAGGAGGAAAAGCAGGTCATTCCACCTAGCAGTGTCTTGGACAAGCAGGGTAAGGAACTCTTTGCTCCTCAGCCAGCGCCTACGTGTACTCACCAAGTGGAGGAAAGCCCCGAGCAGGGCTTGTATCTCGGCTGCTCTCACGGCTGGTATCGCGGCTGCACCCCTGACTCATGCTGGGTCGAGGGATACGGCTGCTCCGTGCTAGCGTGCAGCATGAAGGGTTTCAGAGAAGGTGAACAAGTTTAATGAAGACAGAAAAACTCACAAAATGTCAGTCACATTTGGTTACTGTAATTACAACATTGTTCACGCTGGGGAGTTCTGATGACTGAGCCGCCTATCCATGCTGTCTCACTGACTGACATGCCAACAGGGGAGGGTTTGGGTAAAATGTGATTATGCTCAATGCCTCAGAAAGCTGTGAATTTCAGTATGAAGGTGAAATTACACCTAAATGTAAGAAGTGAAAAGAAATCTTTCCGAACAACAAACTGGCATCAGAAAATACAAGATCAAAGGCCTTTTAGAAATGATCAGTTTTTATGAGTTTAGCAAACTTCTCAACAAGAGGACAAAAAACCAAAACTGTATTCATACGCACTTGTTTCTTAGAAAGGTAATTTAATTTGGATTAACAAACAGAATAACCATGTCGGTCACTTAAGTCCATGAACTTACCTAATGAAAAGGAAGAGGGCTCACTGCTCCCAGGCTGGCCATCTTCACCAAGAGAAGCCATAAGGGTTGACATAACCAGACAGCCTACCCACTCCAAGTAAGTGTGCAGATGCTTCACACATATCCAATTCTCGAAACCAGCAGGTAGAAAAAGTGGTGACTGTTATCCTTTCCTTTACTGATCCCAACATCTTATCCCTGCTTTTTCTATGAGAATCCAGAAAGATCTGCCTGTGCTCTACCAAGCACCGCCACTGACCCAGTCTTCCACACTGTGTCTCCAGCAAGTAGATCAATACTCTCAGTACTTGGGGGAAAGATCCCTCCACTGACCTGAGAACAGCAAATAACTTTCTGATCATCTACGGATACAGTTAATCATTCTCATGTTATAAAACACCGAGACTACAAGACAGAATTGCATGGATAGCCCAGGGTCTCATAAAAACGGGGCTGTGAAGCTCAGAAAATACCCTTGTTTCTCCATCTGAGAAAATGGAGATACATTACTGGCAAAATACTCCAAAACAACCTTAGATATTGAATACATGTACGTGGACTGCCTAATGTAACAGCTGATGGGGACAATATACGCTTCCATCTTGAAAGGAGGGACTAGAAAAAATGTCAAGAGATTTTAGAAAATACTTGCATCGCTGATCTAAAAACAAGTATGTTTCCATACTGCAACAAACATTGTCTATTATTTAAGAGCAAAGATTTGTTATACAGCGAAAGTATAACAAGAATGTCTTATAAACCAGAATCATAACACTCCTTGATTAAAAAAAAAGAATATGAAAGGGAAAACCAAAGTCAACTTTCTATTGTGCTCAGCCGCTCAGTGCTAGAGTAGAACTAGACTCTGAAGGCATTTAAGTGAAATCCAAATGCTTAGTACTGGTCAGGAAAAAAAAAAAAAAAAGTCAAGCACAGGAACATCATCTCAACAATGTAGACATAAAGGGCTTTATTTGGGGGTTCACCAGAAATTCTTAAGCTCTCCTTAATTTTGCCAGAGTGATGTGAAAGCACTGAATTTTTACTCAAAGTAGTAGTGACTATTTAATCAGCAATTCTTGATGACATTCTAAACAGCTCCTACAATGATGACAAAAGGAGATGCCAAATTAAATGCTTAAAAAACTAGGGAACATGTACTGGCTCTACCAATCTGGAAAACTTTCCTAGAATGTACACAGCAATACCACTCATCCTTAGAAGACCAGTGCCAAATCTGAGTCAAAAACTGACCATTCCAGTTCCACGCCATCTCACTGGTCCAGCCACTTGGCCTCTTTGGGTCTCAAGCCTCCCATTAGGAAAACGAGGAAAAAGAACACGTCTCCTCATTTTAAATGAGAAGGGTACTGTGAGATAATGCGCATACATAAGTATTTCCAAGTCTCTTGCTGAAGAGCACACGTGAAAATTTTGTCGTATTCCACTGCTCACTCCAAAACAAACGATAAAAAAGCTATAAAAAGTCTTGATAGTTGTTTAAACAAGTTCATGCTTAGTTGAGCATTTTCTTAATAGTTCTTGCCTGATTATTTCTGAATTTTTCCCAGCCCCATCTCCTTCCTTAAATTCATATACATGCTAGAACAATGGGGAAAAAATGCTGTCTTTTTGGTCTGAGTCTGTTTTGTGAAGACAATAAAAAGCATTAACAGTAGTAAACAGATATGCTCTGAAATAACAGTATGCATAAATTTCTTAACAAGGTTTACCCCCCACCCCCCGTATTTCACCCAGAGACAGTTTATTCACCCATTTGAGCTGATTTTCTCCTTTAACATATGGCTAGTAGCAATATAAAGAAAAATAACTCTGTCTGTTTATGATTTTGTGAAAATATGGCCATAGTTACCCTAAACTTCAAGAGCTCTGGCATCATTTACTCTTCAAAGTAAACCTAGTGGTGACATCAATGGTTCAAATGTTAAATAATTTAAAATACAAGAGAAACACAAACTCACTTATACTACTACTTTGAAAGACTAATATAAAAGAAGAATTTAAAATAAGTATATTTATTTATTTCATTTCTTTCTTTCTTTTTTTGAGATGGAGTCTCGCTCTGCCACCTGAGCTAGACTGCAATGGCATGATCTCAACTCACTGCAACCTCCGCCCCCCAGGTTCAAGTGATTCTCTTGTCTCAGCCTACCGAGTAGCTGGGATTACAGGTGCACGCCACCACGCCCAGCTAATTTTTTGTAGTTTAGAGACGGGGTTTCACCATGTTGCCCAGGCTGGTCTCAAACTCCTGAACTCAGGCAATCCACCCGCTTCAGCCTCCCAAAGTGTTAGGATTACAGGCGTGAGCCACTGCGCCCGGCCTATTTTTTATTTTTGAGCCCGGCCTATATTTTATTTTTGAGACAGAGTCTCCTTCTGTTGACAAGCTGGGATTTGGTGGCACAATCTTGGCTCACTGCAACCTCCGCCATCCAGGTTTAAGTGATTCTCCTGTCTCAGCCTCCTAAGTAGCTGCGATTACAGGCACGCACCACCACAGCCAGCTAATTTTTCTATTTTTAGTAGAGATGGGGTTTTGCCATGGTGGTCAGATTGGTCTCAACTCCTGACCTCAAGGGATTCACCCATCTCAGCCTCCCAAAGTGCTGGAATTACAGGCGTGAGTCACTGCACCCGGCCTAAAATAAGTATATACATGATTTTTTATAAATGAATTAATTAGGTGATCAAAACTAAAAGAAAAAAAAAACACCAAAATAATTTGTCTCTTTAAGTGCCAAACTAAATGTTCTATGTGAAAATATGTTACAGAGGAGAAGGCATAAGAGGGAGAGACAAGGAAAACATACTTGTACGGTGAACTTCCTAAAAAAGCAGTATTCCTAGGTACCTCTGGGGTCTTCTGCTTACATGAAATGCTGGGAAGCCATAAGATCCATAAGATACCCACTTGATTGATTTACATTTCTTGATAGACACTCTACCCTACTTCAGTGTTTTAATGGTAATCTTGACTTTTACATCTTAAGGAAGGGTCCAACCAGGACTCATGAAAGCAGAATATAAGAGAATTAATAAAAAGCACCAGAAGTTAAAGACATGAAATGTCTCTCTGGTCTAGACATTTTCATGTCTTGGTCTTAAGACAGTAGTCTCATTTCACAGTTGAAATGAACTATTATTAATGTTTAATTATTTCAAAGTATTTTAACCAGAAAACTTTAAGAACATTTTAAATACACATCCACAGAATGAAAGCTGCAAAAATATCAAATGTGTTTTCATAGCCTTTCCATAGATGAGTGGGAGAAGAGAACAAGGGCAAACTTCCAAAATATAATCACTACAGATATTGGTGATTTATGTGACATTATTGTATCTATAAAGTATTATCTTTAGGACATACAGAAATAAAACAACTTAAAAATATATTTTCCTACTCGGACAGCTTATGAGGGAACAAATCACCAAGAAAAAAGAGAGTAGCAGGGATATATTTTGCTTCTTGAATATTCAACAGGAATTGCAGGCTGTTTTGCTTAAGAAAATTTAAATGCCAAAGAAGATCCTTGGCATTAGTTTTAAAACAAATGAAAAAAGAAAATTTTGTTAAGAAGTATCATTTCAAACAAAAAGAGGCATAGGTGAACCAAACACAATTTGTAGATAACTACAATTAATTCTCAGTGCAAATTCCAAACCTAGTTTAGCTATCATTAAAACTGTTGAATTCGTTGGTTTGGGAATTATAGAAAATATTCCTAAAAGATGTTCCTCCTCTTTTTTTCAACAATTATATTGAAAATTGCTATACAATGAGTCAAATGTTAAGAAACATAGGCATATATCCAGTATATACTAAACGATAATAGTAATATATAATCTATTACTGAATAATGCTATTATGTCTGCCACCCTATTAAACGGAATTTCTAAGCAATACCACAGGAAAAAAATGAAAATACATTTTATCCATATATATTTCTTTATAAGCATATATTCTCACAATGTGTGGAAATTTAAAGAAAATATCTTCCTTAATATGACCTCAAAGCTCCACACATAACTGATCCCTTTAGCATCAAGGAAGTAACTTTCTTCAAATAAAGGTTCAAATAACTCTTTGGAAGGGAACAGGCTTCTCTTAAGTTCCTACTGATGCTCCATAATACCTGTTTTAAAAACGTATAAAATATTGTCTTTTCAACTACACACAACACAAACCTCTTAGTTAAAATCATGGAACACATTAGAATTACGTTAGATAAATGAAGTTGGGTTATCTCCCAGTTTTCAGAAGAAGATTAAATTGGCATCTTCAATAATATAAAAAGAAAAAAATCTCAAAACAGAAAAGAATCTTTCAATGTATAAAACTAACATGGATTGCAGACAGACATCCTATAAACTTAAACAATTAACTATGGAAAAAGACAGCTAAAACGTAACACCTAGATTTAAAATCAAATGCATTTTCCAAACATAAATACGTTACAGCATCAGACATAAAATTCAGATATTCCAGCTGTGCCCTTTTCTATTGTTGTATCCACATCGCCAATCAAATAACTTGTCAGCTAAGAGACCACACTATGCAATGCCAGTAAAAAGCTGGCATCATAGAGAATTACTAAAACCATGAAATACTTTCTACTTGCTTTGGAAATAGGATTTCAAATCAAACCTTATCCATTCTTAAATATCTTCTCCTGCCTTCTCGTAGCTAAGGTGGCCTTCAAAGACTTTCATGAGCTGGACTCTACCAGTCTCTGCCCCCAACTCCCACCCACTCTGACTTTCGGTACAGTAGCCAAATGAATGACGTATGGCTGCCTCTTGCCTGACTGCTTCTGCAGATGCTTCTCTCTCCTCTGGAAACCTTTCCCTCCTCTCCCCACCTGGACCAATCCCATCTTGTACTTCATGAAACCAGAACCTACACTGGGCAGCCTCCCCTAGCAGGAAATCTGGGGTGGCCAAGGGTCTAAGATACCCCTTTTTTAGGTCATAGTTTTGATTATGGGGAGCACCCCATCATAGTATTTGTCTTACTGTCTTACATTTCCACCTCTCCCCAACAGATATCAAGCTTTTTGAAGTCAAAATCTAAATCTATGCCATGTATCTTCTAATTCTCAGGTCTAACAAAGTGCCTGGTACATCACAGTAAACACTGTTGATGAGATAAATGAATAAATGAGAAAGATAAGCCAACACAATGTAAGAATACAGTAGTCTGATTTTATATTAATACATTTTACCCTTAGGAAGTAAAGAAGTCATAGAGTATTAATTTAGATTTTTTGTATTATATCACAAAGACTTCTAAATTTTATATTTAAAAAGGTAGTATATGAATTAGATTTTAATGGAGTAAAATATATTTAAGCTACTGAGAGTAATTCACATGATTCTATACACTATTACAAAGAAGCTAAGTAACACAAAAATAAATATTATATATTGGTTTGAATCAATTCCTAGCTTGCATGCTTAAACAAATCTATGTCAAAAGTAACTATACATATTTTTTAACCATAAGTTTCACCAATTAGAGAAGATCAGAATTAAAATAAATGTGGACCCTAAATGTTGTTTTTGAAAAATTCATGTAGGTTAATGTCTACTTAGTGCTAATCAGTAAAAGGAAAATGAAAAGCAACACTGCTTCTAGTTGTGGGGGAAACACCCTATTTCCCCAATTCCAGTGCTTGGTACAATGACTGCAAAATACAAAAGCCTATAATGACATAATTCCTTCCCATCAATTTGAATGGTTAAGTCCCACATATTTTTCTAACTGAAACCTCAATATGCCAAAATCTGTATAAAGCACACCCAGGCAAAGTGACATCCTCAGTTCAAAAAATAGATCTATATTTCCTACATTAGACATAGTCATTAGCTTATAATCAAAACTATGACCAAGCTGGGAATGGTTTTCCAAGATCTTTGAGAATCCTTACCTAATCCTATTCGGTTTGGACTTGTTTCCCGGCTACATCCCTGGCTCCTGGGAATCTTGCTTCGCTTTTCTGAGGACGGTGTCACAGGTGGGCCTCGTGAGGAGCCCCCAGCAAGTCCACCATAACCACTTCCCAACAATTTTCCTGGGGAACTTGACCGGCTGCCAGCTAAAAGTGAAGCAAAATGACAATGAATAATAGATGTAAATGTAGGAATAAACTATAATACTTTCAAAAGCCAGGTTTTACACATTAATTTGGCTAAAATACAGAATTTTATATAAAAATAAATTTTTATTTGGTGGTAATTTTTTAAAATGTAGGAGCATAAAAGACAACTGAATATCATAAAAGAATATACTTAGAAGAATTACTGGTAGAATAGCCTCCTTATTCCACAGTAAATATCTACAAATACTACAAAGGTGTTTATTCTTGTTCTGGTTTTTTTATTCTGTAAGAGCTGATTATGTTAAAAATTTTAGGTGTCACTGCTAGAAGAGCAGAAGTAGAACTATAACAATTTTCTTAAGCATTAGCTACAGAAAATAGATCCAAGAAAATTCTATTAATCTGACAAATGATATAAAAGGGAGTAGGGGGATAAAATAACCAGAAACCTGGTAAATAAAAATCACAAAATAAGATAGAAGTTCAAATATATTAGTTAATCATAACAAATGTGGCAGGACTAATTCATCTATTTAAAAGAGATTAAAACAAGCCTGGGCTGGTGGCTCATGTCTGTAGTCCCAGCACTTTGGGAGGCCAAGGTGGGAGGATCACTTGAGCCCAGGAGTTTGAGACCAGTGTGGGCAACAACAGGGAGACCCCATTTCGCCAAAAATTTTTAAAAATTTGCCAGGCATGGTGGCACATGCCTCTAGTCCCAGCTACTCAGGAGACTGAGGTGGGAGGATCACTTGAGCCCAGGAGGTCAAGGCTGAAGTGAGCCATGAGCACACCACTGCACTTCAGACCGGGCAACAGAGCAAGACCCTGTATCTTTTAAAAAAAAAAAAAAGAAAAAAGAAAAGAAAAGAAAATGCAAAGTAAAATAAAATGAAATTCAGCTGCCTGGTATTTTTAAGAGTCAAACAATACACCACAAACAAAAACAAATAGAATAAAACACAACATTTAAAAAAGACAAAGAAGGATATTTAATATTTATGAAAGAATAATTGTCCATGAAGATACAATAATCACGAACCTTTATGCTGCAAACAACACAGCTTTGAAATATAAAACTAAAAAATGATAAAAGTACAGGGAGAAATGGAAAAAGTCACACCTACCGAAAGACCTCATGGAAAGACTAATACTACTGAAAAACTATATACCTCACAGAAATTGACAGAGCAGTCAAAATTGTGTCTGTGTGTATACATGTATGTATACAAACACACACTTCCCACATACACATATATATCCCAACAAATAGAACACACATTCTTTTTACCTTTCCGCACATGAATATTAAAAACAAAAATCGTGTATTAAGCCTCAAAGTAAATCTCAAAAAAAAAGTCTACAAAAGTAGAAATAACATGGAGCACAATCTCTGAGAAGTATGCAATAAAACTGGAAATTGAAAACAAATAATATGGCTGATAATTTTTATTAATAGATAAGTAGCTAGATACATATATTACTATTTCTTGTGGGACATAATTCTCTCTTAGAGAAAACAACAAAATTTTAAGCATCACACCAATACACTCAAATGGCAATCATTTGCATTGATAGATTACCTCCCTAAGTAGAGAAGGCAATACAATTCTAAAATATAAAGGATACATTTTTTATGTACTAGAATAGAATGACCCAGAGGAAGAAAACATTTGAAGCAACACTTACCTGTAAATTTATATGTGTGTTTATTTTAAATATATATTATTTAAAAATAAGTATTATATAAATCAAAACCACCATCATTCAAATGAAACACTTAGGTGAATACTCGCAAAAATTAATAGTTTATAATGATTTAACTACAAATTGAAGTGAAAAATCATTATAAAAACCAATGAAGAATTTGTCTCAGGACCTACTAATCTTACCCATTAAATTTGAGCATACTAATAAACTATTAAACTATGTATAAAGGGGAAAGAAATCCATTTCAAACTCTAGAATTTGAACACAAAGAAAAATGCAGAAAGATTAACTAAGCTTACAATAAAGAGAGAAATTAATATTGTGCAGGGAGCATGGGGTCGGGGAGAATGCCAACAACAACAACAAAAAGGCAAGAAGAGAAACGGCTTACCACCAGCAGGATTAGCAGATCTGGATCCTTGATTATGAGAGCAGACCAAAGGACAGGCAAAAAGTGGATTAAAAGACAATAACACAATACAGAAGGTCAGCATGCAACACAACACAAAGGTCTTTGTTCACAAATACATTAGCAAAACAGCTATATTTCCTAGGACTTGTTCCTCCTATTTTTGTACTTATGTTTATCTTTGTCATTCTACATTAGCATTTATTTCAGATCTGTTCATAAAACACTTTTAAACCTACAATGTGCGAGGCTCATATCTGCTTTCTAGCTTTAAGCAACCTGAGGGAAGTGATTGTAACGTACTCATCTGTGTATCACTACCATCTTCAAAAGTGCTTACCACATAGTAAGTGCTCAATAAACATCAACTAACTGAAACTGCTGTTAACTAGTTTCACCTGTCCTGACTTCCCCTAAACCTCAAATATTTAAAATATGCCAATTATTAAGGGCCCTAAATCTAATATTAATGAAGCCTACTTAGTATTAAATCAGGACTATGAATACTAGTATATCTACATTTGTGATATATATGCTTATATTGACCACTTATTAAAATAATTGTTTAAACTTTTAATTTACACGCATAAGTTGAAAGTACAGGCTTGATCACTGGCTAGTGTGGTCACTCTTCCTGAGTATAATTTGGTGAGTGAAGTAAAACTAAGGAGTTTTAAAAGGGGAGCCCCAAGGCTAGGTACAGTATTTTTATAAGACTGAAAAATTAAAGCTGTATTATCACCCTAACCACTATTAGAGAAGGAAGTGTAATCTTCACCACCTGCCAAGGTAACCCACACATTCCTAAAACCTACAATATAAGAGAGAAAACTACAGCATTGACCTAGCTGGGGCAGGGAATCCCAAAGACCCCAATGCTGATAAACAGCATTAGAATGAAACACGTAAAATACTGTTCAACCCTCAGCCTCCACAGAGGGAAGTAACACTGCATAGTTACACGCTTAGACATTTTTTATTTGGTTTAATTTCATTATATCGACCTAGGTTCTGAGATTTGAACACTTTTTGTCAACAATCCCTTTGCAGTAAAATTTGACCCATATGTATGAGTCAAATAACCTTTTGTGTCTCCAGGCATCACTAGGGTTCAACAGAATAACCAGAGCCAAGAAGTTGTTCCCAAGATAGACACTTCTGGACTACACTTGCACCCTGGATCTGAATGAAAACTCAGTTTAAGTTCTACAGTAAGGAGAGCATTCTTGGTCTTAATGGACTCAATCTATCTTCAACTGCATCCCTTATCATGTAAATCCATTCCTAGCCTTATTTCCTAAACCTACTGAAGTAGACAGGGATCAAGGACGCTCAACTTCAGCTAGGATGGGAGCCTGCTGATCTGAAGCAATTATGACTATAAAGCTTGTGTCCATTTACTGTCTATCACATGCTAAGCTCCTAATGCTCATTAAATCCTCATGAAAACCCCATGCGGGTGGGAATTGTTATCACTCAATTTACAGACAATGAAACAATGGCTCACAAAGGTTAAAAGACTCACCCAACATCACACTGGAACCAGGATGCAAACCCAGTTTTGTCTGACACTGAAGCCCATGCTTGTAGTGTATCACACTACACAATACAACCTAGGCCACAGGAAGGTTCTGTAGCCTCACCAAAGGCAGCACTATAAGTGATCTTCTGCTTTCTTTGCAGAAATTATATAACATGAGGACTGCAGTTATCAAAGGGAAAGAATTTAAATTCAGAAGGTGTTAAGCAAGGCCATTCTCTATACTAAGACAGCTCTTAAAGTTTGGTGCAGACTGAGCACTCTCTACAACAGACAGATAGTTCCTTGGGTCACAAAGGAGGCAGACAAATGTCAGCTAGTGAGTGCTATGCTGTGGGACCACATGCAACTCCTGGGGACAGGAAGACTTCCTTCCCATGCTCACCTTGCCCAGGAGCACTCTGCTACCCAGCTCTACTCGACATGCACACAGGGGAAGCGGGCCCCTTAAAGTTTATGTGTGGCTGGAAAGTGAGACACCAAGGGAGGATCTGAAGAGTGGCCAGAATAAATTCATTCCAGCTGTGGCTGCTTTCATGGCTAAGGCTAACAAACCAACTGACTTCACATATACAGAGACGCAATCATGGAAGCAGCTAGGCAAAGCAAGAGCCCACATGGCAGGAAGAGAGGTGTGGGCTGCAAATGTTAGAGCACAGAATTAAAGGGGGAGAGCTTTCAATGGATTTACTTATTTACCACTGGAAAGAACATAGCATTAATAGTTTTCTGCCCAAGGTACCGTTCTAAAATTACATCAGAAGGATTCCTTATCAATGCAAAAATGAGTCACAGAACAGGTTAAGTTACAATTTGACAGGCTTCAAAGGAGGGAGAAAAACTACATTTTAATGTTTAATGTTTAACAATACGAAAATGTAAATCACCTGGACAGGAGACAAATGTATGCCTGGAATGTTTCATTTTTTAAGCTTACCCAACAAACAGTAAGAATACTCACAGTATCTTAGAGCCACAAAAAATGTGTTTTTCCCTCTGAAGTCAATATAAAGATTGTAAAATGTTCAACCGCAGAATGAGCTGTTGAATAAAACTGAGGTAAGCAAGACCATAAAATATGTTTCTTACGCTGGGACTGTGAAACCACTTTAGCGCGACTGCGGCCTCGGTTATCAGGTGTAGAGGCGACGTTGGTGGCACTCCCAGAGCTTTGCCGTCTTGTGCGGATCCGACCTGGAGGACATAGCAAAAAGAGTGTTTCACAACATTTCCAGTAAGTGCCACCTACTCAAGAAAAGAACCCACGCCCCAGAAGAGAGGCACTGACCAGCCAACTACAGGGGAGCAACGGCGTGTATGAGCAGATCCTCCACATGAGGTCTGCCACGTCCCCCTGTGTGAGAATGCACACACACGTGCATATGATCCACGCGTAACTGTTCTACGGACACAGCAGGAACTCCTGAGATGGAGCCATGGACCTGCAGTTGTTTATAGGTTCCAACTATCTTAGTATGTTATCTCTTCAGACAAGGAAGTGATATCCATTTGAGGACATTTCCCATAATTTTTTCCAGATTAAATTTTCTTTTCTATGGTCTACGAATCTGGCAAATTTCCAAAAACAGAAAATATTAGCTGTCACTGTAAAAAAAAAAAAACAAAAAACTATAGAAAATAAGAGTAATGCAAAAAAAAAACCAAAAAAACAAAAAACAAACCCAAAACAAAAAAGTCTACCTTCTTAACTCAGCCATCATAGAAGCGATAGCTCCCCAGTGAATAAACGTGTTTTTGATATGTAGCATTAAACTTCTATTTTTAAAGCATGTATGTCAGTAAGTTTCTAAGATAAAGAAAAGATAAAGCTAAAGAGAGAGATACAGCTAAAAAGAATCAGTATTAGGAGTACCAAGAGAAATGATGGCCCAAAGATAATTCAATGCTGTAGGCAGTTATGAAAAAATTACAGCAATTATTGAACCATGAAGACATAAAACTGAAAATGAATTCAGAAACACAAAATCATTAGTGATCAGACTAGTATGAGTAGCGATTAAACTTAAAAAAAAAAAAAATGGGCCTTTTTGGTTTCCAGAGAGCACAAAATGCCTCTCCAGTCATAATTCAATGGGAAAACCACAACCAACTTGAACTCCCACTGGCTTTTTATGTTGTTCAAAATCAATTCCACCCCCGCAAGCAAAAAAGCTTACAGAGAAGTAACGCAGAAAGCAAATCCTAAAGCTTGAAAAAGGTTCAAGAAAGGAAGGTAAAGAGCAATGAAAGAAAGCTGGCATTAAAAAAATAGTAAAAGTAGTTAAGAATCAATGACTTTTAATAACAGTTTAAGGAAAAACTTATACACAAACTCTAGAATCTATACAGAAGTGAAAAGCTATACCATTTACTAACAACTATATATGAGTCAATTCAGAATCCTCACAGCACATAAAGTAATTACTCCCATTTTACAGATGAGAAAACCGAGAAACAGGGAAATAAATCAATTTGTCCAATGTGACACTACTGGTCTAAATACCTGTGCCTGCCTGGCTGGCTGGCAAGGCTATGAGTGATGACCTTCGACTTTCCTAAGGAAGTCACCGAGCTAAATCAAGGCAGTCACAAAGGCAAAGTGAACATGAAAAACCAACTGAATTTAAATTCTTAAACTCATTATAAAATATTTAGGTCACAAAGACTTTTTAAATGGACATGTATACTTATTTAGCTTAAAAAATACAAACTCTCTTTGCTAACCCTCTTGTATTCTACTTTCCCCCACCATTTGGTAACATGAACCTAAACGCAGTGTTCAGCATTCCCTTTTTTTTTTTTTTTTGTAAATACATGTCTTCACAACCAATAACTATGTGGTTTTGTTTTACATATTTAGAAAGTTTTAAAATTATAACACAAGGTCTGTATTTTTCTAAAGCATACTATTTTGCTAATATTTTACTGGAAGAGTCACTTATGTACGTATGGATAAGAGCGGATATACTTTACTTTTTCCATATAACTAACTAATGTTGAAATAAATTTACTTAACAGCTTTCTTACTGATTAAAATGCCACCTTCATTGTTTATCAAGCAGCACTTGTGTGTGTCTGGGTTTCTCAGCCTTCTAGTCAATGTGTTCATACCTACATGACATCACAATACTGTGATTAGCTTTTTATTAACTAATTAATTAATATATGAGGCAGAGTCTCTTTCTGTTGCCCATGCTGGAGTACAGTGGTATGTGATCTTGGCTTACTGCAACCTCTGCCTCCTGGGATCAAGCGATTCTCCTGCCTCAGCCTCCCCAGTAGCTGGGATCACAGGCACACACCACCACACCTGGCTAATTTTTGTATTTTTAGTACAGACAGGATCTGACCATGTTGGCTAGGCTGGTCTTCAATTCCTGACCTCAAGTGATCCACCCGCCCTGGCCTCCTAAAGTTCTGGGATTATGGGCGGGAGCCACTGCACCTGCCTGTGATGAGCTTTTTTTTAAAGGACATCCTGCTAATTGGCAGGACAAGTAAATTCACCTTTTCCTAAGCCCTTTGCTCTCTTCCATATGTACGTGCAGACACAATAATACCTGTTGAAATGCTGACTGGCATTATGCGAAAGTCTGGGTTAAGGGGAAAAGCTTTATAACACTGGTCTTCTCATTCATTATATCTTCTATGTTTAACTTTTTCGATGTCTTTTGGTAAAGTTTGATCATTTTTTCAAAGTTCTTACTCAATTTTTATAGACTTGTTTAAAGTTGCTTTATTTTTATATTTTATTAAATTATATTGTCTGTTCTTGGCAGGTAAGAATGGAATCGTTATATTTTGATCCTAACACACTAGGATTCTGCTAAACTTTTATTAATTCTACTAATTTGTATACAGATTTGGGGTTATCTAAATAGAATAAAACCCACAAATAACTCATCAGCTTATTCCCCTGAAATAATTCACTTTTACTTCTTTGCCTTTATTGTGGTATCTTGGTCATGTAATACAATGCAAAATAGAAGCAGTGAGGGTAAGCACTGTTGACTCAAACAAGATTTTTTAAAAGATTTTCTGAAATTTCACAGAAAGTGTATCTGTCAACAGGTTAAGAAAATTTGGCCTTGTGCAGTGGTTCACACCTGTAATCCCAGCACTTCGGGAGGCTGAGGGGACTGGATCACCTGAGGTCAGGAGTGTGAGACCTGCCTGGCCAATGTGGAGAAACCCCGTTTCTACTAAAAATGCAAAAATTAGCCAGGCGTGGTGGCATACGCCTGTAATCCCAGCTACTCCGAAGGCTGAGGCAGGAGAATCTCTTGAACCCGGGGCGGAGGTTGCAGTCAGCTGAGATTGTGCCACTGTACTCCAGCCTGGGCAAAAGAGCAAAAAACTGTCTGAAAAAGAAAAGAAAAAAAAGAAAATTCATTTCTGTGCCTAGTTGCCAAGAATTTTTATCACAAACGTTTGAATTTTTTGATGTTTTGATCTTTTGAGATAAGAGGGTTTTTCTCCTGAATTTGAACTACATTAATAAATTTTAAAGTATTAGGCCAGGCGCAGCAGCTCACGCCTGTAATTCCAGCACTTTGGGAGGCTGAGGTGGGCAGATCCCTTGAGGACAAGAGTTTGAGACCAGCCTGGCCAACATGGCGAAACCCCATCTGTACTAAAAATACAAAAAATCAGTCGGGCATGGTGGTGCAGGCCTCTAATGCCAGCTACTTTGAAGGCTGAGGCACGAGAATTGCTTGAACCTGGGAGGCAAAGGTTGCAGTGAGCCAAAATCGTGCCACTGCACTCTAGCCTAGGCAACAAAGTGAGACTCTGTCTCAAAAAGAAAAGAAGAAAAATTAAACTTGGGCTGAACCTACATGGTCATGACATATACACTCACATACACAATGTTTGTATGTGCTCTGGTCATACTAGCTGCATAAAGCCAGTGAGGGAAGTACTCCCTCTTTTCCTTTGCTCTGAGTTTACGTAAGCTTGGAATTACCTGCTTTTATTATGTTTTTTTGCATCTCCACTGATAAACTGACAATGCAATTATCCAATGTTTGATACTTGCGTGTGGAACCATCTGAGCATGGCAGGAATTTAGAGTATCTTTTCCATTTTTATTGTTTATTTTGGCAGGGCGGGAATAGGGCAACGAATTTAACTACTGATTCAAATTGTTTAATGAGCAGTCTTAAAACCACTCACATGGCTCATTTCTTTGAAGAAAACAGTTTTGGGTTTTCTTGAAATTTGTGCAATTTGTTTTTGAATTGAATTTATCTTATTACCTTAATTTTTAAAAATTATTATTATGTTTTCTTTGAGACAGAGTCTAGCTCTGCTGCCTAGGCTAGTGATCACAGCTCACTGATGCCTCACTTCCCAGGTTCAAGCTGTCCTCCCACCTTAGCCTTCTAGTAGCTGGGAGCAGCTGGGACTACAGGTGCATGTCACCACGACAAACTAATTTGTGAATTTTCTGTGGAGACGGGGGTCTCACTATGTTGCCCAGGCTGGTCTCAAACTGGCCTCAAGCAATCCTCTCACCTTGGCTTCCCGAAGTGCTGGGATTATAGGCATGAGCCATTGTACCTGGCTTCCTATTACCTTTAAAACTCTACTGATCCACATTTATGCCTCATTTATTATTCTTAACAGTTAATTTGTACCTTTTCTGTATTTCGTCATTTTTCAAAAGTTTGCCTACTTTATCAGTATTTTCAAAAACTGAAATTTTGCTGGTTGCAGTGGCTCACATCTGTAAGCACAGCACTTTGGGAGGCTGAGGAAGGTGGATTACTTGAGGCCAGGAGTTCGAGACCAGCCTGGGCAACATGGAGAGCCCTACCTCAGCCTCCCAAAGTGCTGAGATTACAGGCGTGAGCCACTGTGCCTGGCTTTCGTGTCTTTCACCAATTATGAAAAATTCCCAACCATCATCTCTTCAAATATTGTCTGTGCCCCATTCTCCCTCTTCTTCTTAAACTCCCATTAGACATGTTAAATTTCTTTACTATCTTGCATGTAACTTAACAACTTTGTCATATTTTCTAACTCTGTACTATAGTCTGGATAATTTCTTCCTAACTTTCTTAATTCATGAGTTCTCTCTTCAGTTACACTGATTCTACTGCTCAATTTACCCATGCAGTTTTTTATTTTTATTTTTTTCAGACAGAGTCTTGCTCTGTTGTCCTGACTGTAGTACAGCGGTTATGATCATG